AAATGCGATTATTATTATTTAAAATACATCCTCTTGATGTTAAGTACAACTTCTTTCAGCATAAATCTGTCTTGAGATTTCAGACTGAAGGGGGTCCCTTTCACAGAAATATGCACCTGAATGTACATTGGACAGTTTGTGAGATCTGTTCCTCACCCCAGGCCCTATCACAATTAAAGTTTTGTGCTGCAGTCCTTGTATGTTTCTCTCAGGTTATCCTACAGCACCCTTCACCCTAGCCGTTTCCATGGGATTCCTCCTCCACCATCACTTCTCCCAGACCTCCCCACCAACGATTCACTCGTTCTTTCCACCCTATCTCTTGGTCATTTCCTCCTAACTCTGCACAGTCCTAACTTCATTCGAATCTCACGCATATGGTGTTTTCTTCCTTCTTCTGTTTAGCATTTGTTATGGGGTAATGGAGTGTGAAGGTGCGCAGGTGTCTATGCGATACAGCTCAAAAAGAAAAAAGAAGAAGAAATAAAGCTCATAGTCCTGAGAGGAGGAAGCACCTGCGGAGAGGAAATGCATCAAGAGGAAACTGACAGTCAAACCAAAGCAAAAGAAAATGGGAAGAAGGAAAGCTCAAGGGTGTTACTGCAGACATAAACAAAGTGCCAGGGAAATTCCCCCAACCCACCCTGCTCGCCTTCTTTTTGCTGGTCTCATATTGTGGTTGGAGTAGCAGCCAGAGCAGCCTTAACTGAAGTCATATGAACACTTATTGGGTAAGTAATGTGTCTTAAGTGATTACTTTGAATTGCCTCTCTTTAACTGGTGTTGCTTCCTTACTTGGTGGGCCATTGTTTAGATAATTATGTGGCTGTAAGTAATAAGTAACTCTCACTGTTTGCAATGGGACTTACTCCCTGGTTTGTTTTTAAAATTACAGCCTTCAGAGTTTGTGCCATATTTTCAGAGAGCCCAGACATGGTGAACAGCGAGCACTTAGAAAACCCCTGAAATTGACCAGGGAAGCTGAGGTCCCTGCCTCCCAGGGATGCTCACATGAAAGGACTGATGCTTCAATAGCCAAGCCTTGACTACAACAGCAGTAGAGGAAGAGTTGCACCACGATCTATTTAACCAGCAGAAAAGGCAGCTGCAGAGAGTGCCTGTGGCAGATGACCCTTCCTCCGAAAAGCAAAGTGTGGTCAAAATTAAAAGGTTCAGGAACCCAGACCAGACCAAATTTCATAAAATCATACACAGACTTTACTAAAACAAAACTCTACAAAAGTGGAAAAACTCCAAATAATTACACAGATTAAAATAACTCAGAAGGTAAGAAAGCAACAAACACTAACTAATCCAGCTAAATAACACAAAAACTTACACTTAAATCTGAGTAGGCTGAGCAACGGAACAAGATGCTGTCAAAAGAGCTCCCACCAATCCAGGCTATATGGGAACTTAGACCACAGGTGGTTCACCCCTTCCACCCAATTACCTTGAAGTCTTAACAGGAGACTGTTGTATGTGAGCTCATTATTTCTGAGGTTCTAACCTATTCCCATAAACCAGCCTTAAAGGGGTGATATCAGCTAGGTAGTGTCTGTGGTATCACTTGAATCCTGAAATCCTTGCCTTGCCTCATCTTTGACTTACTTTGTCCTGCCTTCCTCTGCCTGCCCAAACGTGAACTCTTACCTTGGGTCAGAACCCCTTTGCTGCAGAAGCAGTGGTTCAAAGCAGAAGAACCCCATGCTGCTGCCCATGAAGGTCAGGCCTAAGATGTGCTACAATTCTCTTGCTTACATGACAAGTTAGGAACCCAGACGGAACTTATTCGCTGCTGTTTTCTTTCTACAAAGTTTACATTTCTCTTTTATAAATTATGCATTTTACAGCTAACTCCTTCTCTGGCTCCCCATTTCCACACAGTATTCAGCTCCACAACCCAGCGTTTCATGTCCCATGCAAACAAATACCCCTAAACTCATGTAAATGCAGGGGAAGGAGAAAATATCATTAACTTACGAAAGCATGGAAAATTGTTTGTGCTTGCAAGACAAAATAGTAATGCCTGTATAAAGCTTGGAAGCTCTTGAGTCCTGTATCCTATCATTTTGAATGACTCCAAGGGAAGAACACGGCATTCAGTTAGGAAAGTGGAAAGCTCATCTATAACTCTGGAAGGATATTGTTGCATGCCGCTCCAATCTCCAAGCGGTGTTCCAGGCGCTTACCCAGGGTTCGTGTTTCCTTTGAGAATGTAATATATGGTTTATTTACACACACATATATAACTTGAGCCTGCAGTGGAGGGGTTGACAGCATCAACACCCCCAAAGGGTCTTGTTTCTCCAATAGCCACAGCCTTGGGTTAAAAAAGAAATCAGTCATTGCTCTCTCTCTTTGCCTGGCCAGCCTGCAGCTTTTCTTCCAGCTTCTGGCTCACATAACTCAACTCTCCACTCTGGTCTTTTGTCTTTCTAGCTGAGAGACAGTTGAGGGAGGGAGGTCCACACATTTGACATCTGGCACAGAGCTACTTCCTTTGTTACCTTAAAGACCCATACATAGCAGGCTGGCCTGGCTATTCCAGAAATTGATCTAGGAATTAGAATAGGGATGGGGGGGGTAGGCTGTATGCCCCAAATTCATAACAATGTCTTCAAAAAGCATATTTAGATATTCAACTAAAATAAAACAACTTTTTAGTTGTTTCTATAAACTGCATTTTTCCCCCTGGAGATGAAAGGAGGGGAAAGGAATGAGAAGGTCTACTTTGGATTTTCACTGCCTTTGATACCATATTTCATCTTACCCCCTAATACAACTGCCATTATAAAGATACTCCACCCCCCATTAAAAAAAACCTATTATGCAGACACTTATGACAGATATGAAAATAATTTGTTCAAGGAAGAAGGATTCTAACCTTCTATTTCTAGGTAGCTTCTTTGGCGATCACTCATACCCGAGTAAAATCGTCTTCCATGAACACGGTCTTAACAGTGAGTCTGTACGTGACTGTGGAGGCCAATTCTGGAGCCACGTATCCTTCCACAGTGGGGACATAGGTTTCCGGGCAGGAGTTGATCAAGGTGAAGGTTTGCTAAACGTGCCTTCCTCTTAGCGTGTTTCTTCCTTGCGTCCTGAGTTCAAGCATCTTCAAAGTCCTTCAGTAAAGGTTTTTCTTCAGTTGGAGAACTGCAGGCCAATGTTTCCCAATTGTTGGTGTTTATCCTACTTTTTTTAGATTTACCTTGAGAGAGTCTTTAAACCTCTTTTGTTGACCACCAGCATTACGCTTTCCATTTTTAAGTTCGGAATAGAGTAGTTGCTTTGGAAGATGATAATCAGCCATCTGAACAACATGAATAGTCCAAAATAGATGTTGAAGAATCAATGCTTTGACACTGGTGATCTTTGCTTCTTCCAGTACACTGGAATTAGTTCGCCTGTCTTCCCAAGTGATGTGTAAAATTCTTCAGAGACACCGTTGATGGAACCCTTTGACCTTACCACCTTGGGTGACCCTGCTGGGAGTATGAGATTCCTGACAGCTTCGTTCACAAGGGTCATAGGAACGTGCAAGCCCACTCACCATGACAAGATGATGATCCAGCAAGTGCGTCTCCAGGTAGCATGGTAGATAAGGCTGGACCAGTGAGTTGCAAGGAGCAACCACTATTCTGCCTTTTGCTACCTCCCTCTGCTGGCTGCTGCTAATGGGAGTTGCACTCCCAAACATTTGAAGGGCACCAGGTTGTCAAAGGCTGCTCTACCTGTTCTCTTTGGGTCCAGCAGGCCAGCCAGAATGAGAAGCTGCTACTGCCTGTACTTGGCTGGCCTCTGCCAATCTCTGTGCAGTGCAGAACTGGGCTTGTCTAGGCTTGTATTTAACAAGGGATGGGAACAATTCTGAAAGGCTTGTCGCCAAGTAAAAACATACCTGTTCTATAGGGCCTTTGGAGGAAATGAAGTCATGCAGCCTGCCTAACATTTTTAGGTTTTATTTCTGCACAGCTGTATTTTACTAATGACTTGTTTTAAGTTTCGTATTTCAATGTAATTCTATGTTGAATGTAATTTATCTCGGAAGTTGCTCCAAGATCACTATGGGTAATCATGAAGAGTGGTCTACAAATACACTCGTTGCCTGGTAGCAATAGGAATTATATTTAGGTGGGTGGGCTGTTGGTAGACGAAGCATGTTTGATTTCCATGTTGGCTGTGGAGGAAGAAAGCCTGTCCCCTCTGCTCAGCCCCTCCCCTACCTGCCAGTTGGTAATGGATTTTACAAGTCTGTGCTTGCCACTATGCTCAGTGTCCATTATTGTGCCAAAAAAAGAGAGTCAGAGATGGCGTTGCACACACTTGCATTGTATACCCTCCTTCCCTCTGCCGGCTGAGCGCTCATGGACAGCTGAGCAACGTGGGACCAAATCTGCCCTTCATGTTGCCCACGGCAGGATAATTCTGTGATCAGCCACAGTAAAGGTTTGTGAAGCCTAAAAGACTAAATTTTATCATGGCCTAAAAGCATTTGTCAACTAGAGCCCAGTTCATCAGATGAACTATAACTCTCACTTGGTGGTTTGCATATAATAATAATAATAATATACATATATTCTCTCTGTGTGTATGTGAAAAGTGTAATTTGTGCGTGTTTGTATGTATGTGTATATATATATCTCTCTCTAAACACACACATATATGTATGTATATATAGTATGTGATACACACACAGGGCTGTATTTGCTCCCAAAGGCAAGTTCCTATACGGTAATATGGAATTGGGCACGGACTCATACAGGCACCTACGTTCTTCCCTCAGCAGAACCGGAGCTTCCCTTGCAAGTACCCGGATGGAGGCGTTCGGGTCATTTTTTTAAAAATTAAAAATATTATAGTACTTTTCTTTTTCTTCAAATAAGCCCTCCTACAGAACAGCGCAGCTCTTTTTTGGGGGAGGGGGGAACCACACACCCCACACACGCGCCAGTGCCCCGGCTGCGTCATGACGTCACACACACGCCGCGTCGCTCCCGGAAGTGAGGAAGCGGCGGCGGCAGCAGTAATAGCAACAAGCAGCTGCCTACGGCCGCCGCCGCCGCCGCCTCTGTGAGGGTTTCTCTCTCTCGCTTGCTCTCTCCCCCCACCCCCGTTTCCCTCCCCCCTCTTTTTCTTCCCTGTGTACGGGAGCCGAGAGGGGCCCCGCGCCCGTGCGCGAAGGTGGGCCGACCGGGCTCCTCGCTTTCGCTTCCCAACCTGAGGGGTGGCCGAGGAGGCTTGTGACGGGAGGAGAGAGAGAGGGGGAAATGCGGCTCCGCCGCCAGCAGCTCTGCCCGGACGCGACGCTTCCGCCACAGCCCCCTCCTCCGCCGTCTCCTCCTCCTCCTCCCTCCTCGCCCTCTTCCCCTCACGCCATCGTCAGCGGGGGCCACGGACTAGCGGAGCCCCCTCTTCCAGTCCCGTCAGTATGAGGCCGGCCGAGACCCCCCGCCAGCGCCGAACTCCGGTAAAAGGATCCAGGGGGGTGATGATTCAGTCTGGGTCGGTTATGGGGCAGCCCTTCTCTCTCCTCTCCGTGGGCGGGGGCTGCATTGGCACTCGGGTAACACACTTCACACACTTAGCGCGCTCGCTCTCTCACATACACACAATATGCACACACGCACTTCTCACGGGAGGCTCCTCTTACTTCCTCCCCATGAAATTGTTACTTATGATTCTGCCCCCCACCCACCCAAAAAAAGAGAGGTTGGTGCCCAAGAGAGGTGGGTGGGTGGGGGGAGCCCTCTTCTAAGCAGGGCCTCTCGCCTTGCCAACCCCAGGGGCAGCCTGGGATGTTTCTGCACCTTTTCCGGATACTTTTTTTTGGGGGGGGGGGGAATCCCAGATGCCTTTGCATATTTATACACTTTTCTTTTATCGTATGCTTTCTGGTAAACACACACACATATATATCAAAGCTTCCTTCTGATGCAGTGCTGTCATTTTTTGTCTAATTCAAACCTCTTTGGAATGTGATTCGTTGGACAAGGGCTTTCTCTACTTGCTACTCTATGAGTCTTCCTCTCAATTTCTGCCTCTGTTTATCTCTCTTTCTCTCACCCTCCACCAACCTTCTTCCTGTGGTGTTTTGCTCTCCTCTTCATGTTTGTTCAGAAACTAAATATCAGCAGGACTTACTCCCCCTGTAAGATTGCAGCCTTAGAGGCAGGGTCAAGATGTCATTGTAGGTGTTTCGTGGCCGACTTCCGCAGGGTTTTAATTATAGGACAGTCCTAATCATTCTGTTGGAGAAGAGTAGTTGTGAAAAATACCCGGTGATCTTGTGACACCTTAAAGGCTAACAAATGTGCCTTAGCATAATCTTTTGTGGTCTGAGAACATGTGTCAGAAAAATCTAGACCCCAGGTCCTGCAAGAGTCTCATTGGTTAAGGAGTTGAGGCCTACAGATCTCACAGATGACTCCCCCCAAAATCCACACTTTGGCAATGCCTTTATTGGGACCAACCATAATGTTACAAAAGTGTGACAAGTTTTTGAGTTCTCCGGAGCTTGTCATCAGGCAGGATGTTCTGTAGAACTCAAAAACGTGTCATGCTTCTGTGAAATTTTGGTTCGTCTCAAAAAAGGTACTGCCCAAATGTGGATTTTGAAGGGTTTTTTTATATTATTTGAAGGCATATGCTACAGTATATTTGTCAATCATGAAGGTGCTTTAGGATTATTTGTTCTTTTATATCTTGCCACTCTCCATTCTTGGTACAATATTGGCAGGTATTCTTGGATTTACCAAGGTATTTTGCTGTGAATTTTTACTCGCACTTTATTTCAAATCCTGACTTGTTATAAATTAAAATTCACATTGGTCTCTGGTGTTAATTTTTCGCATTTGTTTCTTTTGAGGTCCAGCCTTCACTTGACCACCCTGTATTTCAGATGGACATGTTTAACTAGTCACTGTGTTTTGACTATTGTGTTTATAAAAGGGAAGTCCCTTAGAATATTGCCTGATACAGTTTTCTTATCATAATTTGAGCACATGCATTAGTCATGCTGGCCACATGACCCGGAAGCTGTACGCCGGCTCCCTCGGCCAATAAAGCGAGATGAGCGGCGCAACCCCAGGGTCAGGCACGACTGGACCTAATGGTCAGGGGTCCCTTTACCTTTATCCATTTTTTGAAGGAAGCTCACCTTGAAAACGTGTGCAGGCAAAGAAGACTTTTCCCCCCATTTGAGGCCTTGGAGAAATCTCCAGTCCCAAAGTACAGTACTAAACACATCAGCCTAGTTTATTCTTCCATAAAGTACTATTGATGTTCTTCTCAATGAGATGGTAGATACACTGATGCTCTGGATGGATCTCTCTCTCTCTCTCTCTCTCCCTCTCTTCCACCCTCTCTCCCGCTTTCCCCTCCAGTGTGGTATTGACATTTTTCTGGTAAGTAAGTGGTTAGTTGAACAGGTCTTCTTTTGAACATGTAGGGGGAAAACTGAAAGACCAGTTCCTCACCCATTCCTGCCTTCTGTGTGTGTACTAGTAATTTTACAGTTAGCCAGCTGACAATCTGTATATGTTTTAGTTTCAGGGCCCAGTTGTTTAAAGTACTTAAATAAAAAATTGGCTGCGGTAGTTCAGCTCATAATTCTTTGTTGTGCATATCTCAGGAATATGGGTTTTCTGTACAATGTTCTGATGGCCTCTATTGGTTAGAATCTAATTTAGAATATATGACTTGTAATTTAGTAAACAAAACCCATGCTTTGTTTACACATGCTATACAAATGTCTTGAGGTTTTTCCCCTCGGTAACTAAAATTAAATCAATTAAAATATTTGATTAGAAATAATATATTTCCCTTATTCTGTCCTTGTTTGCATGCAGTGCTTAACCATAGTGTATGAACACTTGGCTCTTCCCTTTCTGCTGACTGTCCCCATGTAAGGGATGAAACAAGCCTCATTCTGGCTTGTCATAATGGGCAAAGCTGGCATTTCTACCTTTGTGTTTGTTTGGAGAGAAATAGCCATGAGTACTCATTTGCACAAGCAAACCCTGCTCAAGACAAGCTTGACTCTTTCTTATTTCTCTCCCTTTGCACAACAAAGACAGGAGTAGGGAAGCAAAAGCACTCATACATGTTAACCTATAGTTTATTTGTATTTGAAGTTGTGGTTTCACAGTGTTTACAAATCTGGGAATTATTTACATTTTATGGAAAGTTTTGAAGACTTAAACAGATGGTGTAATACTATTAGCATGCTTAAAGAATGGTACATTATATCTGTTTCTTGAGGGACAGTCAACAAAAAAATGTTAATGGCAACTTTTGAACTTCCTAAATTGTTGTAATAATTTAGTTACTATAAAACTGTTTTTATAATAAATTCCCCAACCCCCATAGATACCTCTCCACCTTACTGGCATTCCTTGCCTTTTCTCATTATCGTTCTTTTAAAAATGCTTGAATTTTTACAGCAGTCTTTTACTCTAGCAAACATTTTAAGCAGTGATCAGGAGACCTTCTCTGACATTAGGCCTGCGTTGAGTTCTGTAGCTCATGCATTTAAGAATAAATAAGAGACTGAGAACAACATTTGAAATAGCCTTTTATTTTGGAGGACTGTTGACTAAATCCGTCAGAATTAAAATGATGCATAAAATAGTTAAGATGAATGCTTGACTTTAAATCAGTTTGGTTCCAGTGATTTCAACAGAATTCAGCATGAGGCTGAAACTGCAGCTTTCTATCTGTAAAACTGGTGCACCTTCACTCCCCTACCACTGTGGTGCTACTAATGAAAGTGGGATATTACAGTGCTCCAAGTAAATACAATAATTTTGAAGATAATTTGATCCCAGAATAATACAGGAATACAAAACTGACCTGCTTTTTAAAAAATGTGTATCTTCTAGTTATATTAAAATTCAGCTCTAGCTGGTACAAAAATGAAGGGTGATATCTAACTAAGCTTTTCTTAGAGTACACCTATTGAAATTGGTATAAGTCTATTGAAATTGGTAGTCTAGTGAATTCAGTGAGCACAATTTGAGTATGACTAACACCAGATATCAACCAAACAATTTTAGTTCATTTTGCACTATTAAAGAGACTTGGTTTGTATGTGAGAGATGCTGTATGTCAGGAATCCCAAACTTCATTTGCAGAGTCTATGTTTAACAGTACAAAATTGTACAGTGCTCAGATACACAGTACTCACACAATACATGGATTGCATTTTGTTAAAAATATTTTCAGACCCTTTTCCTTTTTCATTGCTTTGAAGTGGACTGCTGTGTTTGCTATGTAACTCCTTGAGAGTGGAGTGGGTAGGGCTGGCCCAAGACATTTTGGCACCTGAGGCAAACCACACAATAGTAACCTCCTCCCCACCAGGGAAGAAGTGGTGAATGAAGATCTACATCATGAGCAGGGGGTGGGGTGGGGATAAAGATCTATATTGGGATCTGCTGCCCCTATGGGTCCTGCTGTCAGAGGCAGTTGCCCACCTTGCCTCATGGATGGGCCAGCTTTGACTGTGGGTATGGATTTGGAATGTATTTAACCAGACATTGGGATATGCAGACATTATGTTACTGAGTAGTTCGAAGTAGTCTAATGTCAGTTTTAGCAATTATCTTTAAGCACCCCCAGTCCTAAATGTATTTTTCAGGAAACCAGTTACATTGTTCAGCTGGAACTTCAGCGCAGTTTGTTTGGAGCTTGAAACATTATTATTTATTAAATTTATATCTTGCCCTTCCTGTAGTGGAATCCAGCCCAAAGGAAAATGTGTGGCTCAAATTAATCTGTTTTGACCTTCCTCTCCTACACGGGAAATGAATTCCTATTGCTATTGGCTGCTTACACCGCTGTAGTCATGCTGTAGTAAATGAATCACTCTTGTTTACTACAAATTATATGTCTCCACCTTTCTGGCATGGAGGCCTGGATCTCTCAGTGGATTATTCTAATAAATGCTTTTTATATCCACTAAGTATTTCAGATTGCATTGCATTGCTTTGTACTCTCAACATAAAGGGAGTTTGTGTCATTTTGGAAATAAAATTCTCCCTCCAAAATTGGTATGTAAGTATGTAAATACTTAGTGCATCTGCATCTGGCTTTATGTTTGTGAAGGGATTGCCAATTGCCACCTCCTAATGTAGATTGCTTAACAGGTTTCCTTTATTAACAATGTTAACCTTGAAGATGGTTTGGAAGCTGCAACTGACATAGAAAGCCACTACCTGTGTGTTGTCAGGGACAATGTCAGAGAGATATGCCAAGCCGAATTCAAGGGGTTGGTACTAATATATAAAGCCCTAAACAGCTCAAGCTCTAAGTATATAAAGGGTCAGTGCCTCCCAGTACCAGCCAACCAGAGTTTAAGATTTGAAGTGGGGAGAGGCTTTGGTACTAGTGCTGTTGATGTGTTCTTGGGGCAACCACATGAAGCAGTGCATTCTCAGTGATGGTACCCTGCTTATGGAAATTTGTCCATTTAGAAATCAGGTTGGTACCTACACTAGTTTTGTTTAGGTATCAGGTAAAAACTTGTTTATTCCTACAGGTCTCCAGCCTTATGATTGAAGACACTTGAAGTTAACACACAAAAACCCTGAGTAAAGTATTAATCTAGGGATGCGGGTGGCGCTGTGGGTAAAAGCCTCAGCGCCTAGGGCTTGCCGATCGAAAGGTCAGCGGTTCGGATCCCCGCGGCGGGGTGCGCTCCCGTTGCTCGGTCCCAGCGCCTGCCAACCTAGCAGTTCGAAAGCACCCCCGGGTGCAAGTAGATAAATAGGGACCGCTTACTAGCGGGAAGGTAAACGGCGTTTCCGTGTGCTGCGCTGGCTCGCCAGATGCAGCTTGTCACGCCGGCCACGTGACCCGGAAGTGTCTCCGGACAGCGCTGGCCCCCGGCCTCTTGAGTGAGATGGGCGCACAACCCTAGAGTCTGTCAAGACTGGCCCGTACGGGCAGGGGTACCTTTACCTTTTTAAAGTATTAATCTATAAGCGAAATGGATGTTACCAGCATCACCTGCCTAAATTGCTGTGTTATACCTGTTGCAATATATTCATTGTGTATTTGTAGTTTTAAATGTAATTTTTAAGACATTTTGTTAGCATGGTTTTATTAGAAATGTTAGCCACTCTGGGAACTTTCAGAAGGAAGAACGGCATATAAGAAAACAACAACAACAATAATAAATATGAATGTCTTCATTTAATAAGACATAGCAGCTTAGAGATAAATTTACAGGACTAAAATAAAACCCAAAATTTGGTCAAAAAGGCATAGACGTGTATTTCTCTAAAATTTTAGACTAAAACCGTTTACAGCTCATATATTTATTGAAAGGTTTTTGCTATCCAGTCATACCTTGGTTCTCAAACAGAATCCGTTCTGGAAATCTGTTTGACTTCCGAAAACATTCGAAAACCAAGGTGCAGCTTCCGATTGGCTGCAGGAGCTTCCTGCACTCAATTGTAAGCTGCGTTGGAGGTTCAGCTTCCAAAAAACATTTGCAAACAGGAACACTCACTTCCAGGTTTGTGGCATTTGGGAGCCAAAATGTTCAAGTCATAAGGCGTTTGAGAACCAAGGTACAACTGTATACCGCGAAACCTGGAAAGATCGAGCATAGCAGGCGTCATTTGAAGGGAATTTATTACATGAAGGGTGGGGACTGGATCTGGCCAGCGGGCTTGATCCTTATCTATCTTATCCCCCAAATTTGACAGATAGACAAGGCCATCCACCTGTCAGTCACCTGATGTGCCAATGGAATTGGGTGACAGTGCTTTGAAGTCCCAAAAATCAGCTGATGGTTTGGAATTCAAAGCAAGGTGCAAAGAAAGCTCATCAAAGGAGAGACCTGCTGCTGATAAAAACTGAGCTCCCTTGAAGAATTCAAAGAAAGGTTTCTCTTGTCCTCAGACTAAGTGGTGGTTCTCATGCTTGATCTGTCTGAATTACCCGTATTTTTCGCTCTATAACACGCACCCGACCATAACACGCACGTAGTTTTAGAGGAGGAAAATCCGTAGGCATGCCACCTGTAGGCATTTCCTCCATAACATGCACAGACATTTCCCCTTACTTTCTAGGAGGAAAAAAGTGAGTGTTGTGGTGCAAAAAATACGGTAATTCTGTACTCAGGATTACTTTTTGGTAAACTTCAAGCGTCTTCAGTCATATAATTTTGGGAAGTGCACCTGTATATGCTGCACACACAGGTTTGTCCTATTCATACTTGACATAATCTAAAAGTTATAAGAAGGAAGATAATTAAGTGAATTAGCTGCTACTATGAAAATAAAACTTGATTTGCTTCTCCGTCTCATGGAGTTGGTATAAGGGTCAGATGACAGAAACCCATATAAGCTGCCTTCAGTGTCTGGGAGATACACACACACACACACACACACACACACACATATATAACCTATCTCACCTGAGAATGATATACAAAATCCAGTTTAAAAAAATCTTGTCTAATTTGGTAGCTTGGTACTCTTATCTGCTCAGTTGCTTTGGCACTGTAGCATTTCTCTTTGTTCTGAACACAAACCGAACTGTGGTTTGACTGCCTTGAAGAAACACTCAGGACAATGTATTCTGCACACAGCTGTTTGTTGTACACTCATTAAAGAGAGGAGTAGGCATTGTATTGTAACCCTCCACTCTTTGTAGGAGGTCTCCAGGGCAGCATTTCTGTGAAAGAGGTAGACATTTAGAAGTGCAGTAATCCACTTGTTCTCCCTTTCCTGTATGTGTATTATGATTGCATGGATAAAAAAAGGGAATGCAAACTGCTGAGGTGAGTTTTCTGTTTGCTACATGCAGCACTAGGAGTTCTGTGTAGTTCTGTGATAATCTCAACAGTTTTTATTGGGTTAGATCTAGACATCACCATCCACAAATGGAAGGACTTCTTCCATTCATGGAAGAGGCTGAGATCCAGCAGAGGCTGTTGCTAGAGCAGGGGATGATTTTAACTGATGCCCCTGGCTCTACTTCCTGTAATGTTTTGGAAGCCCCACAGACCCTCACAGAACTGCTTTTATGGAAATGCAGAGGGAATGAGAAATTGGTATGAATATACCCTTCCTCCCCCCTGCAGGTAGTTTGGTTCCAAGTAATTGTGTGATATGATCTTATGTGGCATTGAATATAGACCTTTAACCATTGGACGAGGGGGAAAGTACTGTCATGTGACTAAAACAGTATGGCGGTGTCACTTCATTGATCTCAGGGCTCAGTGATATAAATGTTTTCTCAAGGTAATTTTTTTTTAGAGTTTTTTGCTTGCAAGGTTATTCCTTTGTAGTTTGGTGAGGGAATCTGCTTATTAGTACTTCATGTGTGTTGTGTAGTCCTAGTTTACTCCTACAGTTATGAGGAGTTGGAAAAGCACAGCAAACTCCACTACCCAAAGAAGGCCCCTGAGTTAAGTCTGTAAGAAGCTGTGTATGTTAATTCCTAAGCATCTGTAATTTAGCAAGTGCTAAGTCGGGTGAAGCTTTTTCTAGATACTGGTATACCATGGAAGCGCACCATATTATTTTTGTCTTTGGATGATGGATGGCAAAACGCAAATTTGCAATTAAGGTGCATGATGATATCATATTCATCTGGCTAATGCAGCAGCCTTTCTTATTTTGCCTTCCTGGATCCTAAGTTCTTGATGATGCTACAGAGTTATTTCTTACATTGACACCACTCCATAAATTCTTATTGGCCAGCTAAAATTCATTGCCAAAATGTAACTGCATAAAAGCAGTTGCTTTTCAATACTGGATCCGTTCACCTGCAGTGGGGAACTATGGTTTGAATATTCATGTGCAACCTTGGGCTCCTGTGCTTCTTCTCCCTGCCCTGGATGCACCTGTTCCAGCTCTCATTTCCTGGTTTGATCAAAACATAGTTGGCTGTTGTGTCCAAATTAGGCAAAATGTGGCCTCATCAAGTCGGAAAGTGAAAAAGGGAATTTGCCCAGAGAAGGGACAGGGAAGTGCATAAGTTCAAGCTCTGACATGAATATTTAAATTTTAAAGTGAGAGAATTGAAGGATATGAGGAGGGTGCAAAGTGTAAGCCCAATATTCCAGCACAAACAGCCAAACAATTGTTTTGCATTATGTGTAAAAGGGGGTGTAAAGCCTGCTTGGTTTGATTGTCTAGGGCCAAGGTGCTCTGCCCCCCTTTACAGTGCCATGACCAAATAACCCTTAGAGCTGGGAAAGAGGCAGGGATTGCTCTGCAGCTTCCAGGCTACTTCCCAACCACTGCTGTAGCTTCCAGGTGAGACAGCTGGGGCTCATCACACCTGCCAGAGGTGGCGGTACACTCACCAAGGCAATAAGAATTATGGAAGACACTTGCTAATGCTGTTTGGTTTTGGTAACTGTATAAACTTGTGTAATGATGTTTGGTGGCAGTAAACCACTGTCTGGGGGAAAATGGTTTCAGAAAGCAAGATGAACTCTGATTATCAATTTATTTTGTGGTATGTTGATGATGATGATGACGCAAAAGCAAAAATCCTAAGAAAATAAATATGACTCAAATGTGTAGACCCATTCTTTGACAGTTGACCTGAATTTGTACTAACTTCATTTGTCAGTTAGCACCTTTATGTTTTTTACACCAAGAGATATGTCTGTGTCTCTAGAGTTCATAACCTAGCACAAATCTGAACTTGACTTACTAAAAACAATCCAACTATGATCCTCTTGGCTTTGGTAAAATCCTAAAGCTAATAAAGTAGAGCTGTTTGTGATTAATACATCTTTTGCTCATACGTTTCTGAAACAGACTAAATATTTTAGTTTGATATGCAATTCATAATGCCTTTAAATTGGATTTCATGATCTGTATAATTATGTGCAGTAACTTGCTGTAGTGTTCATGGAGTTAACTGTGTAAGATGAGGCTTGTAGACTTGGCTAGATCTCTTTATCTGTATTTAAAAGATTGATCTATTGAAGTAGAACGTAAATAAGGTTCAGAAGTTTGTACTGCTCACTCTTTCAATTAAAATAAACATACCTGTTCCATTTTGCATGTATAAACTTGCAGTTAACCTGTTGGAACAGCTAACCATTAGAAGCGGGTATCATATTTCTCAAGGTATGCACATAAAAGGGTGCAGGTGGAGATCAGTGATCAATATTTAGGACTTTTAAATGATATTTCTTTTAAATGATAACATTTATTATTATTTCTATTTGTAGTGTGCTAGCCTAACAGTTAACCAGTGCCTCCCACCAAATCCAAGAATAAGTACTTGATCATCTGGTTTAGCAGAATGGGAGCGTTAAGTGGCTGCACCATCAGTATTACTCTTACATGTTGCTACTTGTGGTTATTAAATTAGATTAGTTCTGGAAATGTGCCCTTGTGATAGGTCTGGGGTGGGAGCAGATGCCCTTGGACTCTTCTCTCCCTTCTTGGAAATTTGGAAGGGTTCTTCTGACAGCTGCTACAAGGCACAGTGATACAGCCAAGTGCTTCCCTCCCAATTCTGTGCATGCAGAAGACTCTACTACTGTATATCTATACCTACAGTTTCCTAATTTTAGAAGTGTGCTAGTGGTTAGTGCATTTGTTCCTAGGTTTCAGAAATAGGATAGAATATGGATGAATATCTTATAGACAGATGTTTGGCTAAAGTTGACATTTTGTAAACCAAGTTTAAGATTGTGCTATTGCTTTTATTCTTCCTTGAACCCCTCAAATTGTTCTTGTGGGCATGAGATGCCTGGAGAAAATGTTGAGTTGAGTGTATTAGAAAGGTTTGTTTTTAAGGAAGGTAGCATAATACAATATTAGTGCAAAGGTAAGAAGGAACTAATTTTAGTAGAAGTCCTGGTGATTAATATCATATGAGAAATCTGTGTGCACGCACCCCCTCGGTTTTCCAGCTACAGCTGCTCATCTTGAGCAAACTATTTTCTTGCTAACGAGACTAGATCACTTCATTGCTGAGTGACTGTATCCCAGTTTGGTTTTGCTTGTAGAACAAAGGTTTGGCCTTAATACTAAGGAGTCTTCTTTATTATACAACTAATTACATAATTTAGCAAATGCTGCATCTTTAGCCAGAGCTCTAAAACAATAAAGCTGATTCTTAATTTGTTATTCTTTTTAAATATATTTTAAATAAAGCATTATAATTTTTTTAATCATTAAATGTGTTAAAAGAAGAGCACAATATTTTATATTGGTGTTTAGCAAAATTCAGGAAACAGGATCTGGTGGTAAGATGCTAGCTGCTGTCCTAATGATACTGTTGAGTTTTATGTGCATTTCTGCATCTTTCCACCTGCATTTGTCTGCTTTATCTTGAGCACTGAGATGTTTGCAGCTGTGGGCTTCCAGGGATGCCCATTTGATCAAACTTTACAACAAGTTTCTTCCTGTTCCCAGGGCACCAAATGCATTGAAGTACTTCATTGTAAACATATAAAAAGCGGATGTTATGTACCTCCTCAGATCAGATCTATCTTTAACAGCTTCCCTGTGCTGTCCTGTGAACCATGAAAGAAAGCTTGACAGTAGACAATTGTGAAGTGCTCTGACAGTTATTCATCTTAATCTTACTGTTACCTTGTCTATGTGTTTTGCGCTTCTGGTGTATATTGTCTTTGATCTTGAGTGGAGAAGACGTCAGTCATGTACAACACATAGCACAATGGGACTGCTAAGCATTAATAATGCTAGCACAAATTTAAGAATTAAGGTAAGAGACCACTTGAGGACAATTCAGCTTCATCTTTGAGGCTCTGGGCTGTTTGCTGCAAACAGAAGTGGCTAGATTTATTTTTGTTTTGTGAAATGAGCAACCCATACTGAACCTATGCTTTAGGAGTTCCACTGATTACATATCTACAATTACTTTTTGATAACTTCTGCAAGCAGAACATTAAAAAGCATAGCCTGTAACTACCAACAGAATTTCCATAGTGATTTTAGATGTTCGTACACATATTGCCAAAGCTTCAGTTTAAAGCTGTACTCTCTCATTCTTTCTGATAATCCACACTGTCATAAATCCACACTGGGCACAATCCAGCCAAAGTTAAACACTTTTAGATCCCATTTATTTAAATGGAAGATGCTCAATGTGTACTTGAATGCTCCATAGAAATCAGTGAGATTTAAGCTGCAATCATTTATTAGGAGCAAGATCCATGGAATGCAGTGGAACTTTCTGTTGAGTAGACATGTTTAAGAGGATGTTATAAATTGTTTAACTTGGCTGGGTTGTGCCTATTGTATTAAGCCTTAAAAAAATATATTTCTGAAGTAGATGGCACTATTGTTTCTTCATGGACAAGGATAGAGTAGAAATTATTTTAAAACTAAAATTATTAATGCAAAGGTTATGGTATCTATTTTGCTTGTAACACAATGTAGTGGTTCTAGGGGTTGCTCGTGCGTAAGCCGGTGCAAACACCTGGCTGGGTTGCCTGAGTGAACCTTTTCTGTCCGGACAGCCACTCACCCGTGGCTATCTCAATCGCTGGCAGAATCCGTCAGTGGGCGTTTCTTAAACTTCTTCCAGCAAAGAAGCTCTTTGACGCCTAGTCTCCTCCTACTCTCTCTGCGCGAAAGCCTTCTGCGCAAGGAGGGCGTAGGCAGCGGAGGACCTCTACTCTCCCCGCTGGTCCCCGGCAAGGAGTCATGGGACCGCCTCGCCGCTTCCCCATCTGCCCCCCTTCTCCACTGGTGCTACGCTGATTCTCTTCCCCAGAAGATGGGCTGCCTCTCCCAATCCCGGGACGCTCTCTGGAATCCCTCTGGATTTTGCTCTCTCCCTCCGGCACTGATGGCAGTTCCCTGACATCCACCTCCTCCTCAGGACCCCCACCCCACCCCTGGCGCGATTTTCCGGTACAACCTCCTCTCTCTCCTCGGTCGACGATGCGGGGAATCCCCTGAAGGAACTGTCATCATCTTCTGAGGATTCAAAACCAGCCTCCCATCCGCTCGGATTTCTTCCCGCTGGTTGAACCTCCCAGACTGATCCTTCTCCCTCGGACACCTCCCCTCCCTCCTCTTCAGAGGCAGGAAAACCCACAAAGTCCCCTTCGTCGTCTGTGGGTCCAAATTCTTCCTCCCAGAATCTAGCTAATGGTTTGGGCTTATCCGGGAACAAACCGTGGAATTCTTCCACCAGATACCCGTCAGTGATTGATTCAGCAGGGACCCACGTGTTTTCAGACCTAGGTTCCCCCTCCCAGGCTACCAAGTACTCTACCTGGCGACCTCGCCACCTTGAATCGAGTATTTCCGTGGCTTCGTTACAGTGTTCCCTCTCCTCTACCCGCGGGTGGGTGGTAACCCCTCCTGTCCCGGGAATTTCCGCCCCTCCCTGTAAGGTGAAAGTAGGGACCTATGGAACACCGGATGTATCTTCATGATGTCAGGCAACTTGAGTTTAAATGCCACTGGGTTAACCTGCTGTATCACCTCAAAAGGCCCCAGCCGCCTAGGCTGCAACTTCTTGCACCCTCCCTTTAGGGGCAACCCTTGGGATGACAACCACACCCGGTCTCCCACCCGTATGGCCTCCCCCTCCCGACGGTGCCTGTCCGCCTGCCTCTTGTAAACTTCCTTGGCCCGCTCCAAGTTCAGCCTGAGTTGCTGGTGTAAGGCCTCCATTTCCTCCACAAATTGCTCAGCCGCAGGTACACTCCATCCTTCCTCCCCCCGCCCCGGGAAGGCCCTGGGGTGACACCCGTAATTGGCCATGAACGGGCTCATTCCTGTGGACACGTGTTCAGTGTTATTGTACGCAAATTCAGCCAAAGCTAATTTCTCTACCCAATCGTTCTGTCTCTCGCTGACATAGCAGCGTAGGTACTGCTGGAGTATACCGTTCACTCTTTCGGCTTGTCCGTTGGTTTCTGGGTGCCTCGCCGTCGAGAAGCTCACCTCGACCTGTAGCAAGCTCATGAGTCTCCGCCAGAACTGGGAAGTGAATTGTTTCCCGCGATCCGAGATTGCCCTCAATGGAGTCCCATGCAGTCTAAAAATGTGATCCACAAACAGCCTGGCTGTCTCCTCTGCCGTTGCTGCATGTGAGCAAGCTACGAAATGGCACATTTTAGTCAGTAGATCGACCACTACCATGACCGCTGTCTTTCCCCTTGACTTGGGCAGATCTGTCATAAAATCAATGGACACCACCTCCCAGGGCCTTTCCGGTGTAGGTAAGGGTTCCAGTAGCCCCGCGGGGGCAGCCCTTTCCCCCTTTGCCCTCTGGCATCGGTCGCACCCTCGTACATATTCTCGTACGTCTTCCCTCACCTTTGGCCACCAGAACTGCCTGGTGACAAGTAGCATGGTCTTGTGCTGTCCAAAGTGCCCAGCTGTTGGGTTGTCATGGAGTTGTCTAAGTACCTACCCCTCAAAGTCTCCCCTGGTACATACAGCGCCCCCTTATAGTACAGTAGCCCTTCCTTTTCCTCAAACCCTCCATTGACTTCCTTTCCGTCCCTGAGTTCCCTGATTTTTGTCTGAGCAAACTCATCGTCTCTGGTGAGCCCTGCCAGTTCTCGTTTCCCAACCAACGCTCCCCCACACACCCACCGGTCCTCGGGGAACACGTGCCTGGTCTCTGGTGGCCCCTCTCCTTCCATGTACTCCGGTTTCCGGGAGAGAGCATCTGCCCTTACGTTTTCCTCTCCCGGCACGTATCGGATCTTGAAGAAAAACTTGGTGAACTCCTGGGACCATCTGATCTGTCTCTGATTGAGCACTCGCGCGGTCCGCCAGTATTCCAAGTTCTTGTGGTCAGTTTGGAGCTGGATCTTGTGCCGCGCCCCTATTAATAGATGTCTCCATTGCCAAAATGCCACATAGATCGCAAGCAGTTCTCGGTCATACACCATGTAGTTTTGCTCTGACTTGCTCAGCTTCCTAGAGAAAAAGGCACACGGCCTCCAGTTCTGCTTGGCCCCGGGCTGCAAAAGGACCGCTCCAATCGCACGGTCGGACGCGTCCGTCTCCAGTCTCATGGGCTTCTCCGGATCCACGTGCAGGAGCCGCTCTTCCGAGGCGAATGCCTTCTTCAGTTTTTCAAAGGATTGCTGCACATCCTCTGTCCACGCGAACTTCTTTTTGCTACTAAGACAATCCGTTATGGGCGCTGTCAAGTGAGCGAAGTTCTTTATGAACTTCCTGTAGAAGTTGCTGAAGCCTAGGAACCTCTGCACATCCTTTCTGTTTTGGGGGGCTTTCCATTCCAGCACTGCCTTCACTTTGCCCGGGTCCATGGCTAGTCCTTTGTCTGACAACCTGTACCCCGGGAACTCAACCTCCCTGGCATGGAATTGGCATTTTTCCAGCTTGACCCACAACTGATGCTTCTTCAATCTCTGTAGCATCTCCCTGACGTCTCTGACGTGTTGCTTTTCATTGTCCGAATAGATTAAGGCGTCATCCAAAAAGGCTACGCAATTCTTGTACAGCAGGGGCCCCAACACATGGTGCATGAAGGCTTAAAAGCAGGCGGACCCCGATTGTAATCCAAATGGCATGACTAAGTACTCAAAAGCCCCCAGGGGGGTGAACATGGTCGTTTTCCATTCGTCCCCCTCCCTTATCCTAATCAGATTGTATGCTCCCCTGAGGTCCAGCTTGGCAAAAATCTTCCCCTGCCTCACACGTGTCAAAATATCGTCAATCCTGGGCATTGGGAAAGTCACAGATTCTGACACCAGGTTTAGGGCCCAGTAATCCACGACTAATCTGGGCTGATTTGTCTCTTTTTTGTCCACAAAGAACACTGGACTGCCCCCCACCGCCTTTGATTCCCTTATGAAACCTCGCTTCAGGTTCTTGTCAATAGACTGCCGCAACTCCTGCATCTCCCGGTCGGACATGGTATACAGCTTACCCACCGGTAACTGAGCCCCTGGAAGCAGGTTGATTTGGCAGTCAAATGGCCTGTGGGGGGGGCAGTCTGTCTGCCTCCCTCTCGCTGAAGACCTCCTTCAAATCAGCATATTGTGTTGGCACCTCCCTTTTTTGCTCCAGGGCCACCCTGGCCACAGTCCTTGGTTCCTTCCCTCCCAGACAGTGTTCTAAGCAGTAAGCTGACCCAAAGGTGACCGACCGCTGATGCCATGACACCACTGGGTCATGTATTGCCAGCCAGCTCATTCCCAGTATTATTGGGGATCCTGCCAGCGTGGCCACGTAAAAAGCAATGGTTTCCGTGTGCCTGGAGACACCCATTCGCATTGGCGGTGTCTGGTGTGTCACTTCCCCTCCCAGGAGTTCCCTGCCATCAATGGTGGTCACCTGCAAGGGAAAATCTAATGGCAACAGGTGGAGCTGTTGCTGGTGCTCCAGAGCGAAGTCTCTGTTGAAGAAATTACACGAGCTGCCAGAATCTAGCAGCCCCTCCACTTTGACGGGGTGCCCATTTGGGAGTTCTAGCACCACCTCTATGGCTATAGCTGCCTTGGGAGGGTCAGGCTGGGGCACTTCTATTGGTTGCTGGCCTGGCTGCTGCCCCTGCTGGTTGGCAGACAGGCGTTGTCGTTTCCCTGTACCAGCTCTTCCTCCCCCTTATCGTCGTGGCCTGCAGCCCCCATCATGCCTTGCCAGGCTTTTCGTTGAGGGCAGACCTTTGCAAAATGTCCCGGTCGCTGACAGGAAGCACTTCTTGGTAGTTTTCCACTCTTTTTTCCGACCTTCACCAGCGTTTGAAACTTCGCGCGCGTTCCATCAATTTCCATCGGCTCCACCGCCTGGGAAGGCTCCCTCGGCATCTCCGGAATGCGGTTGTCATGGAAACGTTCCGCCCTTATCTCCCGCTTCTCCTGAGCCCGCGCTTCCTGGCGTACACCGATCGTAAGCACAGTCTTTGTGAGTTCATCCATCGACCGCAGGCGGGGCGCTCGGGACAACTCGTCTTTCACTTCGGGGGCCAAACCCGCTTCAAACAACCTTTATACTGGTTCAGAGTCCAGATCCCACCCGCGCTTGTGAACTAACATCGCAAAACGCGACCAGTAGTTTCTGACGGACAGGCTCCCCTGCTTGCACCCCATCAGCTCCCTCCGTGTCACGCTTTGCTCAATCTCGCTGGAGAACATCGCGTCCATTCCCTGGTAGAATTTCTTAAGATCTTTCGAAGCGTCATTCCCCGTTGCCATCAAGGGCCTGATCCATTCGCGCGCCCCATCCTGCAGATGTCCAACACTGTAAGCCACCCTCTCCCCGTCATCAGCAAAGTCATTTTTCTGCAATTCCAAAGCATACTGAATTTCCGTTCGGAAGGCATTGTAGTCTTGGGGCTTTCCACCAAACTTGTGTACCAGCCCCGGGACCTTCCTCCTTATCGGGGTGGCTCAGACCTGTGCATCCTGAGCCCATCTCTCCTCCAGCTGCGCAGATGGGGTAGTGACATGCGCCTCCAGGTCTCGGTTCCTCTCGACCAGACCTCGCACCATGGCTTCTTGCTCTGTCTCTCCGGCCGGCCCTGTTTGGCTCATCGTGCTGCCTCTCCGGTGCTGCGCACAAGCAACGTCAGAGAAGTTCTTAAACTTCTTCCAGCAAAGAAGCTCTTTGACGCCTAGTCTCCTCCTACTCTCTCTGCGCGAAAGCCTTCTGCGCAAGGAGGGCGTAGGCAGCGGAGGACCTCTACTCTCCCCGCTGGTCCCTGGCAAGGAGTCATGGGACCGCCTCACCGCTTCCCCCATCTGCCCCCCTTCTCCACTGGTGCTACGCTGATTCTCTTTCCCAGAAGATGGGCTGCCTCTCCCAATCCCGGGACGCTCTCTGGAATCCCTCTGGATTCTGCTCTCTCCCTCCAGCACTGATGGCAGTTCCCTGACACACAAGCTATATGGTTTGCAGCATCATTGGTTTCCAAAATATATAAACAACTAGGAGCCAATGGGCTCAGATTCTCAAAGCACAGATATTTGTATTACTACCAAATTGAATGGCCAAACTTTTGATAATATTTGACACTTAAAAGTTGTCAAAATATGTGCTGCTGTGTATTGTTTTAAGTATTGTAGACCTTCCTTAAAAGAGATGGTGACTGGCCCAAAGTTACCCATTGAGCTTCATGGCTGAGTGGGGATTTGAACCCTGGTCTCCTAGGTCCTAGTCCTAAACACTACACTACACTACACTACACTACACTACACTACACTACACTACACTACAGACACTTTCTTCCAATGTATTTTGCAGTAGGGTATCCCAAGCAAAGCTATGTGTTGAATCAGGAAAAGCACAATTTTTTTCCTAAGCTTCCCTGGATTGATTTTCACTTGAGAAATCACATGTCCATCTTTTTTTAGCCAATATGTTAATTCATAAACAAAAATTAAGACACTTGACTGTTTTAGGGAGTATTTTTATATCCCAAGGTGATTGTATATAAGGGTGAAAAAATGTCCCAAAATAACACTACATTTGGGTTGAGTTTTGTAAGTTTTATTTGCTCTTCTTGGGATGTGTTTTGCTTCAGCTGCTTTTTATTTACAGAAAGAAAACTGTAAATGATAACTGGCTGAAACTTCCATGTAGTTGACAATAAATTAAACTACTTTGTGGGTCTACTTTTGTGTAACTGCTATACTCAAAAGTCACCCTGAGTGGGCTACAACCCCATTTTCCACATGGAATATTCATTTATAGGAACAGTAATGATCACAAGGCAGCATGCAGAAATATGGCAAAGACATAGTAAGCAGAGGATAGTGTTTGAAGAAGCAATTATAGGGCTGAGATGCTGGTCATTTCATTTCTGCCTTATTTGATTGATCAACTAACAGTTTCCACTAGATGAAGTCTAGAACACACTTGTATAAATGCCACCGAATCTTTTTATGTGGTTATCTGATAGTAATAGCAGGAGTGGAAGCTTCTTGCTCCCCAGCCCTAGAGGAGTCATGACCTCTTCAGGGAAATTTTATCCTTTCTTCGCATTTAGCTTAGCTTTTAATGAGCATGTGCAGGCATCTTTGAACAGTAACACAATTTAGGGCAACTTGTAAATATGCCCTCAAAAGTTACCAGCCTTTTTTTACTAGTTTGGAAACAAGCTAGTATTTTGTGTTTTCATCCTGGCCACAGAGGAGGCCAACCCCTATCCTCCAAGCTACTAGCCTCTTAGAAGGCTGTTTAAAAGATCTTCTACTAAGCACATTGGCAGAAAAGGGTTGAGGCAATTTTTCCTTCCTCTGGCAGTCTGCTCACTTGACTTCATGGAATTTCATATCCTTATATCCATGGAATTCTGGTCTCTTATGACTACCAGGCAAGTTGTTAAATACAAGACTGGTTTAGCAGAATGGAGGAATAAATAACACTGTTGAACATCACAGTAGCCAGGTTACGAGTGCCCAGGAGCCTGAACTAACCAATCATTTGCATTTAATAAGAGGTAGACTCTCCATATTATGTAGTGTGATGTTCTGTAAAGCTTCTTGGAAGGTGTGAAGTCCTAGGAGGCAGCTTTTAAATAATCAAAACAACTGGCTGTGCTCTTACTATTATTGTAAATTGGGACAGGAAGGTTATTCATGAAGAATTGTTTTTTTTTAAAAAAAAATATTTATTAAATTTTAAAGGGTTACAAAAAGAAAAAAATTAAAAGACAGCATATTAAAGAGCTACAAAACATCACATCACAATAATTAAAAAAAGAAAAAAGAAAAGAAAGGAAAAAAAGAAAAGAAAAAAATACAATGAATCTTCCCATAACTTATCTTTCATTTGCTTATTTCCTTGACCTCCTCACACCTCCCTTTTTTGTATTCTAGTTCAATTAGCTATTTCAGCAAGTCCTTTCCATCTTTTCCAATTTTTGTCCTTTATTTTATCTTAATATAATGTAACTTTACTTTCCCTCCTTCACCATTTAGCAATCTATTTTTTCTTAATCCTTTATAGCATTTCTGCTAAAACCACATTACTTCATTCCAACATCCTTCTAACATTCCTTAATTTTACAATGTTTCTGTAAATAAACTTTAAATTTCTTCCAATCTTCTTCCACCGACTCTTCTCCCTGGTCTCGGATTCTACCAGTCATTTCCGCCAGTTCCATGTAGTCCATCACCTTCATCTGCCATTCTTCCTGGGTGGGTAGATCTTGTGTCTTCCAATACTTCGCGATGAGTATTCTTGCTGCTGTTGTGGCATACATAAGGAAAGTTCTATCCTTTTTTGGCACCAATTGTCCGACCATGCCCAGGAGAAAGGCCTCTGGTTTCTTCAGGAAGGTATATTTAAATACCTTTTTCATTTCATTATAAATCATCTCCCAGAATGTCTTAATCCTTGGGCATGTCCACCAAAGGTGAAAAAATGTACCTTCAGGTTATTCATGAAGAATTGGTAGTACTGGTTGGAGTGTATAGATTTTGCTTTTTTGCTTTAAGACAATAGCAAATTACCTTGCTTTCAATTTGGGATTGTGCCATGTATGGACATGGCAGCCATCCTATAATAAAAAGTAAAGTCAATCAATCAATCAATCAATCAAAACCTTTATTGCATTAGCATACAGCCATAGCAAAATAAGACAAAAATACTAGAGACAAGCAACCAAACAAAATTCAAAGCAATATTACTGGCGTAATGACATTTAAATTACCCTAAGACAATAATGTAAAGATTTAGTTGCCAGCGCCAAGAATCCAAAATGCGGATGTATATAAAACATAAAATGGCCCCAAAATAGGCTCGGCACATTGGGTTGAAAAAGTAATAAAAAGAATTAAAACAGGTCCAGGTCTAGGACACACTACCCAGTCAGAGTAGCCCTGAGTTTCAGAGCCTGCACTATAAAGATTGCCACCCCACGTGAAATTTGGGGATTTGCGTCCACAAGAAGCGATTTCAAACAGTCTTCCTTAGATGTAATGGTGGACGGGATCAAGAGGAGGAGCTTAGGTCTTATTGGCTCATAAATAGGGCAGTAGAAAAAGAAATGTATGAAGTCCTCTACTTCATTCATTGTGCATGGACATAAACGCTGAGTAATAGGGGTCTTAGAGTAAATCCCTACAGGAAGGCCGTGGGTATAGAATGGAAACGGGCCATAGTAAACGCTCTTCTCAAATTGGGCTCCGTCAGGTCTATCAAGTAGTTGGCAAGTGATCTTACCACTTTCACTTTAGGGAGCCACATGGAGAGGCGAGCTGTAATGGACTGTGCCCGGTCCATGGCCTCGTCTCTTGTAAGAATCCAGGCCCGGATTTTATGTTGGTCCCAAGATGACAGCGTGTCGAGATCTGGGAGGGAGTAGCGTGCAGTAATAGTCTCCATGGCCTTGGACCATTTGTTGGTATGAGAACAAGTTAAAAGGCTTGCCTAGCTAGTAGGGAACCTGGGGCATTGAATAATTTACAGTAAAAACTAATGATTCTAATGTGGGCTCTTGCAACAATGGAGGGAGGCCCAGTTCTGTTCTTAACTGTGCAGCAACTGAGCCCTTGGGGAGGCCCAGTATCTTTCGTGCAAAAGAGTTTTGCAGAATCTCCAGCGATTGTAGTGTTTTTAAATTCCACCCCCAGATTTCAACCCCATACAGTAACATCGGGAGGACTTTGCTGATAAATGCTTTTCTGATTGGTGGAACCAACTGGCCGCCTTTTGCATAGAAGAATTTCTCCAAGGCTTTGATGGTTCTACGGGCAGCCAGGATGGTCATATTTAGGTGAGCTGACCAGCTAAGCCCATGCTGAAAAGTGATACCCAAATACTTGAATGCTGAACAATATTCAATAGAGTGGCCCTCAAAATTCCAGAAAGGCTTCCGAGTTTTCGTGCCAAAAGTAAGAATTTTGGTTTTGGCGAAATTGATTTTGAGGGAGTTGGTATCACAATATGTCATGAGCCCTCTGAGCATGTTGTTTAAGCCCTGCTTGGTTAAAGACAGTATCACCATGTCGTCCGCATAGAGTAATATGGGGATCTTGAGCTGTTGTAAAGAGGGGACAGATTGATTTAGGGCCTTCATGGTTGTAACGATGTCATTGATGTAGAAATTGAATAGAAAAGGGGCCAAGAGGCAGCCCTGTTTGACCCCTTTATTCAGAGGGAAAGGATCAGATAGAGCTCCCAGAGGGCCGAATTTTACTCTGGCCGATATGTCATTATGAATTTCCATAAGAAGGTGGAGGAGTCTCTTATCTATGTTAGTGTAACTAAGCTTCTGCCATAGCCTATCTCTGGGGATGGAGTCAAAAGCGGAGGTCAGGTCCACAAAAGCCGCGTGTAGTTTGCAGTTGAACCTGTTTAGATATTTATCAATCAGGGTAAATAGAACAAGACATTGGCCAGATGTGCTGTGACCTTTACGGAAGCCAGCCTGTTCCGGGTGAAATAGCTTTGTTTCTTCTGCCCACTCGATTAATTTCTCTAGCAAGAATCTAGAGTAGACCTTGTATGATATGTCCAGCAGGCTGATAGGTCGATAGTTACGCGGATCTTGTGGATCCCCCTTTTATGTATTGGGATGACTATGCTCTGTTTCCAATTAGGTGGAATCTTAAGAGTAGCATTAATAGTGGTAAAGAGAGATGCTAAAATAGGGGCCCACCATGTCTGGTTCGACAAGAATACCTCAGGTGGTATCATATCCTCCCCGGGATTTATCCCCTGAAAGCGTACTGATTAGTTGTATACATCTCTCTGGGGAGACTGGCTCCCAGGTGGGCAAGGCAGATGCTGGAAGAGTGGAGACAACATTTACTTCGGGATCTGGGGCGGAATACAGCTGAGCAAAGTGAGAGTGCCAACTGGCTGCTGTGATGTTATTAGCGATGAATGAGGGGGGTCTTAAACCTGCATTAATTAAATTCCAGAATTTCTTGTCGTCACGGGTTTTAATGGCCACTGACAGTGCCGTCCAGCGTTCTTTCGCAAAGAGCAATTTCTTATGATGGAGCAGCTTCTTGTAGTATGAACGGAATTGGGCTAACTCCCTGATTTTGCTCTGGGTGCTGTCTGATTTCATATCAGACTGAAGAAATCTAAGCCTACTTCTGCACTGTTTGCATTCTTGGTCGAACCAAGTTTGATTCTTCCAGGTTAGAATCGCACGGGAAGGTTTCGTAAGTGAAGGAAGCAAGAAGGCTAGAATTTGCTGGAAAGTTGAGAAATGATTCACATTCATTCATGTATGGACATGGCAGCCATCCTATAATAAAAAGTAAAGTCAATTTCACATACCAGAGCCTCTGAACTGAAGGGTACTTTTTAGTCAAGGACAGAGTAGAGAAGAACTTTTGGATAGACATAATGCATGAATGACTTCAGGTAGAAATATCTACTCTGAGTCAGCTGCTGTAAAAGCCACCTGCTTTTCAAAAGATAGTCTTCACAGAATTTCTAGTTGAGAAGAATAAATTTATTCTTCTATAGCACACATATAACTTAATCAGCCTCCCACTGATTTCAACCCCCCCCCCCCGAGTAATACAGGTTTACTAATGTTTAGACAATCTCACTTTGACTGTGTCCCATCTGAAAATTGAGGGATGTCCTCCCTGGGGTACTAAAGCACAATATATCTTTCATTTACATGGGTGAAACACAAACTTTTGTTGGTCTTTGATATCTGGTCAATAGACTTGTCTTAAAATTGCCCTTGATATTTTTTCAGTAATTTATCTAACGTCTACCGTAAGTAGTTAAAGTAATACCTTAATAGTGAGTACTTTGCTGTACTTTTTCTAAATACTAATGCATTGTTTCATCTTAATTTGTGTAGGAAGAATACTGACAATTGAATTGCTGCCTTTATACTGTAAAAAATTGCAATAAAGTGGGGATGTCAAGAGTCTCCACTCCTCCACCACCTGGAGAGATGTCCAGTGGTCCTATAGCTGAAAGCTGGTGTTACACACAGGTAAGCCACATACCTGTATGCATGTGTGTGTCCAGGTATTGTTAATGGCATGTTTAATAGTAGGACACTTTCAGATGTAGCTTCCAACAGTAATGCAATGTGATACCCAGACTTCTGGTTCCAAGTAAAAGGAATAAGAAGGCAAAAAAGGTAATATAATAAAGAGAACCAATCAGAAAATGTAAAAAATAAGGTGACAGGTGAGATCAGCAATATAATAGGCAAAAATCAAATACTGAAGGTTGTATCCAGTGATTGGGAGGATTTGCAAGGGTGAGGACATCCATTGAGAAACATTCATTGTGCAAGCTTCCTTCTATTTGTGCAGCTATTGAATACAACCGAAGGTTGCTGAGATGTAGGACAAATGAATTAACCACCTAAAGTCTACAATAATTCAACCTGTGGCTCTGAAAAAGCCTGCAGTTGCTGGTGGATAACTGATCAAATAAGGGGCCCCTAAGGAATGAATAAGGGGACACGGGTGGCGCTGTGGGTTAAACCACAGAGCCTAGGACTTGCCGATCAGAAGGTCAACCTGTGGCTCTGAAAAAGCCTGCAGTTGCTGGTGGATAACTGATCAAATAAGGGGCCCCTAAGGAATGAATAAGGGGACACGGGTGGCGCTGTGGGTTAAACCAAAGAGCCTACGACTTGCCGATCAGAAGGTCGGCGGTTCGAATCCCCGCTATGGGGTGAGCTCCCGTTTCTTGGTCCCTGCTCCTGCCAACCTAGCAGTTTGAAAGCACGTCAAAGTGCAACTAGATAAATAGGTACCGCTCTAGCGGGAAGGAAAACGGCGTTTCTGTGCGCTGCTCTGGTTCGCCAGAAGTGGCTTAGTCATGCTGGCCACATGACCCAGAAGCTGTACGCCGGCTCTCTTGGCCAATAAAGCAAGATGAGCACCGCAACCCCAGAGTCGGCCATGACTGGACCTAATGGTCAGGGTTCCCTTTACCTTTACCTTAAGGAATGAATCTTCCTCAAATGTCATACGTTGGTAGCTTATGGAATTCTATTCTGAAACTGACTTATGGAATCCTTTTCTGAAACAAGTGCACAATATAAGCTGCAGTGACTCCTTAATTCTATGAGATATCCCTCCCCCCCAAAAACCAGTTTAAACTAGTTGAGGTTATTTCTTCAATAACTGCTTAAAAAAAAAAATTAAGATGAAGAAAAGTGAATCTGGTGAATTTACATGATTGTCTGCATCTCTTATTCAGGTTAAAGTTGTAAAATTTTCTTATATGTGGACCATTAATAACTTCAGCTTCTGCCGAGAAGAAATGGGGGAAGTTTTAAAGAGTTCTACTTTTTCATCAGGGCCAAATGACAAAATGAAATGGTAGGTATTAGTCACTTGTCAGTGGCTTCTCACTTTCTTTTCTTTAAGCATACAGTCTCTTGAGAATCTGTGAATATGTCATAAATAAAATGACATGTATGGTGGTTTATCCTCCAGTCTTAAAACTGTTTTTATTGTTGAAAGTGGGGCAAACTATCACTGATTTTCTGCTACATTACAGAGATCCGAACAGCTAATGGTTTGAAATACTATATAGTTTGTGGCAAAATAAGGCAAGATGATGTAATGTGTTGGATTAGGGCCAAAGAGACATTGGGTTCAAATCTCCATTTGTGAGGTTACTGAGAGCAATTTGGGCAATTCAGGGGCCCAGTTTGCATGTAATACTAAGCCAAGCCAAGTTCGTGGAAGAAAGATTGCTGCAGCTTTGCTGCTCTTTCATTGCGGCTCCTGCCACAGTGCTGTGAGCAAAGCCATCGTAGCCAAGGTTAGCTGAATGACTTGCTGCCTTGTGACTTGTCGGGAGCAAGAAAATTATGGCTCAGCTCACATCCATGTGGCACTAGCAGGGTTCCCTATTTGTAAACTGCCCTGTGATCCTTGGATGAAGGGTGGTCTAGAAATGTAATAAATAATAATAATAATAATCTCATTTTGTTCAAGAGGGCCCCACCCTTCTGGAGAAGCATTTCAGGAGAACACCACTGTATATATGGTCGCTCCTTGGAGTATTAAAAGGTGTGACAGCAGGAGAAGAGCAATAGGGATATATAGATATGAGCAACTGGAGGTCATGGGTGTTGAATACATATGTAAGTTTAAAAAACTGATCTCCGGAACCCAGGGGACTTATTGTGTATGTGTAAAAAATCATATCACAACAGTACTCCAATTTTTAAATATCTTAGCAAGTTAGGCCTTTATGGATTGGAGAACAAGTTGATGTTTCTAAGACATTTCTTATGTTCTTGATTTCAGGTGCCTGAGAGTAAACCCCAAAGGACTGGATGATGAAAGCAAAGATTACCTTTCACTGTATTTACTTCTAGTTAGTTGTCCAAAAAGTGAAGTGAGAGCAAAATTTAAATTTTCTCTTTTAAATGCAAAAAGAGAAGAAACGAAAGCAATGGGTAAGTGGATTTTAAAATGCTTCAAGAACAATAGGTAGTTTTCAGTTTAAGGAGTAAAAGGTCTGTCAAATCAGATATTTATTTATTTATTTATTTATTTATTTGTTTGTTTATTTAAAAGCTTGTAAACTCAGATTTATTATTTTGTGTCTGTACAAGTTCAGTCACAGTGTAATCGCTTCCTCTGGTTTTGGTCAATGGTATAGTTTGGAGAATGGTATAGTTGGCAATTCAGAGGCAATTCAGTTATTTAAATCTAAATGAGATTTGACTGTCTTTCTTTTTGTATGCATTTCCTATTCAAACATGATTACATAAGCTTTCCTAATGTTTTGTGGTATATTTATTTATGATATAATTTTTCAAGTTGCCATGACAAATATCCAGTTGTTGCCTGGGGAAAACAGAACAAAGAGGGACTATTCACTGTTTGACAAGTTCTTTAAAAATAAAATCTGCTCCATAGGGTTGGGGGGGGGGGCGGCTGGAGTACATGGAGTGGGGACAAAGGGGAGGAGGAATAATCCAGAATGCTTCCCTCCCCTGTTCTGCTGGTGGATACTTTCTTTCAGAAAGGGGGAATGTCGGATATTACCTTTTATCTACAAATCATGTTTGCATTTTAGCCAGCAGGGGTTAATGAGACTACCAAGTGTGTTTTGTCGTTAAAAATCAGTTGTTCTGTTTTACATATCCTGAATGAAACTGACTTCAGTTTTTCGAATCCCACTTTCTGAAGTTTAATTTTGTCCTAAATTATATCTTGCTAACTTGAACTATTATCACAAGCAAGAGAACAGAACCTGCTGTGCAATTTGGACATTGTGTGTCCGTGTGTGCGTGTTTTCAGCCATACTGAAAAAGAGTATGTATTGGAGCTGGTCTTGCGTGTGTCACCACATCTGGAATGAAACATGTGTCCTCTAGTATATGATGCGGCCTTGAGTATATGATTCCATAATAGACTGGTTCAGATCCTTTTCATTATAAACGTACTGAAGAAAGTGAGGAAATTGGCTGTTGCTTAACTCTGTATCATTCAGTTATGGAAAAATATATTCTGCCCTTAATGGGATAAGGTTTGTAAATTGTTCAAAGCACTAAAATGCTCCTAAAATGTAACATCAGCAGCTAATTGCAGGAAAAATCCATTGTCTTTAATGGTCCAATTGCTGCTAACATTTGTTTTTAAAAAGTAATACTGCATTAGCTTAGAACCAGAATAATGGGGGGGGGGGGGTACCCTGTGCTGCCTTAGTGCTATGGGAATTTCACATCCCCACTGTAGCTCCCAGAAAATTTGTGGTAAGTGGGCATAGATGTGAAGTTGGAGGTTGGAATCATGTGGGGAAGGGGGAGAGGGAGGAATAAATGGAATTATATGAACTTAGCCATCTGCAGTGTCTCTGACATCAGTGGTTCCTCCGCTTCATCTGGGCTTATGAGAGATTTTGGGGGTGATTTTTGTACTTCCAGCTGAAACGTGTGGCTAGAATTCTACTCTTGCACTAATCTCCTGTACTAAAAGGCATCTCAGAAAAGAAAGTGGTAATTCCACGAAACTGAACACAGTAGTCAGAATTATTATTATTATTATTATTATTATTATTATTATTAATATCCCACCTATTTGGCTGGTTTCCCCAGCCATTCTGGGTGGCTTACAGCATATATAAAACAGTAACATATCAAACATTAAAAAGAATCCCATGAGTTAAATGCATGGGCTCTTGCCCACATGAAGTCCTTGTGCTGTGTCTCAAACCTCTTTTGACTTTCTGAAGTTACGTCTACAGTGCTTTGGGTTCTGAATGTGAACATCATATGCTTAATTTTAAAATATAGAGTTGAATCCAGATGTGCATTCAGTGACATTCCATTTGCACTTAGGAAGTGATTTGTACTGATCCTTCCCACTGCAGCCCCTGAAAACTGCACTGGAGGGCTGGAGGACCCTACAGAATGACATGGGGTGTGCTACCTGGGGATGTGGGGGAAACCTGTACTGGAACTAATTCCATTTCCAAACATAGTGGTGGGGAACCCGTGGCTGTCTAGCTGGTGGTGTGTTCCAATTCCCACCAGCACCAGCCAGCATGGCCAGGGATGATGGAAGCTGCAGTCCATTAACACCTGGAGGACCACCGCTTCCACGCCCAGGTGTAAACAAAATGAGTCTTTCTCTTAATGAAGGTGCTAATCTGGATACAGCTCATATTTTGCATTAGTCTTTAGTGCAATTGTTATCTTATTAGGTTTGATTTGGCTCTTGGATTTCACTTATTGTGTATGTATATTAAAACTGTTTTAATTGAACGTACTTAATCTATTTTACTTAGAAAGCCAAAGAGCATATCGATTTGTTCAAGGCAAAGATTGGGGTTTTAAAAAATTCATTCGAAGAGACTTCTTACTTGATGAAGCTAATGGTCTTTTACCAGATGATAAGCTTACGTTATTTTGTGAGGTAGGTAATCAACCAGTGCTTTTTAAAATAGAATATTGGTTTCCATGGCTATGAATGAAGAATATTTTCAAATGTTATGTTTATCCCTCTGTGTTACAGAAATGCCCTGATAAAATGTTTTAGCATAATGGTTGTTGTTTTGATGCAAGATTTTACTAAAAATAATGTCATCCATTGGGAGAGTTCCTGTTTGGCATGTAGTGAAAGGAAAGCTGTAGAAGGATAAAAACTGCAGTAGTCTTGTTGGGGTGGAAGAAGGTGTAACATATAAGGCAGGGTTGTGGGATCGGTTTCCTAGGTTGGTACTCTGTGATGGTCATTGTGGAGCTACAGAGAAGCCACAGTTGGTTTGTATTTGAGAGGAAGTGAACTCCCTCTTCCTATGATTTAAATTAATATTATGTCTGTATTTAAATTGGCCAGTGACAACTGAAGAACAGGATTTTTATGCCCCTGACTGTCAGATGTAGGGCTGAATTTAACATACAAGTGTTAGTAAAATCTGTCATCTGGACATTATTATTATTATTATCAGTAGTAGTAGGAGTAGTAGTAGTATACCACTCTTCATCCAAAGATCGCAAGGAAGTTCACAACATAGAAATATAAAATGAGAACACAAAATGCATAATAAAAACAAAACAAACCAATAACACCCCCCACCTCCTACCACAAACACATTTAAAATGGTATAGGGTGTTAATCAGCCAAAGGCGTTTTTGAAGAGGAACATTTTCGCCTTGTTCCTAAAGCTGTATACTGAAGGTGCCAGCCAAAGCTCCCTAGGGAAAGCATTCCTCAAACAGGGAATCACTGCAGAAAAGGCCCGTTCTCATGTTGCTGCCCTTCGGACCTCCCATTGAGAAGGCACATGAAGAACAGCCTCAGATGATGACCTCAGGTTCCAGGTTGGTTCATATGGAAAGAGGGGCTCCTTGAGGTATTCCGGTCCTAAGCCATTTAAGGCTTTATAGGTCAAAACCAGCACTTTGAATTAGGCCCCAAAAGTAAATGGCAGCCTCTGCAGTTGAGCCAGGTTTGGTGTAGTATGCTCAAACCATCTTGCCCTGGTGAGGAACCTGGCTGCTGAATTCTGCACCAGCTGAAGTTTCTGAACCATCTTCAGTGGCAGCCCTATGTCTAACCTCGAGGTTACCAGAGCATAGACAACAGTAGTTAGATTCAGGTAGGTAGCCGTGTGGGTCTGATACAGTCGAAATAAATAGAAATTTTTAAAAAAATGTCCAGTAGCACCTTAGAGACCAACTAAGTGTGTTCTGGGTATAAGCTTTCATGTGCATGCACACTTCTTCAGATACAAGTGTGCATGCACACGAAAGCTTCTACCCAGAACAAACTTAGTTGGTCTCTAAGGTGCTACTGGACATCTCTATCTCTCTATCTCTCTATCTATTTTTATTTCAACAGTAGTTAGGCTATCCCTGTCTGGATAGGGGTGCAGCTGGGCCACCAGCTGAAGCTGATGGAAGGCACTCCGGGCCACTGAGGCCACCTGAGCATCAAGCAACAGTAAAGGATCCAGAAGTACCCCATCAAGTAACTCCATCAAGGGCAAGCAACCTCCCAGCCTTCCAGTCTAGGGAACTGCCCACTAATAGTGCCTCAGTCTTATCTGGATTGAGCTTCAGTTTGTTAGCACTCATCCAGTCTATGACTGAGGTAAGACAATGGTCCATCACATTCACTGCCTCACCTGCAGATGTAAAGGAGAAGTAGAGCTGTGTGCCATCAGCAGATTATTACAATGTATTCCAAACCTCTGGATAACCCCATTCAGTGGTGTCATGTAGATATTAAATAGCATACATAGGGGATAAAATCGAACACGGAAGAACCCCACATTGAAGGTTCCATGGGGCTGAAGAGCACTCTCCAAGCATCCCCCTCTGGAAACGTCCATCCAAGGAGGACGGGAACTACCAGAAAGCAATGTCACCCACCTCTGATTCAGACAGTTGCTCCAGAAGGATACCATGGTTGATGGTATCAAAAGCCACTGAGAGGTTGAGGAGAATTAACAGAGACACATTTCCCCTTTCTTTCTCCCGACAGAGGTCATCATACAGGGCGACCAAAGCAGTTTCTGTGCCAAAACCGGGCCTAAACCCCGATTAAAATGGATCTGGAAAGTCAGTTTCCTCCCAGAGCGCCTGGATTTAGTCTGTGACTACCTGCTCAAGAACCTTGCCCAAGAAGGGGAGACTAGCAGCTGCTGGTAGTTACTTAGATTTTCTGAATTCAGGGAGAGTTTTTTGAGGGACCACCTTGCAGGGAGGCATTGATCAAGTCCCTGCCCCAAACAGCTGTCTCCTCCCTGCTAGTTGGGTGGTTTTTTACAGTCAAGAGGGGCAGGGCTCCAGAGTACAAGTGGTTACCCTGAATGATCCAAGCATCTTGTCCACATCCTTGAGCCTTCCTGATTGAAACACATCCAACACAACAGGACTGGGGATTCTTAAAAGCGATTGTAACTTTCCATATAGTGATAAGGTTTCTACAGCAACGATCCCTTGATAGCATTAGATATTTAGAAGCAAATTTATTATGGTACCCTTCAGACTTAAGCCTGTTAACACAACATTACAAAATATTGGCAACCCCTACTACACATGAGTGTTTAAGCAAGTGCATTTTACTTAGATTAATTGAAAAATCCAGTGGATATAGATTCTCTGGTGGAATAGATCTTTAGCCTCAGGGAGGAATATATGTAAATAGCTATAAATTATGCCGGAAACCTAAACAGTCTTAGTAAAATCCAGTAAGACTGCTTATGATACTTAAAAATGGAAGGTTACGATCCCAGTGCACTGAATGTTAAATATACATTGGCAGGTTATCACTGCTGCCCTGGACTGATTAGTGGCTTAGGAGGATGATAGATGCTCTAACTGCTAATAAGTTTGCTTTGATCTGTGTATTTACAAGAAATGTGTACAAAAAAAACTTGGCAAGATTACAACTTAATTATGTGTCATTATGCTGTGTAGGAAGAATAATTGAAATGTGGCCCCTGAGACTAAATAGTGCAAATATACTGCATCTTATTTTATTTAGATAGACAGGCTAAATTAGCTGTGTGATGAATTTGTTATGAATACAATTATTCAGTTGGTAAGTGGATGTAACACATGTCTAGGTCTGAAAAGGATCCTTACTCCATAAAATATTTCTGGTTCAAATAGTTTTTGCTGTAGATCAAAGTAGTTTTATAAGTGAATATTGACGAAGAGGTCGGGTTTCTGTAAAAGATGAAATATTTTGCATTGCAGTGGTTTGACTTGGGGGGAATCAAACCTTGCCCTTTGTTTTCACAACTTCTTTCAGGGAGTGCTCAGTTACTGCTTTGTAGAGCAAAGCAAGTCTTGAAGCATTAGCTCTGCATATTGGCTTTGAACGCTACCCATCCATGAATTTGCTAAGGCTGATCTTGCTTGCTGGTCAAGAGTTATTATAGGAACACAGGATGTGATCCAATAGTTTCACCTTGTGAAGCCATCATTTTGTTCCCAGCGCAAGAAGGTTGGATACTATCCATATGACGCAGTCTTATTCCAGATCAGGCTATTTGTTGGGCATGTGTTTCACATTCTCTTCTACCTGATTTTTTTAAAAAATGTTAAAAATAAAAGCAAATAAATTGGAATTTCCACGGATTGAACCCTGGCCCTTTTGCAGTCCTTCTCCAATGTGAACTTCAGCCAGGAGAGGTCATTTTCTACATCAGTGCCACTTCCTTCTGACCTTGGTTGGGCCACCTGCATTCTGTGTTGTTTTATTGTTTGTTTGTTTTAAAAAACTTGCTCTATCTCTAAATGGTACTATAAAATGTTAGCTAGCAGAACCTTTTCTGACCTATGAAAGCATTCCTGAGTGTTACAAAATTAATATTCTTCTGCTTAGTTTCTAAAGATATTAGCAGTGCAAACTTTCAAGTCTGCTGTATTCGCCTTCAGGGTAGGAACTATTCGGGGTGCAAGTTGGAACAGTAGTACTGCGTGTTGCTGATTTTGTTGGTGGTGGATTTCAAAGAAATGTCCACCCCTGATTTTTTATTTCTTCTGTGCTGGTTGTATAAAGAACTGTTCCAGTTGAGTGTGAGGTTTTAGGGATAGCTGCTTTTGTGCTTCATTTTCTTCTTCCAGCTTATATTGGGATATCGGAATATCTGAACTGAAATGAATTGTCACTGCTTGAGGACTGAAGAACTATCTATTTGTTTGTATTCTTAAATCTAGGTTAACCATAGGAGTTGTAACATTATGAAATGCATAAAATTACTGTTTTTTGCTAGGTGAGCGTGGTCCAAGACTCAGTGAATATATCAGGACAGTCCAGTACAAACACACTAAAGGTACCTGAATGCCGGCTAGCAGAAGATCTAGGAAATCTCTGGGAAACAACAAGATTTACAGATTGTAGCTTTTATGTAGGTGGAGAAGAGTTCAAAGCTCATAAATCTGTTCTTGCAGGTACCTGCTCCTTCTGTATTTATAATTTGTTTGATAAAATTATTTCGACCTTGGTATGGTACTAATGCTTTTGTCTCTTGCGACAGCTCGTTCACCTGTTTTTAATGCAATGTTTGAACATGAAATGGAGGAAAGCAAAAAGGTGAGTGAATGTTATCGTCATATGATTTGTAAAGGAGGGTTTGTTTGTTTTTACAGAAAACTGTAAGCTTTTGGTGTAGATCAAGAATGCAGTAGCTGGGTAACTGGGTTAGGTTAACTGATTTTAAAAAAACACCTTACAATTAGCTTAAAAGGTGATTGAGATTTTAATTGAACATTGTTTAAAATGGCAATTATTTATAGTGCAGAAAAACTATGGGCAATAGTTCCACATTAGATGGGGCATTTTGCCTTCATGCTCTCCCGGGGGCAGGGGGTGGGCTGCATTTTTAACAAGACTAATGCATGGCACAAGATGGCCTAGCTGCTCCTGATACGGTCATTGTTACCAAACAAATTGAGGGGCAAAGGATATAGTTGTGAGGATTTAATATTGAGAAGCATTTAAATAAAACTGGCATTTCATTCAAATTGGACCTTACCCTCAGAAATGGAAATGGAGGGAGTAATTGTATGAGAAGCATAGAATTAACATGCCTGACCCTTAAGATTAGAAGAGTTAGACAGATTCCATCCATTTCAGCAAGTGCAGTTTTATGGTTCAGCATGCTCTAGAAACCTGTCTGAAATGTATGTAGAGACCCATGGAACTAAGATGTTAAGAGTAAGAGTCTCCGATTTTTAACTTTCGAGTAGGATTTGAATGTGCCCACCACTTAGAATAGGATTCCAAGCAACTACAGCAGGAGCTAAATATCTCTTGTCACGTTACATCAGGACACTTTGGATATGAAATAGTAAGCTATTAGGAATTACACAGTGTAGATGGCTTGTAATATTTTAAGTCGGAACCATGACAAGTTTTTTCTGTTTCACCTAACAGAATCGTGTAGAAATAAATGATGTAGACCCTGACGTTTTTAAAGAGATGATGAGGTTCATTTATACCGGGAAAGCTCCAAACCTTGACAAAATGGCCGACAGCTTGTTGGCAGCAGCAGACAAAGTAAGTAATTGCCTATACAAGGGCTTTATAGGTCATTTGAATGAAACCCAAAAAGTGTTTCTTTTGGGAGATTTTTATATAGTTAAGAAAAGCACAGTAAGGAACTGGATTATTAGCAGTAGAAATATATTAGAAGACATAAGATCCTATGTAGTTTAGCTAAGTGCTTCCTCTCAGGTGTTCTGGGTGTCTTTAGAAAGAACTTGAGGAACAGCTGCCTTTGTATGCTGTTGTGTGAATTGAATGGATTTGTTTACGAAGAGTAAATATGCAAAGACAAGTGATAGAGGACTAATTCAGGCCTGTTTCCCCTTACGCTGTGTCCAGACATTATCACGGTGTCACTGATACAGAGGGGGAGCTTCAGATGTTGTTTAAAGCTTAAGATGACAGCAGCAGGCTTTTTATAGCTAATAGTGGGCAAATTGTATTTAAGCTGTATATATACATAGGTCCTCTTCAGATACAGCCGCTGGGTAACATAACCAGCCGGCACAGTCCCATTCCACCTCACACAGCCACTGAATGTGTGTTTGAAGGGAGTCTGTGTATTTCCTTACATTAACACAGTTGGCAATTCTTTGAGGGGCCAATTACTTCACAGTTACTAGAAAGTAGATACCTATTAGAAATGTCTGCTTTTTAGATTAAGGTAGGAAAGAACAAATGTGAACAACAACGGGCTTTCCCCCTCTTCCTTTAGTATGCACTGGAACGGCTAAAGATCATGTGTGAAGAAGCTCTGTGTAGTAACCTCTCAGTAGAAAATGTTGCAGACATCCTCATCCTCGCAGATTTGCACAGTGCAGAGCAGTTGAAAGCACAAGCAATAGAGTTTATTAACAGGTATGTAATTGACTTCCTTTCTTTAAAAAGAATTTGCATCCTGTGAAGTGAAATCTCCTGAAAAATTAATATCTGGATATTCTCTCATGCCACAGGTGCAGTGTTCTTAGGCAACTTGGTTGTAAAGATGCGAAAAACTGGAACAGCAAGTACGTACTGGCTACGCTTCAAAGCCGTCTGTAAACAGTGTGTGGTATTTGGCACAAGTCCTGTAATCAGAGTAGACCTATCAAAGCTAATAGATGTGACTAAGGGTCATTAATTGGCTATACTCTGAGTAAAACGTGGTTGAATACAACCCAATCAGTTTTTGTTGTCTCGATCTTAAATTCTATCATAGCAGAATAAACAATGTATACCAAAAACAAATAATTAGAATACCAGTGTCCATATAGATTTGTTCCCAACTTCCTCTTGCGAAAGAAATGAAGCCACTTTCTGTTACCAACTTTTTCCTGTATCTCCATTTTCTGTAGACTTAAGCAGAGTTGAAACTGAGACTATGGGTGGAATTCCAGGTCACACTCTTCTGATTGTTCCATCAGCGCAAGCATTTCTGCTTGCCAGATGGAGCAGTCCCTCTTCTCCTCCCCCCGCCCCAAATGTGTTCTTCTGGGGGTTTTCCTCATTCCCTAGAGCAAATTTGGGGGAGGGGGGGAACCATGTTTCAATAATGGGAGCCCTTCCCCCTGGCTTCTGCTAGCACACTTGAGCTGGTTGAATCCGGGCCAGCAATTCTTTCCTTGTGCATAGGGCACTGAAATTGACAGAGAATATCTTCCACTGTTCTCATACCACAAGTGCAGCATCTTAAGTAACAGAAGATATTCTTGTAATGTCCATCTGGAACAGTATAGGGCCTGTGCTGAAACCTTAAACAAGCTTCCAATGTTGATCCAGGACTTGAAGATCTGAAAGACAGCTTTTGTAGTCATGGTCAAACTTAATCATGTGATTCAGAGAAGGCAATGTTGGACTGACTACAAATTTTTAAATTCTGCTTTGGTAGCAGGGTGGCTGGGGTGACCCAACGGGATGGGTGGGGTACAAATAACAAAAATTTGGCTTAAAATTGAAAAACAAGTTTGCTGCAGATTCTCCAAAAGCTAGATTGTCCTTTGCAGCCAAGTGCACAGCTGAAAAAATTATCCTTAATAATACAATGCTATGCATGTTTACTCAGAAGCAACTCCCATTGAGTTAATGGGGCTTGCTTCCAGAAAAGTATGCACAGTATCACAGGTACTCTTCTAATCCATGGCTTAGATATACCAGCAAGCTGATTTACCTGGGAGCATGTCCCATTGAACTTACTGTAGTAACTTCAAAGTGGACTTACATAGGATTGCATTGTCTCCTGAACCTGATTCTTGTAATTCTTTTATTGACAGCCAAGCCACGGACATCATGGAAACGGCCGGCTGGAAGTCAATGATCCACTCCCACCCCCACTTAGTAGCTGAGGCCTTTCGAGCGTTAGCATCTGCACAGTGTCCACAGTTTGGCATTCCACGCAAACGACTAAAACAGTCATGAAATCTTCCATGAACTATAGAGAATATAAGACTCCTCATCCCTGTCCAGAGGGGTTTCCACAGACCATCTGCCAGAATTTGCTACCCCCTGTCCACAGAACAGAAAGCTTTTAAGAGTGGATAGTAATATATGGTTTAATAATCAGCTTTAATTTAGACTGATAACTCTCCAGTTCACTGAAAGGCCTTAACGTCAGTTACTCTAGTTCATTTGTGGTTTTCTTTTTCCTTTTTCTTTTTAAATTGTGCCTCGTCTTTTTGACTCGGCTATGTAGGATTGCACTAGCTCCATAATGCAGTAATGCTGATAAATGAAGACCGTTCTTGAAAGGGATCTTCCTTTTTTTAAAAAAAACAAAACAGAACCCAAAATGAAGAGTATAATTTGGTCTTGTGGTAACTGGAAGGTTTCAACTAGCCTCTTATTAAAAGCGCTTGAGTTGAGGGGCAGCAAGCACTCCAGTCAAAGTACTGTATTTAGGGTGCATCTGTCTACCTTCACAGGGTGCTGCCAGGCATGCTGTGGCAATATACTACTCTGAATATAATTTATTTTTCATTGGTTCAGGTGAGTGAGAGAAATATGCAATGTCTTGGCCCAGAAATGTATTTTGCTAGAATTTCTAAATGCTTACTCCGTGAGTGTCTCCATCAGATGTTAAAAGAAACACACAGTAACCCTTTTTGGCCTGTGTTCCTTTACGATTCGTTGCTATTTAACATTTACATTGTACTGAACCAGAGCGAAAGCTAGTATGGAGAGAGAACAAGTGATATATGCTGGGGAAGAAGTGGTTATTTCTCACATGGGATACATGGAAGGTCAAGGATGCATAAGAATGACCAAATGTAAATTTCAGAAATGGGCCAAATTATGGATTCTCAGTATGCACTTTTAATGTGTAACTTTTGTATGTTGTCTGGTACATATATATTTTGGTTTTGATAAATATGGTACAGCAATTGTGGCCTAACTTTTGAAATACATTAAGATGCCCACAGCCACATGGGATTTAGTTTTGTTACTGCAAACAAGGAAAGCATGACTTTAGAGATGTTGATTCAAAGTGACTATCTCAAGTGTTCATGTTAGAATCCATTCTATTTTCACACTTTGGGCAGGCTTAGCTATGTTCCTTTAGTGTGTGTATGCACAAGCCTGTTCACACTAGTGGAAGTTGCACATACACACACTTAACAGGAAGAATAGGAGTCTGAAACGTCAGTATTTATAAGCACTGACTTGCTGTTTTTAGCATTTGCTATTGTACTAGCATTGTGGATGGTATTGAAATTCTGCATAATGTGAAAAGGATATAACAACCTGTAAACTGCTTGTAAAGGGCCAGTTTTTCTATACAAACCTTCGCTTTAATGCCACCACTTCCAGTGTTTTTGCTAGCTTTGTTTACAGTTGGGAAGATTTGTCTGCAGCAGTGCACATTTGTAAACGCTTCTTGAATGATTGACAGTGAATTTTACTTTAAACCTGGTGATGTGCTAGATCTGTTGCGTGGTAAAAGTTGTATTTAACCATAGGAAAAGGGAATTGCTCTGAATTTTTAACTAAATATTTTAATTGACCCGTTTGATTCACATGTGTACTCTATTAAGGTTTGTTTACCTTCTCAAAAAGTGCCTCCTTTCTGTTTTCAGTGAGGAGCATTGACATGTTTAAAGTTCTCGAGCATGTTTATTAATTTGAGTAAACATTTATTAAAGAACAGTCGGGGGCAAGCAGAGTGCTCCCAAGCCAGCACAGTGCTAAAATGTGAAACTTACCCACCTTCTGGCTAAACTCACTCTTTAGGGTGACTTGAATGCAGTATTTGAATTATCATCCTTCAGGCACAGTTAAATGCCATTTTAATTGCACTCCTGGTGGTTTCAGTGGGCCTCAATATTACTCAGTGAACCAAACCGATACAGAGATGCATCATAGATTTTAACATTTATTGGCAGTTTCTCCTAATCCAAACTAAGGTCTTGTAGGTGTTTTATCAGGTAAGCTGTGTCCCTCCATTGCAGAGAAACTTCTGCTGCAGTGTAAGAAATTATCATAATGAGCAGCCTCGCAATGTGAAAGTTGCAGCTATAATATACAGAGTGACTTGACTATTTAATACCATAATTGTCCATTTCAGCTTATTCAGAAGCTGCTAGATAGAGCAATCAGATGGAAGATCTTAAGCATTTTGTTTACAAGTTTTTAAAAAGCATAATAGCACACTTTGTACCAAAAAATAATAATTAAAACACTGTGCTGTAAGAATTTCTACAACTCTATGAAAAGTCCACTTGTCAAATTAACAAATTTATGTCACATGGTACACTTAGCAGCCAATCATGATAACTGATATACACGCAGGTCCCACTATGGAACACTGTTTATCTGGAATTTCAGTTATCTGTACACAAAGAATTATACCCAAACCTCACTACACAAATGGCTGATTCAGATATCGGAACAGCCAGCGTTTACCCACTTCCTTACTTGTTTGTGGTTTGCTGGTCTGCAGCAGCCATTTCAGGCAGACAGGGAGATCAGACAAATCATGGATTAGAAATGTTCCCATAGGAAACATTGGAAACCATCAGCTTGTTATGTGAACACTTGCCTATCAAACGATTTCCTGGAAATGCATTGTGTTCTGAAAGTAGGAGCTGTGTGTATATTGTTCCATACATTTGCTATTAAAAATACACAAAAAGGGTTAAACAAATCCTCATCCTGCCCCCTGCCCCCCTTTAGTGAACCACATGCAGTGTTTTCACTCTTCCGATAGTGCTGGCAAGAACAATTTTCTCTGTCTTGCTGCAGTCTGATTACATTTCCTCTTGTTCCATATGAAAAAATCCTGATTGGAACTAGACTTCTCTTTCCAGAGAAGAGATCTAAAGTCCATTAGAGGTTCTCAGTGGGAAAAGGTGAGAAAGGTGATTTTCACTTCCTTCCTCCTTCAGCCCCAGCGCTCCATCTTCCAGCTGTCCTGCAGGGTCACCTGACCCCATAGAGCAGCTTTGGGGGGGATGCATGGGGCTAGGAGCAGGGGAAAATTGGTAGCAATCACCCCTTCCTCCACTGGAGGGCCCTGTTGATTTGGTTCAGCTTATTGATAGCCTTGATCCTCCCCCTAGTGCTGCAGGAGAAAAGGTCTGTTTGCACATGCTTTTTATTGCTGAATACTTGACATTTGGTGAGAATAGTAACAGTCTACTCATTGGGATTTTCAGCACAGTTACCCAAGTGCCATGTTTGGCTTGCCAACTCTGTCCCTTCAATACCCACTGGCCATCACCATCAACCCCCGCCCCCCAAGGGAGCACCCTGCATGTGTTGTGTAATGGTATGTGAGTTTTTAACAAAGATTTATTTTTCAGAAAAACAGGACTCTGTTGCTGTTAAAAGTGGCAGAGGTTTCACTTAATTGAAGTATGAGACAATGTACTTCAGTGAAGGAAACTTCAGTAACCCATCCAGATTTCGACAGTCCATTTACTGCATGCTGAAGTATGAATGCATAGTGCCTTTTTGAAATATAATGGGATGAATTTGTTTTTGAAAATTCTTGGAAAAGGTATAGAGGAGTACTGATGTATGATGAATACATGAATGCAGAATAGAGTGGGTATATGTACGACAGTTTGTCTATCTTCAGAAGCTACAGATGCAAAATATTTTTCAGACGTCTATTTTCTCTGTGCTCAGTAAACTCTGAATTCTAAAATGAGGTTATTGATAGAAGAAAGGCTTAAGATGATTTGTGTTGGGGTTGTGTGTGTTTTTTGTTGGCATGGTTTCATTATTTAAGTATGGAATTTCAATGAGTTTTTGATGACATCTGCCTTCTAAGAGTAACACAGAGTACAGTATCTGTGTTTGTCCCCTTATGAAGAGGCTGTTCCTTCAAGGTCAAGTCTAAATAATTGTGCTAGTAAAGTTCCTATAGAAATTGCGAGGTTAAACAGTGGGAGATGCTTTGTTTTTAGGCTATAACATATGATTTTTTAAACCAATTGATGTTTGTCCCAAGTTTTAATTCTTATTGGCTGGGTTGGTTGGATTTTCTTACCACTTCCTACAAACTGTTAGGTACTGGTTTGTTTTACAACACAAGTACCTTGAATTGCTTGCTTCCTGCTTGCAGCAAATGGACTTCCCCTGAAATGGACACTCATTATTTTTGCCAGTGTTTGCTGTGGTTTGCGTTAATCATACTCTGTAATCTAGTTAATCCTGGATTTTGATATGTCAGAATGAAGGTTTCTCTTTAGTTCTGTTTTAGAATCTAAACATTGGAAGGACTTTAAACCTGGGTCTTAGCTGGGAGTTATTCACATTACCTATCATGTTAAACACTTGCATCAAACCATCCAGCCTTTTATATCCGCCTGATGTTAACAGTGAAATACTTTTTGTACCTTGTTGCTGAAAATATTTTTGCATTTCAGGACATCAAGTTACAATAAAGTTGTTACTTATACAGAAATCTTCTGTGTACCTTGTTGTCTTTGAGACACTGACTTTGCTACGTTTCCCTTGACATATAGCAACGTCAACGATGATCACAACGTTGTTCACTGTCTTGACAATTTTTTTATTCAGAAATCAATAGAAAACAGATCACTTTGTATACACTGGTTTACAACTTCACACACACACACTATATTAATGCTGATTTTAGAGAAGGACATAGGCTGCCACATTGTAGGAAGTGTCATAAAGAATCATATTCAAAATTTGGAGTGGCATCTATGGGTACATCTGCACTGAGAGCTAGGGCACTGACCGCTTCCTACTGAATTTTCACTTGAAGAAACCTTTCATAGCCAATAGAAGGTTATTTCAGATCTCATTTTGGGGGTTACAGTTGGGAAGGGGAGAGTTGTGGCATGTGCGCTGCCCACAGTAATATCTCTGGTCTGTCTGCAATACATTTTACTAACTAATTTGCCAGTTTGCAAATGTTGGAAGATAAAAACAGGTATTTGTCATCCGTGACGTCCAGGTCAGACTACTGTAATGAGCTCCAAAGCACATCCCATTGAAGATGACTTGGAAACTTTAGGTGGTACAAAATGTTGCTGTCCATCTATGGAATGAAATGAGCTGGTGAGAATATATTACTATGTTTTCAAGCCACCAGCATAGGTTGCCAGTTTGGGGCCTGATTTCAAATCCCGACTTTTGATCTACCTAGAGCAGGGCTTTCTCTGTTGTGGCACCTGAGCTACAGAATTCTCTCCCTAGAAAATCATGTTTTGCCTTCTTTTCCTGGCCTCTTTTAAAATACTTTGGCAGGTCTTTGGCAGAAATCACATTTGTTAACTTTGACCATTTTTACACTTGTTGGCAATGAGTTGGAGCCAGACCTGTTATCCTACAAATAGAAGGACTCTTTCTGCTAGCAGAAATGTCTTGAATCTAGCAGAAGCTCCCATGAACTGGGTGCCCCCTCAGGCAGACAAGGAAGTGATATATGCCACACCCCACAACCCATTGAAGCATATTTTTCTTTTTGGGAAGGGAAACAAGGTATTTGCAAGAGTTTACTGGAATTCTGTTCTGTGCCACTCTGGATATTAGTCCTTGTATTACTAAGACTTTTTCAGTATTCTTGTTTTAGTTTCACAAAAATGCAAAACGTTTAGTGATGATTTATAAGTATTGTTTATATCATACTCTGCAGGATCTCTAGGTATTTTCACCACACAAGTACTTTGATTGCTTACTTCCAACTTAAGAGATGCCTTGGCTGTTTAATTGCTTCGTTATTAAAAGCGTCTGCTCCGAACCAATAGTTTAAGAGGCAGATATTCATAACAGAACTATCTGCATTTCAAACTATTGGTTTGAAGCAGATGGTTAGCAATTTGAATTCCAGTCAGCATATTAGCACAAAACTTTTCAGCGACGGTCATCCTGGGGTAGATGGCTTCACCCAAAGTGTAGGCAAAGGACTGAAGAGGGAAGGGAGTATTGTGAAATAATGGCTTGAAAAATAAAACTGCTCCCTTTCCAAAGCAGGCTGGGTTGTGAGGTACTGCAAAGATTGATGCCCAGTTTGGGACTGAGTCCCTCCGCTTCCCAGCAGCACTTCATCCCATATTGTTTAGGAGGCCATATTGTTTAGAAGGTGAGTTTTTGAAAATGTATTTTTATATAACTCTGGATTTCTAGCCATAGTTCACCAAAGGCTTATGTCACGAATCAAGCTATGTATCCAGTTTAAGGGTAATAAGTAATGTCAGTCATGCTGAATAGACATACTGAAATCTGAACTTCAATAAATGGGATAACCCCCAAAGTTTTTCTTAAAACTTCTTTGTCAATAACCTTCAACCCGGGGGGCGGGAGGGAACACTCTGGTCAGGTCTGGTTAATTTGAAAGCAAAACATTTAAGAGGCCGTAAACTGTACTATTTGTTGGAGGGTGAGGTGGGAAGTGGGTGTGGATAGAAAAAATGCTCTCCAGTCACTTAGATATTAATAGCAGACTCCTACTTTTGACAAGCTGACAGAATTAGAGAATTGAAACTTGATGAATCTTAATGTTTTCTGTCATGTAGCTCAATTTCCCCAAATTATTTCTCCAATTAGTTCTAGTCTTTTGTGAAGGAATGTCTAATGATAATTAATACATTCTTTTCTATTTGCATATTCAAGCTCGAGCATGTCTAAAACATGCAGGTTTGTTGTGAGGGCAAGTCAGAATTTCTGCAGAGGTAAAGAAATGTCATAAATACACACTACACGGATGAGCCCCCCAGATTTTAAAGTACAACCTTTTCCCCTTCCTAAAGCACAGAATCTTAATTAGCATACTTTAACTAGATCCTGTTAAGTGAGCTAGACATCAGTCTCCATTTCTCTATACAGGCATCCCCCCACTTATGCGGGCTTATGTTCCGGGTGCTGCACACGTAAGTGAAATTGTGTAAAAAAAACCCCCACTAAATGCCTATTTTCCCCTGCTCTCCATCTCTCTCCCGCTCTCCAATCCAGACCAAAATATCTAGAGTTGAAGCTCTGGGACCATCTAGAAGCTAACAGAAAGCACCTGCTGCTGCTGTGCTGCCCAGCACGTCAGCTGTTAGGCGGGGAAGCTGAGCAGCCTAAATAAAGTCCCGATGCAGCTCAGATTTCTTTGAGACTTCCTCTGCCCACACTGACATCCTCTTCGGGCTCCGGAGAAGGTCTCCTCACAAACCACAAGGACTCTCCAGCTCTCTTCCACCATTTCCTGGTATGATTCTATTTGTTTCTCGGCACCATGCATAAATGTTGTTTAGTTGTTTAGTCGTGTCCGACTCTTTGTGACCCCATGGACCAGAGCACGCCAGGCACTCGTGTCTTCCACTGCCTCCCGCAGTTTGGTCAAACTCATGCTGGTAGCTTCGAGAACACTGTCCAACCATCTCGTCCTCTGTTGTCTCCTTCTCCTTGTGCCCTCAAGTGATCATGGAGCCCAAGAAAGTAAAATCTCTCACTGCCTCCCCCTATGCACATCAGGGGAACCCGCATAAGCCTGCCCAGCCCCCATTCCTCTAAGTCGAAAAGGACCCATACGTTGGCAGTCACTTATCAATTGGACATGCCTGAAATGGTCGCTGCCTGTAGCAGAATTTGTAGGATCCCTAAAGGGAGCAGTGTTTCTTGACAAGAAGCAGAGCCAAACTTCCTCACCCAGGCTGAGGTGACGTTCAAGCACTTTTAGAGGTATGATTAAAAGGCAACAGATTGTCAATTACAGAGTTATGTTGTTGTCACTATTAAGGGGTGTTCTTTGGATGGATGGATGGATGGATGGATTATTTATTTATTTATTTTCCTTGGGTGTTTATGATACATATTGCTACCTGGTCCCACCAGCTTCAACAGTAGAAGTCTGAAACTTATCACGATGGTAGCATTTTGCCAGTATATACATAATACTTATTTAATTATTTAAATAATTCCTTTATTTATTTATTTATTTATTTATAAACTCGCAAGCAGTTCACAACCTAATTTAAAGCATTAAATAAAGCTTTACAAAATAAATATTGCATACAAAGGTCAAATATAAATGACATATTTAAAGCAGCACAGTTAACAGTAAAACAAAAATATTATCTTAAATTTAAAAGCATTGCGGGTACAATAAACTCCCCTCAAAACAGCCTCGTTCATGATAAAATAAAATAACAGTGACACAAGCTTCACCCACACTTTCCACATATAGTAGGCTTAAAATCTGCATCCCTTGTTTGCGGCTTTCACAAAGCAATTTACTCCACATCACTGTGAAAAGCTGTTTACTTGTGTGTGTGTGTGTGTCATCATTCTAGATGTGCAGCTGCAGGATGTGAAAAGTCCATCACATGGTGATAGTCACTGTATGGGGTGAATTGACACGTGACTATATCACGCAAAACAAGCCCCAGCTTAGCAGGGCCTAGAGTGGGGAACTCCTTTCAACCTTGACCATTGGCTAAGGTGACTGAGGTTGATGGGAATTGAGAATCCAACATCTGGAGGGCTTCAGGTTCTCCTCCTCATTGCACCCTTGACACCTTTTCACTCTGGGCTGTATTGAAATATTCTCAAGTGTTTGAAACACAGTTTGAGAGAGTTCCTTCTTGCCACAGATATCTAATCGGTCCGTGGTACTTTGACTAGGTCTTTTGAACAGAGAAAAAACTTCTCACGCCAGATGTTGGCTTGAAGATGGATAGGCAGCTAATTTTAAAAATAAAAACTTATTCTAGACAAATATTGGAGAGACCTTTATACTCTTGCACTGCATTTATAACACATCCTATTTAATATAGATTTATTACATTTTCTTTTTTATATGGAAGACCAAAAAAAAAGAGAGGATATGGCTTGTGAGTGGACAGGGAAAGTAATAACTTCCATCTGCCCGAAGTGGCCTTTGATTCAGGAATCTGCCAACAATAGGAGTGTTATCAGCTTTATTTGGACAGACTTTGCCATTACCTGACAAAGGGAGCAATTATGAGAGCCAATGTGAGCAATTTTGCTAATGCTACCTGACTTCATGCTTCTAAACAGAGCAATAATCAAATTTATTTGTGATGTGTGTTGAGGAGAATGCAAATGGAACACTCCACTGAACACTTGTGAACTGTAAATAGAGCATGAAATCACTTTTGCACAGTAATTCTAAAAAATCAACACTCTACCCCCCCAATCCCTCCCCCCACTTTTTGCAATATGAGTTTTGCTGTGAGAATGTAAAATTAGGTACAGTACAATCTGTGACTGGACTAGGCATTTAGGAAATGGGGTGTAAGTTTAACAAGGAGAAAAGATCAAGTAGAAAGTCCTTTTTGCACAAAAATGCCCCAGCTGTGTTCAGCATAGAAAGTTTATTGACCTTAAGTCCTATTGAAACAATGGACTAATAATGCACAAAATAATGGACTAAATAATGACTGAGTTATCTCACTGGTTTCAGTGGGATATACGGTGACCACCTTTTCTATGGAGTGAGGTCCATGGTTTACAGACTGCAGGTTGATGGACATGCATTTTTATTTTGGTGGGAGGGATCATGCTGTGGAAGGTTGCATGTACGCACACACATAATTTTGTATCCCAAAGCTGACCTATAGCAGGCACCCCCAAACTCAGCCCTCTAGATGTTTTGGGACTACAATTCCCATCATCCCTGGCCACTGGTCCTGTTAGCTAGGGATGATGGGAGTTTTAGTCCCAAAACAGCTGAAGGGCCGATTTTGGGGGTGCCTGGTCTACAGCTATTTGTGTTTACAATTATGTGGCTGAAAGCCATGTTGTGTTACAAACCTTGTTATTTGGCATTGTAAATGCAGTAGGGAGACCTCAAACTTCTGAGTTGCCTCATTCTTCCCCCCCCCCCCCGCAAATGCCTCTCTCCTCTCCTCACAAGCCTCGCCCCTCTATTTTTTTCTTTTCTAATAAACTAAATCAAACTAAAGGAATTCCCAGCACTCAAGAGGGGATGGGGGTAGAGAGATGGGGGGGGGGAATCTTTGCAATTTCCCCAGCACTCTCCATTCACAGTGATTTGGGGGGAGGGATGTTGAAGTAAAATTAAACAGAGGTGCTCTTTGTATGAGTTGTGATTCTCTTCTGAGTTTTGGTTGTGAAAGCAGGGTGTAAGCAGTGCAATTAGACTCTTGGGGTGGCCTGCTTCTTTCCCAATCTATTCTTTGTCCTAATACACAATTTAAAAACATTGCCCTCTTCCCCTACCTCACAGAGGGTACTTCCACGAAGGTGGAGGGTGGTGGTGAGAAAAAACGTTTTTTGTAACTAAGTTATCTTTTTAATAGGGAAGGTACCCAGGGGCATCTCACTCATGTTCCCATTTTTCAAACTGATAGCCCCTAAAAAGAGGGATTCTGATTTCTATTTTCCAAGAGACCAGTTGTACCTGTCTTTTGGGAAATTGTCACACTTTGCCCCCTCAGAAGAGGCAACCATGCTAGCAACTTGCATCCAATTCTGACAGAAAATAAAAAAGTTAAGGATTTCTTATTGGAAAATTTAGCCTGAAAATTAGTGGGCTTAATCCACTTGAGGGGTTCCTTTGCCTGAAAATTTCATCCACTTGTGAAAAAAGTTGGCCATTTTTAGACTTCACATTATTATCAATGGGTACGAAGCAGAACTTCAGATTTAACACAGATCATATCTGGACCTCAATGTCAATTTAATTGGGATAACTGAGTGGCTCTAAAACAGATTGCTCTGCTTCCAATGGATACAAGGTTAATATTTTTGTCATTGCATACCCCTAGTATATGTCTAAGCCCACCTCTCTCTCTGCCCATTGCTTTTATGAACTCCAGTCAAACAATATTCTCCCATCCCACTTTGTGTGATACCTTTTCTACCATGGAAAATTTTGCTGCTCTTCCGGCAGCCATCATTAAAGCTGAATTTGGCTGAATTTGGTCCCTTTTATTGATTGCAGTGCCTATCAAGTGTCTTTATCTCACAATTTGCTAAGTTATCCAAACCTGTATAAATAATCAGTAGTTTGAATAGCTAATCAAGCATGATAATCACAAAGGTGCAAATGTGTGCTTGGAGGATATTTCTTTCATTTAGTGTGTTCCTTCTGTCGTGAAACGGAATGTATTTTTCCAGTACTCCGTACATTGTGCTTTCATATTCTGCAGCAGATTAAAATGTCAATCATCTTTTCCCTAGTTCATATAGTGTGTCCTCTAAGCCTCAGGGAAGGGGCGCGCATGTCTAGGTTTGCTTCTGCCCCACCAATAAAAAGAGCCGTGTGGAATGAAATATGTGTGAGGCGGCACAGCGAGATGTCAAATTTGTCCCGAAATAATGAGTTAGCGCCAAATGCTAATTAAATATTGATGAAAGTCATACTTTCAATTATCTTCATTATGGCCTGATGTTTTATGTAGACATTAAGGGCTTGGAGTAGGAGCTCATATTGTAATTAGTTGTGCTGTACAGAAGCACAAGGTATTTTTCTTCTGGGACGAACTGAGGGCTGGGCTGAAAGCGAAGAGGCACATTTTGCAATAATGCTCAGCGCTGTCAGATTTCAGCATTTGGTGGCATTTTTAAAAGTTAGTCATAGTCAGATCATTTGTATACCCCATTTTCCACAGATTTGTGCTCAAAGCAGATTACAACACCTAACAATTAAAACTGTTGCAGCACTAACAGTTCAACAATGAACAATTTTCATATATATGTATATGAAAATTAAGGGAGTATGAAGCTTACCAACAGGTCTTTTAATATCCCAATGGAGCCCTAAATCTAGTGAGAGCCTTTTCTCCGTTCAGAAGGAAGACCTAGCCCAACTACCTACCTGATTAGGTATCTGTGGCAAGAAGGAACTCTCTCAAACTGTATTTCAAACACTTGATGATATTTCAATACAGCCCATAATCGGGGCGCTTCCAGATGACCTGTTTGTTGAGCATTCCTCCTGATTTGTTTGTAGAGCCATTTGATGATGTTGCACCAAAGCAAGTATTAACCTACACAGCATTTCTCCATCAAAAAGTCCAGTTTGTTGCTCAAGATCTCCCAGTGAACTATAATTGTGCAACCTGAAATTGCTAGCCCATGAGTGAATACCACCCCAAAACCAGCCACAGTCTGGAAGCACCCCTTAGACTCAAAAGTCTGGAACGCATTTCACAGGCATTCTTGCGATTGTTCCCTTATGACAGTTCCTACAGCAAGAGGGAGCCGCCATTTCTCTCACTTTCTCAACCCTGACGAAAGGAGACAAAGGTACTTACCCATTTATAATGAGGCAAACCGAATCCAGGGACACTTTTCTACTCATTCTTGAGCTTGGGAATGTAGCGTAGCGATGTCCGCACATTCAGCACATGGCCTCCAATGGGCTGGGATAAGTATTCCCGGGAAGAACCTCCCACAGTAGTTGCCAAAGCAAGATTGCGGAGATAATGATGACAAACAAGTACTACAGTTATCTTTAAAAATGAAACGGGCAAGCATTTGTCACACGTAACTCTGTTACAAAGACAATGAGACATGTGTTTAAATAGTATGCCCTACTTTGATAGATGAGATCAAGGAGAGTTTGAAAGAAGCCACTCTAGGCTCCAGGGAATCCCATCCTTGGCAGAGGTGAGGAGGCAGGAGACACAAAAGCAAGCATTTTCTGTGGCAGCACCCCATTTTCAGGGAACATGTGGATTTGCCCCCACAGCTGAGTCATTGAAATGACATTGAAGACTTCTTTTTAAACTCAAGCCCTTAAGTTGACAATAGAACCAGCGCTGTGGTCTAAACCACTGAGCCTCTTGGGCTTGCCGATCGTAAGGTCAGCGGTTCGAATCCCCGCGATGGAGTGAGCTCCTGTTGCTCTGTCCCAGCTCCTGCCAACCTAGCAGTTCGAAAGCACACCGGTGAAAGTAGATAAATAGGTACCGCTGTGGCTGGAAGGTAAATGGCGTTTCTGTGCGCTCTGGTTTCCGTCACGGTGATCTGTTGCGCCAGAAGCGGTTTAGTCATGCTGGCCACATAACCCGGAAAGCTGTCTGTGGACAAATGCCAGCTCCCTTGGCCTGAAAGCAAGATGAGCGCAGCAACCCCATAGTCACCTTTGACTGGACTTAACTGACCAGGGGTCCTTTACCTTTACTTTTACCTTTGTTCTATTAAATAATTGTTATGATCTGAACTATTTTAAAGGTTGTACACAATCACATCGTTGCAAGGCATCCTGTGTCCTTAAGGGGGGATGAGTGGGGTAAAAAACTTACAAATAAAGAAAAATAAAACCACTTACAGAAATGGTTCAAAAATATTTTAGGTCCATCCCAGGCTAAGAAGGATTTTTTAGTATGTGAAGATGCCCTGTCTGAATCAGTCCATTATGCCCAGTATCAGTGATAGTGACTCTCTGTGGTTGTGACATTCTTAAGTGGAGCTGCTTTATATCACTTGGAGAATTGCGATAATTATTAGTACTACTTTTTATGCAGAACAATGAAATGCTTGAAGTGACCCTAAGAATAGATACAGTATGGTGCTTGTGGTTAGGTGAAAGAGAAAACGGGATTACAGAATACTACCAGCAATTGTTAGACTCTCAACAGTGGAAGCTCTGAATAGGTTGAGTGAGCGCATCTCATGATGAGTTTGGGTTTCATCCTGCCTCACGGGAGACAAACCTCTGAAGCCCTGATCCCAAAGATTCAATGATCCTAAAAATTAAGGCAAATCAGCTGAAGGGTAATAATACAAAGTAAAAGGGAGGAGGGACTTGAGTGCCAGCTGCTGTGAGGGCAATTTCAACACTCATAATGGTTCCCTGCCCCCTCTTCGCTGTTAAAACTCCAACTTCGGAATTCTGCCATCCCACCAGGGGGAAAGAAAGCCTCAGACTATGAGAAAGGGATCTGAATATCCAGAGGCGAAAGCAGGCGGAATTAATGATAGAATAATATTCCAAGGGCTGTTTAATTAAACCACTTTTGTTAATAATGCAGTGCAGAGGATCTGTGTTATGTAATTAAAGATAGTACATTGGTAAATGATAACTATGCAAATCCAAGTCATAAAATTTAAATGTGATTGGTGTTAAACTTAATGCAAGAGGGAACAGAAAGCCAAGTGAAATGAGATTCCGAGTTATTTCTTCCAACTATAAATGTTAATCAAAATTTAGCAACAGGATGTGATGAGTGTTGGTTAAATATCAAGTGTTTTAACTATAATTTAAAATATCAACTTAGTATTAGTTTGCTTTGGTCACCATTTTCTTACACAGAGTCATTGGCTTGCATGTTCCCTGACAGTTGTCAACATTTTGCTGGCTACCACATTTCACGGTAATTCACTGGCAATGAATAGTCTCACCTATCTATATGAGGTTCTTCACTGTGTCTTAATATGCTCCTTTTTAAAGCAGTGTGGAAAGACACTGACAAACCGCATCAGGAGCAACTTTAAAAATAAAAAATAAAGGCTCCCATCTGCACTATGCACTTAAAGCAGTACACCAGCACTTTAAAAAGTTGTTACTTCTCCCCAGGATTTATGGGAATCGTAGTTTATTAAGGCTGCTGAGAATAATTAGGAGACCCCTACTCCCCTAACAGACCTACAATTCTCAGAGTTCCCTGTGAAAAGGGATTGACTGTTAAACCATTCGGATTGTTCTTACTAAAAACATGCCAGTGCTGCTTTTGAGTGTGAGGTTCAATGGGGGGAAAATGCATACACAAAATGCATTGAAAATTCTGCGCTGGTGCATAGAGGGTAGAGCAAGCTTATTTTCTCCTGCTCTACAGACCCAAAGTAATGAATTCAAGTTGTAAGAAAGGAGAGTTCAACCACCAGGAAGAGCTTTCTCACAGTAGTAGCTGTTGGACAGTGGAACGGGCTCCCTTCGAAGGTTTTACTCTCTCCTTCTTTGGAGATTTTTAAGCAGATGTTGGATGGCCATCTGTCATGGATGCTTTAGTTGAGATTCCTGGATTGAAGGGGGTTGGACTAATGACCTTCGGGACCCTTCCAACCTTACAATTCTATGATTCTGTAATTCTATGTTTGCCCTCCTCCTTTCACAATCAGGGGTCTTCCAATGAAGCTGAATGCTGGAAGGTTCAGGACAGACAGAAGGAAGTAGTTCATGCAGGGTATGCTCATGAGATGTTGGCCACCAACTTGGAGAATTTGAGGATTAGGCAAATTCAGGGAGGATAATGCTATCAATTGCTATCAGGATATTGCCTCCAGTATCAAGAGGCAGTAGGGAGATCATGAGTGGCAGACTTACTGCTTGTGTGCTTCCCATATGGATGCTGTGAGCAAGGGAGGACTTTGGCAGTCTTTTGTAATATGGCGCCCTGTGCGAGGTCAAAATTTGATACCCCAAAATGGATTTCTCGGTCATGAATCTTCTCAATTTTGGGTCCCCTCGGCTCAGCACCTTGTGTCAGGGAACTGCTGAACTAGATAGGCCTCCAGGCCGACCTCAAAAAGGGGCAGGGTGGGGGCAGAATGTGGCAAAGGCAGAATGAGGGAATCCTCACTTGTGTGCGTCTTGGTGGTGTGCACAGTGGCCCGGAACAGAACCTCTGTGTAAGTGGGAACTCCCCTGTGTGTACCAGCAGGACTTGTCTTATGCTATGACATATTCTTAGCTGGCCATGAACTCTGAAGCATCTTTTCTTCCAAGACCAGTCAAAACCCAAGTCTGAGAATCTTCTGGAGGAAGAAATGAAATGCAGAAATGTGCTTTCCCTGAAGGTGGCTGTGAAAGTTTTAAATCCAGCAGTGAAAGCGATAAAGAAAGTGCTTGCTGTGTAAACACTCGAATATACCCTGGTTCTGCAGATCATAATTGCTGACAACTATAGCAAACATAGTCTCAAAGAGGGTTTTCCCTGAGTGCTCGCTAAGCAACTAAGCCAAGGATGGGGATTCTCTCACTCGCTAAGTGTTGTGAGACTCCAGCTCCCATCAGCCCCAGCCAGCATGGCCAATGAATAGGTACGATGGTAATTGTAGTCCAACATTATCAGGAAGGCCACAGGCTACCAATTTTTGTGCTAAATTGTTCTCATTTTAGCATGCTGTCGGTTAATTTCTTTACATGTTTCTCTTCCTCCACACTTCCTGCTTCAAATAAAATCTCAGAGGAACTACAAATAGCCCCCCCTCCCCATCTCTTCTGTTCTAAATACCTGATTTCCAATCTGAAACCAATTACAACATATCACCTTTCAGGGAGATCACCGACTTATGTGGAATTGCTAAGATAAGGTAACCAAAGCTTAATTGCCTTTACTTATGATGAAAGAACGAGTGCTGTCTTGTGGCTAGGAGCGAAGCGAGAGAATGTGTGTGCAGTATAAATTGGATTTGCATCTAAGGTTATCAAATTGGGAGTAAAAGCCACAAGGACAAATGAGGAGACTTGAATTGAGGACACAACCATAAATTGATTTGGAGCTTCTGGTGCTACCAACCTGGTTCAGAATGGAGATATGGCACTGTTTTTATTCTGACATAAAAGGAAAGGTATTCATGAGGAAATTTGAAAAACATCACAGTGCCAAAAGATGTAACTACCTTGCCAGGTCAGATTAAGGTCAGTTTGGACCATGAGTGGCTGATCTGTGGCTCTCCAAGTTACTGTTGCTGGACCAGTGGTGGATTTATGATCTGTGGGATCCTGTGTGCAGCTTTGTGGGGGGGGGAGGGGGGTGTTGGCAGTTCACCTAAATAAATGCGGCTGTGTCCAAAAATATAACAGAGCATAAGAATGAGTTAGTTAATAACATGGGTTATCTTTTTCCAACCAGCATATTATTAAACAGTGTACTTTTTGTTTCTAATTACAGTGGTACTGTTATGTACTGAAGTTCTCACCCTGGGCCAGCAGGGGGATACTGTAGATAGTTATGCAAATGAAGGATCGAAAGTGACGTTCAGTGATTGGATAGTTTGTATGCAAATGAAGGGTCAAAAGTGACGTTCAGTGATTGGATAGTTTTAGAAAGTTGCAACAGTTACATTGTTCTGGAGCTCTATATAAGCAGGCTGACTGAGCTCCTCAGTTCAGTTCTGTTCCAGCTTACAAATAAAGAGCTGCTTTGGAAGAATCGCTGTGTCGTCTGATATGTTCACCCACAACTTAACAGGTACCTTAGGTTACATACGTTTCAGGTTACATACGCTTCAGGTTACAGACTCCGCTAACCCAGAAATAGTGCTTCAGGTTAAGAACTTTGCTTCAGGATGAGAACAGAAATCGCACAGCCGCGCGGCGGCAGCGGGAGGCCCCATTAGCTAAAGTGGTGCTTCAAGTTAAGGACAGTTTCAGGTTAAGTACGGACCTCCAGAACGAATTAAGAACTTAACCCAAGGTACCACTGTAATGATATAATTGGGGCTAGATGTAATGGAGCACCTCCTCCCAGACTGACATGCATGTGAGTTCAGATCTGTTTCACAGCTGAATGTGATCTACTCTGCAATGCCTCCCTTCTGAAAGGAAGGGGCCCATCTGTAGCATGCCCTTGTTGGTACTGACTCTTTTACCACTAGCTGAAAACATGCCAGTTTGCTCCAGGCATTTGGTGATTAAATGGTGGATTAGCTGTTGATTGCTTTCTTGCTGTATTATCATTGCTGGGATTTTATTATGTTTTTATACTGCTTCACTGTATACACCCTGAGCTTGCAGAAAGGTGGACAAAATATATCCCTTAAAAAAGTTAAATGTTGCCAGCTTTTCAACTCCTGTTAAAAATGGATGCTAAGCTGAGTACAGTAGCACCTCGGCTTACGTCACCCTCGGGTAACATAAACTTTGGGTTGCCAAAGCGGCAAACACGGAAGTATTTTACCGGGTTTTGCCGTGCGCACATGCACAGAAGTGGTCCTCCGGTTGTGAAAACCTTGGGATCTGGCCGGACCTCCGGAACGGATCCTGTCCGCAACCAGAGGTACCATCATACTAAAGGCTGCATCTTAATGTTTTAATGTTGTATTTTAATCTTGTTTTTTAAGTTGTGTTTTAATCAACTTATTTTTATTATTGGTTGTTAGCCGCCCTGAGCCTGGTCTTGGCTGGGGAGGGCGGGGTATAAATAAAATTTATTTATTTATTTATTTATTATTATTATTATTATTAGTCTCTAGAGTGTTATTGAAGGCAGGCGGTATTTCTCAAGCACAGTTTACAGAAAGCAAATAGCAGCTTACAGATTTTAGAGGCCTGGATCTAGCGATTCTTTGCAGATATTTTCATCCTTCTCTTTGCAGCCCCTTTGCAGGTTTGGAGGACTCTCTGGAATAGTGTGGCAGTGGAAGCCTACACTGGATCAATGGGACTTTTTCATGAGCAGCTGGAGCCCTTCGCTTTGCAGAATATCATTTCTGAATGCCAGCCAATCCATAGATAGGATTGTTAACAGTTTAGCACACATATAAACAGTGGTATTCAGTGGCTACCTGGTGAGAAGCTGGGGATGTTGCTGGTAACTCCCCAAACCCCAACCCCAAGATAAAGCATCTCAAAGTCAGTGCTAGGACTTACGTACTGATGACCTTGACAAATTAAGACCATATATTATTAGTATATAAGATGCAACATTTTTGTAAAAATCAATACAGTGCTAAATAGCTAGAATGAATCTCCAGTAGTAAAGGCAATAATAGGAGTGTCATGCACTAAGGAACTTTGCAAGTTATTTGCACATGGATATGACTATTGGACAACCAGGTTTCTCGCTGACTGCGTATGTGCTGTAAGCTGCTTTTTGTGCAACCTAAACTCTAGCTAAGGAGGAAATATTTACAAAGTATCTTTATTACAAAAAATAATTAGACAAGCATTCCAGTAGTAAATGTTTAATAGGTCAAAGATTATATTAAAATAGCCTGGGAAAGTTTTTGATGGCCATTTAAATGAATAATTATTTAGTAAGCCCTGAAGTTAATTTTGAAAGTTGGGATTTGTCAACATAGATTTTTATATGATTGGAATTGGGGATCATGGCAAATGGGTCGTTTATCCAGGACAGTAGTTCACAATGGAAGTTTTAAATGAATTGTTTGGCCCTCTTCCTCTGAAGCTTTGCGTCAAAGCCTATCGTCGAGTCCCACCTGTTTACTTGTGGCTATTTTATTATTATTCTAGAAGCGCTGGACCTCTTAACAGTTTTTTCCCCCCCACAGTTTTCATCTTATATTAGGATACCGATTAAGACCCTTGGGCTGAAATATGTTTGGCATATATGGAGATGCACTGCACACCATTTGGCCTACTAACTATGCATTATTGCAACATTTGTATACACATTTAACTTGTGTGTATTCAACTTTATGTCCTTGGCAATTTAAAAATAAAAAGGGGTGGAAATGGGACGAGAGTCCAGGAAAAAAACTTAGGCATGCCCACCCACCATTGCACCCAATGTGTTTTGATCATACATAATTTGGGCTTTAGGCGCTATCCCTGGAAAGTAACCCCAGTGTAAGTTGCAGGGTTACTGTATATGAAAATGGTTTTATTGCAATAAATAATTTTCTAATATTTAAGGGCTGGATTCAACCGAGTCCCACTAGAAGAAGCCTGTGCAAGAACTTCTACTAGTGCAACAGGGTTTCCCCCCTTTCCCTCAAATTGGCTAAGGGTGTCAGGTTTGGGAGAACTGCCAGAGCAGTGCATAGGTAGAAGAGGGGAAGGAGAAATCTTTCTGGTAAGCGCAAATGCTTTCAATGACGGACTGATTGATGTCAGAGTGCTATGTTGAATTCCTCCCAAGATATTTTCTTTAACCCTGATCTTCATCACGAGGCTTGTTGTTGTGGAACATTTGCAACTTAGATTACCTAGCTGTGATTTGGACACTGTACACATGTCGCATGTAAGATGCTGTATGTTATGTTTATGTGAATTTCCACACAACTTCATACACTGGAGTGTGTTCCATGAAGGAGCATGGTAACATGAAGATGTCGCAGTGTTGAAATTTCCTTTTCTTGTATCCGCTGCCATTCCTGTTCCAAGTTGGAAATTCCAGTGTGAAAACAAGACTTCCCTGTTATCACTTTTGATGTGCTTCACAGATACAACAATATTGAATGAATTAGTGGACTCACCAGTTAACAGCAGGATAAACCTAACAGACAAAGGCTGTGGATACTATGCTGTTTTGTCTGCGAGTAAGTCCCATTTAACTTAATAGGATTTACTTTAGAGTAGGCATGCATAGTATTGCACTGTGCCAGTAAAATGCCTTATTGAGTTTAATGGGGCATTATTCCAGCTAGGTGGATGTAAGTTGGAGTCCTGATGAATTTTGATAAAGCGTCATCATAAAACATGACATTTCGCTGTTGCGCTGAGAAAAATAAATTTCAAAAGGAAATCTGACCTAACAAATGACAGATTTAACAAACTCTCTTTATTTACATAGAAAGATGTGTACACATGTGTTCTGTACTTGTACACATACATTTCTAAGTATATATACATGTATAATTTCCACATACTCTACAATAAATAACTTTTAGCTTGTATTTTAAACCGCCTAGACTTGGGTAAAAATACATGTTCAAAAAATAATGGCTTACGACTAAATTACAAAAGCACCCGAAATTGAACTCATAAATCTCAGCAACAAAACCTAGCTTATATACAGCTAAATCTAGGACACACAACACAAATGTGAACTAGAATTTTAGTGGTTCATTATCTTGGTAGAAAGGAACAACTGAAAGGGAACTTAATGCAAGAAACTAGTTTTCAACCGGGGGGGGGGCAGTAGCAGAGAACTGCTCAGGTTTATGACCAGCCAAATAAAACCCACATTTCTAAGCTGCTACCTTCTAATAAGTTCTCTTTAATAAAAAGGATTTTGGGGTGGAGATTTTACTACAAGGGAGAAGAGAACGGACAATATGATTTAGATGTATGAGCAGATGTATAGATGACTGGGAGATCCAGTGTATGTGCTGCCTGCCCATTATTTAATCTGAATTGGAGTTTCTCACTGAAAGTCACGGGGGGGGAGGGGGGTGTTTTCTCCACTAGACTAGAACCTCTGTGTGATCATATCTTACATCACAAGATAGGGCTCAGAACCACACTTTGCTCTTTGACCATGGAGCCCCAGTGCATCCCAGGGCAGGGTTGAGGACTATCTATTGCTTCTTCTGACAAATCAATGAATTGCTCCTGGAATTTTCCTTCTGTTGTGCTTTTGCAGCTCCTTGTCTTCCCAACAACCTTCCACTTTCCTGTAACTCTCTCTTACAAAGCAGAGACAGCCCCTCCTGCTCAGTCCTTATCTCTGCTTATCCCCTCCTGCCTGCTTTCCAGACAAGAAGTAAGAATGCATTGCTGTCTCCCAAACTCATGAAAATTAGGCAATACACCAGCAGGGCTCATCTCTGCTTACAGCCCCCAGATCATATTCTGGTCAGACGGTAGTCTGATACTGAGGGTTTCATGCCATTTTTGGGTGGGGCCATAAGAAAAGTTGGTGGAGCAGCAAATGTACATTTGACCTTTGTACAGTAGGCTACTTTCTACACACACCTTTTTATCCTTTACCCAGGTAAGCAGGAAGCATTATCTGAGTTCAGGGATACATTCCAATAGGGCAGAACAGTGAATGATGAGTGTGGCCTGGGGAGGGGTGTGTGGCCTCTGAAGAGTCCTGAGGGCTAGATAGAGTGGCCAAAGGGGTCACATTTGCCCTGCCCTGAGGCCCCCCACCCCTGCCCTAGAAGGAGTGTGATTGCATTGTGCTAATGACAGACTGTATGTGTTCGCCTGCTTAAGCACAGCAACCATATTTTAAATATTTTTTGTATTATGTGGCTCTATCGATATACTTCTGTATGTTCTGACCACTGACATGGGAGGCAAGCTCCCTCCATTTCCTGTACTTGGCTGATTTTATTCATTTGTCAAAAGCACTTTTAAACAGCTTCGTCTATACACATGTTGGAGTGGGGGGGGGGTCTCACATTTAGAATGAGCAAAAACGAAACAAGCAGTACAGTACAATGAAATAAACCCATAAAATACGTCAACAGGTAACAGGAGCAGATAAAGCAAGGGCAGACTGAACTAAAACCAGTGAACTCACTACACCCTTAAAATGCCTGGGCTAAAAGATAAATTTTAATCTGGCACCAAAGAGATACTAGCCACACATCTGAAGAGGGAGGACACAACCTAGAGCTGGGCAGTAAACCCAGAACACACTTTTTTTTTTTTTTTGCTCATTAGTGGGTCTCAGTCACTAACAACTATGAAAATGGAAGGTGTCATTCTAAAACATGGCTTTTAAGCATGGCTTCAGAGGTGAGCAACTGACCCACCCTCACTTGCATTAACTGGGCTCAGTTCTGCTGTATTCAAGCTCAATGGCAAGTCAGTGACAGCTCTTGTGAATGATTCATTCATGAAGACAGTTTATACAAATCTCATAGAAATTCTTTAAAATATTCAATTCCTACAGAACATTTGCCAAAGCTTTAGGCAAAATTCATAGGAACTCTAGTTTTGGGCAAGCCCCTCCCTATAATAGTTCTCCCATCCAAATCTTTTGGAAATGTCTGACATCCCTCAAAATTTCTATAGATGCTCATCTTAATGGCATCTCTACTTGAACCTAAATGTTTACCCTGACGTGCTTATTGGCAGTTGTGTTATGACTTTCCTCTAACACCAATGAAGTGTGTTCCCCCCATTCTAAATATTAATCTGCTATTGCAGCAACTCCTAGAGAAGACAGATAATGTGTACATTGCTTGCATGGGGTCTGTTGTTTCTGCTTGTCCATATAGTGGCAGTGTCTGGTGTTTCCTCTACAACTGATGGGAACAGACACAATAACAAATGATTATTCATTTTTTGAAATGACATTTTGGTATCTGAATGCCTAAATATATATGGCAACAGCTTAAACTTAGGGCCAGTTCACATACTCATGAACATCACTTGCTTAGAAATTATGTTGAACTTGCAGCAGAAATGTTGAATTGATTTCACTGAAAGACTTCCAAGTGCTATGAAAGTGCCATTTATGGTGTTTGATCTTTGAGGGTGTTCACTGACACATGCAAATTGCCACTTGATGTTGTAGCCATCAAGTGAAGAACATGCACAGGTGAACCAGCCCACCGAGAGAGGATTATTTTCTCTTGGGAGAGAGATTTTTGTTGCTATAACCTGATTAGGAATCCCTGTCCAAAAGAAGCTTAAAGTGGAATTTTAGACAGCTTATCAATACAATGATTTATCAGTCATGGGTGGGGGGAGAATGGATTATATCATCCAGATGACAAATACGGTGTTTCACTGTGGTAGTTGTAATCAGGACAGACTTTTTGCACCAGTTTGTAATCAACGCTGTAAAAAGCAATGTAAATACAGATGACTTTAAATGGTTTAGAACACAGCCAGGACACATGGCTTTGTGTCTGCTCTTGGTAGCAGATCTTCGAAGGGTCAAAATTACACAATGCAGTTTTCTTAGCCCTATCCGTTTTCTCGTATTCAATTCGACAGTTGAAAGACTTGGACTCCTTGGTCTCTAGCGTTGACTGTGGTGAGGATTCAAACTCCACCACCTTGGAAGGTGGCACCAAGCTCACAGAAACATTTCCAAGGCCTGTGGAATTGTGCCGGAAATAAACACTGAAGGTTCCATTGCCATGGTCAACAATTTTCCCTGTTATGAGAAGATTCAGCTTCACAGTTTTGATGTTAGAATGGAAGTCACCCCACCCAAACATTTTCTTGAATTTCCCAGTTTTTACAATTGGTCTGCGTTTAGTTCGTGCAAGAGATTCCTGAACCTCAGTGATGTTGGATAACCAATCCCAAAAGTTGTCTATGCTGTCTGAATATGACATCTGTCCATGTTTCAGTGCTGGGGATGGCTTAACAAAGAGGCGTAAAGGGTTGATGATCCTCGAATTGACTACATTATCAACTAGTGTGTCTGCAGGATCTTTGTCTTCCCAGTTTAGTAAGTCTGTGGCATGGATGATCTGCTTAGCATCACAAAAGATCTGTTTCAAGAGAGAGAGAGAGAGAGAGAGAAGATGATAAATATTAAAAACTAACATGTGATATTAAATTAAAAGATTCTTGCCCTGACTTTACTGTGAAAACACTCAAGACAGCTTATATCTGTATTGTAATATTGGTAATATTGAGTGACTCTTTTGTTAACTGGGCTCAGTTCTGCTAGGTTCTAGATACATGCTCTGCCCTTTTAGATGTGCCTGAATGAGTGGTGATCACACCTGACTGCATCTGAAGAGAGAGTGGAGACTCCTCTGTCGGGCAAGATTCTGAACCTCCTAAAATCTCCAGTGCCGTAGCCCTGCCATCCTCAGTTACTATTAATGAGAGGCTTCCTAGATGCTTCTGCCCATCTCTCTGATCCTCAAAATAATCACTACCAGCAGGTCCCATCCTTTTCTCTCACAGAAATAGTTTCAGTAGGGCAATGGATTATTTTGGTCATTCCCCTCCCTTTTTATCTGTAAGGAGCCACAGAGAAATGTGTATTTTTAAAACAACAACAACAACACACTACATTCTAAGTACTTAAAAGAATGGTAAAATAAAATTAGTTAATAACTAGGTTGCAAGTACTTAATGAGCAATAACCTTTTTGAATTATTCACACATGAATATAAAAAGATTAAAATCTTATTCTTAAATACCAGTTTTATGCGGAAAGTGCATTGCAGTTCTTTGCTAATCTTCCTCTTAATATAAATCACTTTGAAAAATCATCTTTAATTATTTCTCTTTTTTTAAAGAAGATTGTATTTGCTTAAAATAGAACTGATACATACTGGACCTTGGGCAGAAAACTCATTCTGTGATAATGGTTTAGCGTTATAAGATATTTATTTCTGTATTTTAGAAAATCTACTTTTTATACAAATCAAATGTGACCTATGAAGTCTATATCCTTCTACTTAACCCCCTGCCAGCAAATGTACCCCAACAAAGCAATACAAATAAAATACCTGGTAGAAGTTAGTAAGCATGACACCATTTGCATGTAAAACAAAACATGTCTTTACTTAGACCTCCTCCTTTCCAATATAACAAAATAGTTGCCCGTAAGTTATTGGGGTCAACAAAATCCCACAATGTAAAGTACAAACATCTTCTCAAATGGTGTGTGAAATCTAAGCCTTTACAAAAAGCATTTAAAATGTTCAGCTACATACATAAAACATAATTATAACAGTTGCACAAATACAACAGTGCAACAATCATGAGTAACAACAACAACAAATATTGCATTTTCTTAATACTAAATTATTGGTGCAGGGAGAGATTAACCCTAATGTTATCCAAGATATGGGGCAGAAGCTTTCACAGAACATTCGTTGCTTTCTCTGTTATGTGGATATCGGGGATATATATCCTAGTTCAAGGTTTTCATCTGCCTTATACGTACTAAGGCAATCACCTGTTCATCTAGCTTGGTATTGTCTACAATGAAAGGCAGTGGCTCTCCAGGGTTTCTGACACAGGTTTTCCCCAATCCTACATGAAGAATCCAGGGCTTGAACATGTCCCCACCCTGAGCTCTGGCTAATGGTCTCCACAGACCCTGGTGCACCCCTGGAATCTCGCACCACTCATGGAAATTGTGGTGGTGAGTAACAATATATTCCCTGGAAATTGCTATTGCTTAGTGGCAGGGCACATGCCTTCACATGCAGAAGGGCCCAGGTAATAGTTTAACTAGGATCTCAGGCATTAATGTTAAGAAAGAGAAGTAAAGAAACCATTTAAATCACAACAAAAGGAAAATCTCTTATGCCGCCTCAAATTGGTTAACTACTCCATGGTCTAGACTTCTTTCCTTTTCCTTTTCTTTTTGCTCATATATTGCTTTAACAATACAAACTAACTTGAATGCTAGAACAAAGTAAACGTTTACATAATTCATGACTTGACAAAGCTTACTAATTCTGCAAGTGCATGCACATTAGAGTCATGCAATATCATACAAGTTTTCAGCATCTTACACTCAAGGCTGGCAAGAATAATGAAGTCTCCAACTGTCGTTATTTACACGAAAAAAAATGCAATCCTAAACTGATCACATTATATTCCATTACAATTCTCTTATTGTAAGAAAATTATAACAGACACTAATAATTCAACATAATAAGCAGAGCCTGGACCTTACTGATAATTAAATGTGCTTTTCCTAAAGGCAAAGGCTGTGATAGGTTTTGTAGCAGCATATGTGATTGCTGTAAGGCGTTAAGGATTTAAGTAGCATGTACTTATTAGCTACACTATACTGAAAATCCATACCATATTCATTTTCTGGAATGTATTTTGTACCTACGCTTGTGGTACTAACCTACAGTTCTAATACCCCCCTAATTCCCCCACCCCCTGTTGCTAAAGCATTTTGCTCCTGTTACATTTGCATTGATGCTATGAGGAAGGAGGAAATGGGCTGCTGCACAAGGAGCTGTGAGTGGTGGCTCCAAAACTGCCCTTCATGTGGAACTCTTGTGGTGCTAATCCTTTATCCCTGTCTTGAAACTGCAGTACAGTGGTACCTCCATTTAAGAACTTCATCTGTTCCAGAAGTCCCATTCTTAAACCAAAACCGTTCTTAAACAGAGGTGCGCTTTCCCTAATGAGGCCTCCCACAGCCAGTGCCATTCCACCATTTGGATTCCATTCCTAGACCGAGGTAAAGTTCTCAAAGCAGGACACTGTTTCCAGTTTTGTGGAGCTTGTAAACTGAATCGTTCTTAAACCGAGGCACCACTGTATTCAACCTTATGCAGCAGAACAGTTCATATGTTTTACAGAATAGGAACAGAGTTAAGTCCTGGTGAAACTATGCCCTTCTGCTAGAAGGACTCATTAGCTGGATCCTGCCCTTGGTTTGCATATTGTTTCAGAAGGGGTGAATGAGATAGGTTTGCCATTAAATGCAAACTAAAACAAATCCCCCCCCCCCATCGCCATCTTCCACTGCAGAATGGTTCCTCCCACACTGTATTTGGAGACTTGTTTGGGGTTTTTTAAGTATCCACATTGTAGTCCAATGTTAACTGTGGATTTCATCTTTACACTTGGATCTTTTTAAATAGCCATCACACAATATGTGACTGTACCTATCCCACCCCCTGCCCTGTCATAGAAGTAATAATTGAAGAGTGAAAAATTTGCAGTTTTAAAATATCATTTGCGTAGCCATCCACTGAGTCAAATCAGCAAAGACGCAGCTTTCAAAGAAAGCTATTGAAGGCCGAACAATGTCTGATCCCCTCTCCGTCCCAATCCCCAGTAGTATATCATAGGGTTAAGTGGAAAACAGGCTTTCACAAACAGTTCTGGGGTGGGACTGGAGATCAGGTTGAGTCGCTATCACATTAGGAATGTACAAATTCTGCTTCCCACCCAAGCAACTGGTAAAGCACCTTCTGTTATTACAGTTTTACTATGTTAATGAAAAGTGGCCAGAATTCCCTTGTTCAATAACATATATAATTGGATTGCTTTAACAATTCTGTCCTGTCTCCTGTAGTTAACTAAAATGACAAGCTGCTTCAGCAGGAAATAATGATTTTATTTTTTAAAAAACCCCTCTCATGATCAAATCTTGCAGCCCATTAAATTTTCTGCTTGTAAATGAATCTTATAAAGAAATATCCTCCCTGTAGAGGTACAAGCACACCAACGTCTCTGCTGACAAAACTGGAAAGCAGATCCAGCTGCACAAAACACGGCTATCCATGATTAGTGGTGCAACTTCCCCCAAAGCCATATCTCTTCTGAATCTTTAGGGAATTGTCAGAGAAGCATAATAGGAAAATGACAGAAAGTAGATGAGGAATGACAGAAGTGAACTATATATCAGAATACTAATTGAAGATATTAATATTTTCCCGTGTAATATATCATTTTCTGAAAAGCTGCTAGTGCTGATAAATACTAATAGAAGCCTGGAACAAAACTCGACAAAGGAAGAAGGGAGATAATTGCAAACTTTTCTTGGCTTGCCCAAAGCTTTAACTTTTTTCTTTTTAAAAAACTTTTTAGAAAATACCACCCAAAACTTGTTCAATCGACAAGAGGGGAAAAACTTGCCACATTCAGCAAGGAAACTCTTTGTCTTGCAAAGAGCGATATCCAACTAAATCATACTTAAGAGTAGAACCTTTGAAACTAATTGGTCTTGCCTGAGCATGCTTTATATTCAACTGCATCCATTTTAACTTAGTTGTAGTTTTGTCCCTGTTATCTAGCACTGCTTGAATAATCTTATTTTGTTGTTGTTATTATATTTATTCATTTATATCCCACCTACTCCCCAGACTGAGACTCAAGGTGGCTAACAGATAAAATGGAAAAAGCTGAAAACATAGGGGAAATATTAAGTTCACACCTCCACATTCTAAATAGTGATGAACTAGCAACTCATGCTAGAGTAATATGTTGGGTAAGAAAGCAGCAGTAACTGCTGCCATCTTGTTTTCGGAACAGACAGTTTATCATTATCAGAAATCAGTATGTACAGGTTAAAGCTCCTCTGATCTTAACATCTGTTGATATATACTATTGTTGTACTGTGTATTTTGGGTTTATGCACCGCAATAAAGCTGTGTGTGTGTGTGTTTATCATGAGATGGAGGCGGAATGCCACTGCATGGAATCAACTAACTGTGAGGCACAAAGAGCCTCACTTAGGAGGGAAATTCAAGTACAGTACAGTAGTCTGAAACTGTCTAGGCTCCTGAAGGGATGCTGGACCCTGATTAGTTGCTTTACATGTCTTCCCAGCAGCAATCGTCCACCAGCTTGCTGTCTCCACATTCTAGATTCTGCTACTTAATACTGCAACCACCTGGCTAAATAGTGTCATAACGCTACCTGTGTATGCATGATGAGCAAAAGCACAATTGAAAGTTTTAGTTTGGGAATCTATTTTCAATTTGTTTGAGTGTTGTTGTTTTTTATTATAAAAAAACTTAAATCAAGGGGTAGCTAACTCCCATCAGCCCTAGCCAGCATGGCAAATGATCAGCAATAATGTGAGCTGTAGAACCACTTTGAGGTTTGTTTGTTTGTTTGCAATCGAGGGGTATATAAATTTTATGAAATAAATAAATAGTCCAGCAATGGCCAAAGATTAGTCACTTTTAAGTTAAATACAGGCAAATATACTAATGCATAGTAGAGTCATGTGTACGGAAACTGGGGGAGAGCTTGCTCTTATACAGGGGTCAGCAAACTTTTTCAGCAGGGGACCGGTCCACTGTCCCTCAGACCATGTGGGGGGCCGGACTATATTGGGGGGGGGGGAATGAATGAATTCCTATGCCCCACAAATAACCCAGAGATGCGTTTTAAATAAAAGCATACATTCTACTCATGTAAAAACACCAGGCAGGCCCCACAAATAACCCAGAGATGCATTTTAAATAAAAGCACATATTCTACTCATGCAAAAACATGCCGATTCCTGGACTGTCCGTGGGCTGGATTGAGAAGGCAATTGGGCCGGATGTGGCCCCCGGGCCTTAGTTTGCCTACCCATGCTCTCATATGTTGCCCTGAACTCCTAGGATGGCAGATGCGATAAAAATGCAATGCAATTCAGGAAAGGGGCTCCCCAGCTGCTGCTTCCTATCTTTACATTACTGGGGCATCTGCTTCATTCTTCTACAGCAGGGTTGGAGAACCTGTGCCCTCCAGCTGTTACGGCTTCCATCAGCCCTAATCAACACAGCCAATTGTCAGGGATTATGGGAACTGTAGTTCTGCAATATCTGGAGGGCCAGAGGTTCCTCAGCTCTACTCTATAGGTAAAAATGGTGATCGAGGATGGTTATATCTGTGTTCCCCAAAAATGGGAACATCATTTTTGATGTGCATCAACCCTTAGTTAACTGCATGTTAGAGGACATTTTCAATTTACCATTTAAATACTTGCTCCCCAAGAAGTATAAATGATTCCCATTTCCCCAAGAAATTACAATGCACATGCAGATGCTCCAACACCTCTCTGGACAGCACCCAAATTAGTTTTTTGTGGGTTGCTGATTGAAACAAGCACAGTTAGCACTCATTTTCAACAAGCACCTGCTGACCACCCATCTGCTGAACTTTAGAGTTTAATGATTCTCCCCTCCTGCATACTTTTTTTTAATGCCTGGGAGATTTCATTTTACCTTTGCTAAAATCAGTTCATTAAAATACTAATTTCAAACTGTAATTATCTGTTGGTTAGCTCTGCTGGTTGAACAAGCTATAGTGCTGATATACTCCCAACTGCAGAAAAGTTCACAGATGTTCCAGTCCCCAGGAGGCTCCACTGTGCTCAGAGACAGTCTTGAAAGAGATTTAGGAAATGTGCTTTTAAGAGTCAAGCATTTGCACCCCAAGTGAATATATCAGGAAGAGTCAGGGGGGTAGGCAGTGGGAGAGACACAGTAACAAAAGTCAGTGCGATCTTAATAAACTGACCTCTTATGAAAATGCCACCTGGTTTTCCTTTATGCACAACAAACCCTTTACATTTTTTTAAAAAAGCAAAAAGTCTGAACAAACTGTCCTTGCAACTATTCCTTCAAGACTTTTAGAGGTTCATAAATCCTGACCATCTGGCTAAACAACAGGTAACATTACTGATCAAAAAGGACCCTGTTGATAACTTAAACACTTTGGTCAATGTGTTGCTACAGAGAGTTAAAATAGAACATTTATGAGTTTCAAATAAGGTATCAGCACCCCTCTATCCTACCAGCTCCCACCAGCTCCATCTGCTTAAAGAAACTCAAACCTAAGACATTATAGTTGGTGTTGTTGGCTCCTTAGAAACAATCCAAAGGTTACAATAGGGTATATATTTATTAGGATAGAATATTACTAATTGGTGAGCAGGATTTTAGTTTTCCAGAAGGCTTCTTCAAGTTGGACATTAAACCAAATGGGGGAAAGGAGGGAGAGCCAGGCAAGATACTCCAACCCCAAAATATGAAGTTTGCAATAGTACTAACAGAGTCAAGGAGATGCTATTTAGAGTTAGTTGGATTTGCCTCTGCTATGAGCAAAACAGGTTTCATGGTCCATTTCCTTCCAGTATGCACAGCTGGCTGTGATTTTGTTCCTCTCTGCTTTCTCCGAAGTTTGCAAACTAAACTGATCCACAGCAAGTCAATAGGGAAGAGCACAGTTGTAATGACACAATATATTTTTACAAACGAACACTTGATTTAAGCAAGGCAATGTATTGTTTTGATAAGCCTACAAAGCCTGTAATAAGTATTTAAGATTGATTCTGCATTGTTGCTGTTCATTTTGGATAAGTCATTTTAATACTAATTTGAAATATATTACATATATATTTATATAAGGCTGTGTGATGCTAATTGTAGCATGCAGCTTCTCCTCTTGGCTGTCTACAAAGTTCTGCAGATATACTTCATTTGGGAGACAAGTTCCTTTGCAGAAAAAGGTAATAACTCACCTGTTCAAAATACTGCTTAATACCTGTTCAAAATACTGGGATGGGTGCTTTGCATTTGTATGTCTAAGTTTAGGACAGATTTTTTTAAAAATCCCAAAACTTCTTCACTCAGTGCATAACTAAATTAAAGAATTAACTTCCACAAAAGGCAGCAAGGGGCGACTAGTTTGGGTGGCTATAAAAGATAGCTATACAAAATCATGGAGGACAAGGGTCCTCCTGATTCACCTCCACCACTGAAGGCAGTTGCTGGGAATCGCAAACAGGAAGTATGCTATTGTGCTCAGGTTCTGCTTTGCAGGCTTTTCATGGGAATCTGGCTGGCAACTGCAAGAACAGAGCGCAGGATGAGATAGGCCCTTGTTCTGATCCAGCAGTGGTCTGTTCTTGTGTTTTCAAGGTAAGGTCCAGAAGAAACTCCAACCCCTACACATCCAATACTGACTGATAAGAAAAGTCAGTAACAGAGTACATTTTTTCTTAGATCCAAACAATATGTGACAGTCCCATTTTTATATATTTTTTTGCATGTGCAGGGGAAGTCAAATTCTTTGCCTTGCTGTGTGTCAGTGTTTGTTTGTTTGTTTGAAAAAAATTCCCTGTCTGGCTTGGTTCCAGGATGGGAGGAAATTGGTTGGAGCTATAGGGCAAAGGCAGAGAAGAGGTGAAGATTTCACTCATGTGAGGCACGGGATCCAGGGCTAAGGCCAGTTGGGTCCAAAGGGAGAGAGAGGTAGATGACATGGTCTAAGATGGGCTGGTGGTTCCAGGGCAAGCACACAATGAGGGTCAAAGTGTGGCATGACCAGAGGAGTCAGTGAACCTTAAGCTGTTGCCTAGCCAAAGGAAGCTCAGGTATTATAGGACCTAGGGAGTCCTGATTGGCCTGTGGGAGACAGCTGACAGTATAGTACTGAAGTCCAGAGGGAGCCCTTTATGCACAGAGCCTACAGGGTTTGCCAGAGTTCTGCTGGAATAGGCATTTAAAGTATCAGTGACTCTAGTTGGAGACCACTTCTTCACTGGAGATTTACATCTCCCATCTCCTGTGCACTCATGTAAAATAATAATAATTTCAATCTTTGTTTTATATGTGTACAGAACAAGTGTGTGAATAAATAAATAAATGGGGTTGTCTGATATCTGCTCTGCTCCTTCTTCACTGAATACTTCCAATAATTTGAGACAACTCCAGTATAATAATTAATGTCCTGGCTAAGACATGATCTTACTACCACAAATTTGTCACAAACTACTTTCCATAGCGGGCACAAAGTTCTTACAGCAAATGTTCTTTTTTGTTTCCTACTTTTTTTGTCTGCCTCTCATCTTTTAAGCTAGGGAATAAGAGTTTAGAACTATTTAATTAAAGCTAAAGGTATACCTTATAGCTCTGGTAGACGGGAAGCTGAGTGAATTCCAGAACCTCTATTATTGTAACACATAAGAGATAATTAACAAAGGAAAATATTACAGTTATCTGCACCCTTTGAGAGTGTAACTAATGAACCTCTAACAGCTGCTCCTGAAAAATCAGCAACACTATCACTATCAATTTCTAGACAAAGCGCAGCTGACAGATGCTTGAAGTGATAAATCAGTCTACACTAGGATTAAAATAACAAGCCCCAGAAGACCTCTAAAAGACAAAGGTGTTGTACCAGTCTACTTCTAGGTTCCCTGGATTCTGTTACAATGCAGATCAAATTGGTTTGCAAAGCACAAACGGTAGTGGGAAAGAAATCCAGCAATCAGTGCACTTGCATCAAACTTGGCAGTTCAAAAAAACCAAACAAAACCCAGTAAAACTATTTTACACACACACACACACACACACACACACACAGGAAACAGAGACTGAATTTCATTTCTGGTGCTATGGATACATGAAGAAAGTGCACTTCATTTCCCATACACATTTTAATTAAGCCTGTTTTAAGTTGGGCAGTTGTTTTAAAATGCAATGAATATCATTACTGAAACAGGGTATATGTTATTTCATTTTCTTTGTAAAAAAAATAAAATAAAAATGGGTGGGGGGCAATCTCATAACACACTGCTAAAAATGACTAATGTGCTGAGAACCCATTCACTCCAATGCTCTATGTGCCAAGTGAGATGGGTGAGAGAGTCAAAAAGTAGCAGAAGTGGCACCTAGGGAACCTTTCGGTCAGGCATGTCAATGACAATGTCAGATACGACAGGCGGGCTGACAATGCTGACACCATGCAGAGTACTGTGTCCATGACATCATGACATCCCAGTGGATACTGAAATACTGTCCTGACTGGGTGCAACGTGGGCCTGCTTTAGCTGTTGCGCTTTTTGCTTCTGTATTTATATTGTCCAACGTATTTCTTTTAGCAATAAAATTCTTTAAAAAGCAAAATTATATTGGAAGCTCCAACCACAGAACTTTGGCCTCATGTAAATTAGTTAAGATATCTTTCCCCTTCAAACTTTCCAACATTTCTTTTATTTATTATTTATAAAAGTATTTGTATACTTGCCACTTCAAATAAAATACTGAGGTGGGGCACAATATAATATGCAGTAAAACAATATGCTGTATATGCTGTAATCTCCACGTCTCAGAAATTGACATCACTCAGGGTCAACTAGAAGTGACATTAATACTGAAATAGAGACTTAATGTTGTCTCTGCTGCCATGTTTCTTCTCAGCTTTTTATGTAGATGTATGATCTAGTGTGTTTATATGCATCTATGGGCGGCCTCAAATAAAATATTAAAAATACATTAAAACATCAGTCATTATAAACTTCTCTAAACAGCGCTGCCGTCAGATGTCTTCAAAAAGTCAGATAGTTGTTTATTTCCTTGACATCTGACAGGAGGGTGTTCCACAGGGCAGGTGCCACTACCGAGAAGGCCCTCTGCCTGGTTCCCTGTAACTTTGCTGCTCGCAGTGAGGGAACCACCAGAAGGCCCTCGGTACTGGACCCTCAGTGTCCAAGCTGAACGATGGGGGTGGAGACGCTCCTTCGCTAACTTTTGATGAATATGATTCTGCCCAAAGATACTCTGGTTCCAGTGGGGAATTTCCTCCCAATGCAAATGCTGTATGAGACAATGGATTTTTCCCAGGACTGCAGCAAGAAAGGAAAGAGTTGATTCCCCTTTCTACCTGCTGTTCATTATTTTAAAAACCTCAAACTATGCATATTAAGGGCTAGATTCAGCTAATCTGGTGGACAAGCAGGACTCTGTGCTTCCCCCAAATCCACTCCAGAGGGTCAGGAGAACCCCCAGAACAGCATACAGGGGAATGAAATAGGAGATCCTTCTATCTGAAAAGCAAAAACGCTTGCATTGACAGAACAACTATAATAGCACCAAGCTGAATTCCGCCCCTCATGCCCAGTTTAGTGCTTCTGAACTCTTGTTCAGAAATACAAACTCAAGGGCCCACGATCTATGGGGGGTAACCAACAGAGGTTATAGAGAAGAAAAACCTGTTTGATGGAAGCAGTTGTTGCCCTGGACATGATACAGAAGGTAAACGCTTGCAATACTGGAGTCCTATGACTAGAATCACAGAAAACACACAATAAACATATACCGAATAAGAAACAATTTGACAAAACTGAAAAGAGTTTGGAAGTGAAGATGATAACACTGTTAACTTGACAGAAATACAACTGAGATTTATTTTTTTTAGAAAGCTGTTATACAAACAGGCACTCAATTCAGATCAAAGCTGCAGTGACAGCAAAGGATTAAAGCCCCTTTCAGGCCACAGTCCCAATCCAGATAACCTACACCCCATGCGTGCTATTTGATTAAAATTGTGAATTTCGGGAATGACATGACACCTAGTTTTGTCCTAGAGTCACCATGAACTGGCTTCTCTGTAGATTGGATCAGCAAGTCAGCAATGCTTGTCAAAGCTCCAATATTATAATATTCGCAATGTTCCAGCTACAGAAAGATCAAGATTCAACATTGCTTTACAAAGTTCTTCATCCCGATGCACTCTGGGATGTTTACAAATAGACGGATCAGGATATTTCCCATCCATGTGTACCTCCATAACCAAAAGTACACTCCATTTTATTCCTGCATTAATCTGCAATTCTCTACCCTCACCAGAAAATGTATGGGAATCCAATATTAAATATTTACTTAAATACGTAAAGGTAAAGGGGCCCCTGACCATTAGGTCCAGTCGTGGCTGACTCTGGGGTTGCGGCGCTCATCTCGCCTTGTTGGCCGAGGGAGCCGTTGTACAGCTTCCGGGTCATGTGGCCAGCATGACTAAGCCGCTTTTGGCAAAGCAGAGCAGCGCACGGAAACGCCGTTTACCTTCCTGCCGGAGTGGTACCTATTTATCTACTTGCACTTTGACATGTTTTCGAACTGCTAGGTTGGCAGGAGCTGGGACCGAGCAACAGGAGCTCACCCCCTTGCGGGGATTCAAACTGCCAACCTTCTGATCGGCAAGTCCTAGGCTCTGGTTTAACCCACAGTGCCACCTGTGTCCCTGCTTAAATACATATTTTAGTGCAAAATGTTTATTTTAAAAATATGTCTTTTGCCCACATGTCAAAATGTGTTTTGATGTGTGTGTGTTTTGAGCTGAGACCTATTTCATAAGATTCAGAGAAGTGCAAAAAAAATCCTGATCTGTTTATGAATCCAGGAAGTGTGAATTAGGTTGATTCACTTAAAAAGGTGGATTTGAAATAGGTCACTAGGTGTGGTGGAGCTGCTATGCTAGCTTTCCAGCAGGTATGTCACTGTTGCTTAATGGCAGGGAGATGTGAGGTCAGGGGTGTGCGCAAACATACCAGTGGAGCCAATCCAACACTCCTGCTTGTGTATTTGAACCACCACACCACTCTCCCTTCCAGGAACCTAGAATAGCAGCTCTACCTCACCTGGGAAGCCATGTCTCCCTCCATTCCGATTGCAACTCAAGGTGTGGATACTTTGCGGCAGAGTTTGAAACAATGTGATGAACAAGCCATTAATGGAACAACAATTGAGATATGAGTGCCCTCTTTTAAAGATAGCTTCTTTCTTCTATGGAAGTAAAGGTACTGTTAACCCTATTTGATTCACTTACTAATTCCACTGATAAATATATTTTTCTCCATTTAACTCTAACATGGTTTACAGTGTGCAGTTGTACATTGGTTCTTGAACAGAATGTGTTCCAGGAGTCTGTTTGACTCCCAGAACCGTTCGAAAACCAAGAAGCGTCCTGCAGCCAATCAGAAGCCGCAGAAGTCGTGCCGGACGTTTGGCTTCTGAAAATCATTCGAAAACCAGAACACTCACTTCCGGGTTTCAATCGTTCGGGAGCCAAGGCGTTTTAGATCCAAGGTACGCCTGTACTGCTATACAAATATGGTCAGAAATGAGTTCCATTAAGTCTGAAGTAAGTATGTATAGTATTGCAAACTTAGCTGTTTATTCCTAGGTTTCCATTTCATCTGGTGTTGGCGGTTCCCCAAATCTGGTGATTTCAGTGTGAATTCGCAGAGCAGAACCCTGCAATTGTACACCTTCAGTGAAGTGAAGCATAACACAGAGGGCTTGTAGTCATCCTCAAATGAATCTGCTAATTAATTTTTTTCTAGTTTGCTCTGGTTTGTTGTATAGCCCAATTAAGTTGCTAAGCCAGTCACATCAGAGTAAATCAACCATACAGTTACATAATTTTTTTCCTAATAAACAGTAGTAATTACATGTACTAGGTTCTAAGGCCGCCAGATGCTCTAAAGCAAAAGCTTTAATTTATTTCATCTAAAAAAAATTCAAAGAAACAACCCATTCATGTGTGATAGTTTTTTTAATAAAACCAAATAAGTTAATTCTTATTTCAATGTAATGTAACTCAGGTGCATAAAAGAAAAGTAGAGAGAATAAAGTAGCTATATCCCGCTCTCGCTCAGTTCCCTGCCGATTTATTATCACTATATATATAATTATGCACACACAATGTTAACAACTCAGTCCTGTAAATGTCTCATCAGAAGTCAGGCCCATTTAGCTCAGTGGAACTTACTCCCAGGAACGTATGCACATGATTGCATCCTAAAGACTTCTTATGCTATGAAACTATTATAGCAAACACTGCCTGAGCGCTAAGAGAAACCTGACACAATAAATTCCACTCCAAAAAACACAGCAGTAAAAACTAGAATTCAAAAGTATTCTGAAGAAGTTGGTCTTGCAAGCTGAACAGGGTTCACTTCTGAGCTTGCAGTTGTTAGGCTTGGAATATCACAGCACAAATAGTAATTGCACTTTGGTTTAGAGGGAGGGCAACGTTCTCTGTCAGCTGTGACTCCTCTGCCTGAATAAGCACCAGAATGTCAAGACTGGGGAAGAACTACCATCTGTCAAAACATGGGTCCTTAAAAACTAGCAAGAAGTCACACAGTAAGTAGGAAAATGTAATATAACCTAGATAGTTGTGTAACCAACTTAACGGGGATGCACAAGCACTTCAGATGATTTCAGAAGTCAGCCAGAATGTTTTGGAGCACATAGATGTGCATATATCTGGGGCTTTCAGTATTATGGCAAATAACTCTTGCACCCAAAAGACTGACAGCACAGGACTGTTCTTTTAGAGTTACATTTTATGGATCAAGCAACATTATTTTTAGAAGTAAAAGGACACAAATGTAGTGAAGCTTCTGCAGCATGCTCTGGGCAAGATGCAGTTAGATCTTCCAGCAAGTTCACAGAGAAGCATAAACTGGAATCTCTAACACTTCTGGGCCTTGGGACTTTTCAGTCCTCCAAAACAGAGGAGGCCAACACAGTGCTCTCCAGAAGTTTCTCGACTACAACTCCCATCATCCCTGAACATTGGCCATGGTGATTTGGGCTGATGGGAATTGTAGTCCAACAATGTGGGGGGTATCACATTGCTTATCCCAGCTCTAAAAGGATCTAGAGGTTGCATAATGCTAGTATTTATATAATTCCACAATATTTACATTCATCTAGGTGGTTCTTACTGCAGAAGAGCCTACCTACTCTTCACCTGCCTTCATCAAATGTTGTGTGTAGTATGGTTTGCTGTCTGGCTGGGGGCAATGAAGGAAATGAAAAAAAAAAAAAATTGTATGCTAAAATGCTAATAAGCCACAGCAGTGAACATCTAGGTTTTAAAGAAACCTGTTCTGATGGCAAAAGTGAGATTCTGACACACCAACTCTAGGGAGCTGAGGCATTTTTGCCCCCCTAAACGTTGAGGGGGCTGAGGAAGCCGAGCGTGGTGCAGTTTCAGTAGCCAGCTCCTCCAGAATGCTTGGCCTCCTTCAGACAACACGATGTTGCATCATGTGTCACGTCTCTCTCACACACAATGAAAGCCGGGCCCCCTCAATCTTAGGGGCAACTTGGAGGCTCTGCCTCATGACATATGTAACTCCATCTATAAAATAAGTGCAACCTGAAATAAAATGTTGCAGTATGGAGTGCTCCTGGTCAGGGTTCTAGCCAGTCATAACCATTTCCAGGATACTCTATTCCCCTTCCCCTTCCTTATTTTCCTCCTCCTCCAACAGTCAGTCATGCCTACTGAGCATGCTCAGTCTTCACTGAGTGGGGTTGTTGTTTTTTTTGGGGGGGTCCCCCTAAACAATTTTCATACTTATGCAAACCTTGGAGTCATCCCAAACCTGCTGACACATTTTGCATGTGGGTGGTGCCATATTATTTACTTACTTATTTTAAAGATTTATACCCTACCTGAATTAATCTCAAGGCGGCAAACAACACAATAGGTTATAATAACACATACACACATACCCAAAATAGCTCATGTATGCACACACAGCTTCAAGCTGTTGACTGGTGGGTGGAGCCAGAACATGCTTTGCTTTAGTTCTACAGTCCCAGGGTAGCAAACTGTTGAACCAGAAGATTCTTTATGAAGTTTTTCCTAATGTTTAGCTAAAATGAGTTTCTTTACCATCTCTACACATCAGTTCTAGTCTTGTCCTCTGAAGCAATAGAGAACAGGTCCACCCTATCTTCTTTGTGACAGCCTTTCAGGTATATGAAAGCAGCTCCCATGCTTCCCTATAATCTTCTCCAGGCACAGGACTTGGGTAGCCAACACTTCAGCCTTTCTGGTAGCTCTTGTCTGAACACCATCTAGGTGTAGCGTCCCTAGAGCTACACTCACCTATGGACCTGTAAAATTCTAAGCCTTTTAAGAGTGAGGGGAGATTCATATACAGTGGTACCTTGAGTTACAAACACCGCAGGTTACAAACGCTTCAGGTACCAAACTCCGCTAACCTAGAAGAGTTACCTCAAGTTGAGAACTTTGCCCCAGGATGAGAACAGAAATCGTGTGCTGGCGGCGCAGTGGCAGCAAAAGGCCCCATTAGCAAAAGCACGCCTCTAGTTAAGAACAGTTTCAGGTTAAGAACGGACCTCCGGAATGAATTAAGTTCATAGCTAGAGGTACCACTGTATGTTAATTCAGTTATAAATGCTGCATATCAATTCTCGTTTGTGTTCTGGACTGTCTTCCAGTGATACGAGCTTAGACATTTATCACTGTTATACCCGGATATAAAAATTCCTGTCACCACTAGAGCCTTACCAGTAGCTATTTTACCAGTATTATTATTTCCTGTGACACTAGCTATACTTTGTCTATATACAGAGAGAGAGCTTATATCACACCTCAAAAGTCTAGTTAAGTTTTATGCTGTATTACAAATGATCTCCTTCAACAAAGAAACTGAACGCTATAGCTACATTCAAATTTGTGGACACTGGTTACGTGTTTAAAAATTGCATGAGCGTTTATCAGCTTTATTAACTCCAATTAAAAATCAAGTCCCTTTGCTGAATTATAGACAACTCAATCCATCCCACCTCAATTAACATAGCAATCCTGATACACATACAATTTAGCATATTCCTCTTGTTATACAATCACATATTTTATAAAAAAAAACCCAAAACCCCAGTCTTATGCTAAAATTACAGTAAAAGTACATCAGTACAACTGACTATAAATTTATCATAAGGGAAAATATAAAGTTTTAAAACAAGCATTTTATATAGAACCTGAGATTCCTCCTTTCAATAATAAAATAAGCCAATAAAATGAGTAATAACTTCTGTAGGAGGAAAATGTTCAATAACAATTCTACTTCTGCTTAAATAAACTATATACAAATTGCAAACTGCCTAAAGTCTTTAAAGAGTAGGCAATGGCTGATATAAATAACTGAAGCACTTATGAACTAAAATGTACTTCTCACAACTAACTATTGCACAAGATTCAAAGGATTAATCTCTCTCCAAATCCTGAAATTATTTATAGAATCAGCGATGCTTGCCAAGTGTCCTAAAACACTGCATACATTGCAGCAATCTAACCTAGAAGTTACGCGAGAATAAATAACAGAAGTTACGCTATCCCTGTCCAGATAGGGGTGCAGCTGGGCACTCTGCACCACTGAGGCTACTGAGCCTCAAACGATTGCCAGGATAGCCAGGATCCAGCAGTATCACCAAACTATGTACCTGCTCCTTCCATCAAGAGCAGACCATCTCCCATCCATTCAGTCTAGGGAGCTAACAATGCTTCAGTCTTATCCAGACTGAGCTTCAGTTTGTTGGCTCTCATCTAGTCCACTACCAAGGCAAGACAATGGCCCAGCACATCCACTGCCATACCTGCAGGTGTAAAGGAGAAGAAGAGCTGTGTGTCATCAGCATATTGCTGACAATGGACTCCAAAATTCCAGAGAACCCCACTGAACGGTTTCATGTAGATGTTAAACAGCCCAGGGTTGCTTGAATACCGGTTGCTTGTAACCACAGGAGGGGAGAATGCTTTTGTGCTCAAATTCTGCTTGTAGTTTTCTCACTGGCATCTGGTCAGCCACTGAGAGAACAGGATGTTGGCCTGGATGGGCCAGTAGCCTGATTCAGCCGGCTCTTATTATGTCCTTATGTACACACCATACATTTAAAGTGTATGACTCTCCTCATACTGTAGGCTTCTAGCATCACTTTAACTCACTACTTCATCTTGGAAATCATAGGAATGTTTTTGCTGTATCTACTTCCACATTTTTAAACCAGACTCGCAGTGATTCACTTGTTCATAAGTGGCAATGGCAATAAAAATAGTCCATTGTGCAGGGTTGTGACATCGGTCAATTGGCTGCCTATTATGTGCCTGTGCTAAAATATGGCCCAAACTTCCACAAAGAATGACATCATGTCATAAAGGGCAAGGCAAAAATGCAGCTAATTTTTTTTTATTGCCTCAAGGTGTTGATCCCATGGGAGAAAGGGCTCCTTGATTGCCACCTTCCACATAGTTCATTATTAGTAATAAATAATACAGCTGACCTGAATTTAATGTCACTGCCCTCACTTATTGCCATTCATTTATTTTTGTAATATCTCCCTCTTTTTGTTCGGGTACTAATCAATTCATGCTTTAAATAATGGAACATTATTTGATAAGCCTTGCCTAGTCCAATGTCCAACTCTAGTTGGGTTTTTTTTTAAGGGGGATCTCTGTCTTTCTAGAGCTCCTGTCTCCTTGCTTAGGGAAGACACAAAGGCAGCCCTAGGTGATGCCTCCAGAAAGCAACCCTGTTTTAACATGCGACTGTGTTTTGAACAATGTATTCTCTTTCCTTCCTTCAGATTCCAGAACCTGAAGGAAGAATGACAGAAAAAAGCTCCGTGTGGAGTATCTAGAATGCAGCCTGTTTCAATGTTTCAATGTTTGCATACAAGATGGAGAACCACGTTTGCTAGCACTGCGGGAAAAGCACTGTGCAATGCTGATGGCTTCTGCCCTCCTGGTTTCCTTCTTGTTATCTGGGAGACCAGGGTAGAATGATATTGAAAGGTGAATCGTGAGGAGAGGAGCAGTGTGTGGTAACAGGGATATGGGCGTGGGCTCAGAAGGGAGGAGCTGGAGGTAGATAACCACAATCTGGGTTTTATGTAGAAATCTGGTCAATTTTCACTTTAAACACAGTCACATCCCATACCTTCAACATTTTACCAAAAATGGTACATCACAAAGATGCCTAGCATTGTGACATAATTTTGCACATATTTAAAGTAGGCTATCCCAGGATGGAGGGGAGCAGTATGAATCTCACACTTTAAAAAAACCCCACAACTTTGGTTGGAAATAGGAAAAAACTCTTTTATGCAAGACACTTAATTTACTTTAAAAAAATAATAATACTTGTTTTACTGTATAGTCCATGCTTGTATGAGAAGCACCTCACAATCATCAAGAAGTTTATTCTTAATCTATACTGAAAAATAATTCTATTTTAAAAAAGAAAACATCAAGGCAGCTAACTCTGTAATACACACCCACACCCACCCAAAAGCGAAAACACAGATAAGTTTTAACCAAAAGATATCAAATTAAATATAAATAATAGAGGGAAACAAACTGAATACTTAACAAGTTAAAAAAGAAAACTTTATTGCCAGACAATATTGCAAGAGGTTTTTTGTTTTTGTTTTATCTCACCATCTGAATTTAAGGAAAAACCCTTCCCTCATACTATGGAAAAGACTTTTTAACAAAATAGCAGCACATTTGATCAAGTTACAAATAAGCATTAAAGATACATCAGCACTTCTGTTAGCTATAAACATCATCGAGTGCTTTTGAAACCCTTTTCTGTATCCATAGGCAATGCAAAGCTTAATGCACCATTTGCAGAACCAGTTCATAGTCTGAGGACTTCCCTTTTATTATAAGCCAGCGCTGTGATTCATTTATTGTATGGATTTAAAATGTGGAGTATAAAACAGCAAAGCACTGCAGCTAGGTTTTGACAGCAACACCATACAATTTTTTATTTAAATTTCAGTTGGTTTTTTTTTAACCTTAAATTTTGTTCATTTGAGAGCTGCTTCTTAAAAGACTGTTTTGAAATATATATTTGGCATCTTTGGCTTAGTTTTATTTTTCATTTGCAAGCACCACCAATGAAAATTGTAATAGATATCACAAAAATAATATACCAGAATTTGTTTGCTGGAATCTGTTAAATAGGCTTGATTCAGTGTTAACACCAGTGCCTTAGGGAATGGGCTGTAAAAAATACAAGGCACTTTTCTACTGCTAGTGCCTAAGATTGCATGGCTCCTCTAACCTAATTATTAACATGACACTGAATAATTTGTAGCAACAAAACAGCTGAATGGCCATTAACATTAGATTTAAAGAAATGGTATGCTGTGACCTTAATACGTACTGGACAAAGCATTTTTTTTCCTTTTTACTATTTAGCCAATAACTACCCAGATTATTATTGACTGGAAACAGCAATATTGTTTTACATATATTGACTACCATAACGCTAAACGAATGGTGAATTATGGTGAGTTTAATTATCTTTGATTAGCTACTATCTAGTTTGCAGGGGAAACGGATGGTGTGCAATTTTTTTTTACCACCAACAGCACTTTTTACTGTCTACACAACCTGTATTTACTAAAAACACAGTCTTATAAATGTGTGTATAAATAAACAAAATAAATAAATAAACAATGGAAGGAAGCCCCATTGAACACAGTGTAGCTTACCTTTGTGTAGATATGTCTACAATTAAACATTTAGTTAATAAGTTTTGCCTACACTAAGGTTGCAGTCGTATATACACTTACCTGAGAGTGAGCCCAGTTAAATACAGTGGGACTTACTTTTAAGTAAGTGTTTGCGGGGGCTGCAGCTTGGGGGCGGGGAAATAAGTACAACCTACAAGGTGGTATACCAAGGACATCCTATAAGTTGTAGTAAATGTTTTTCAACAACAGAGAGACTAATTTATTTGTAGTGAAGGAAAACTCATTGAATCATTAGCAAGAGGATGATTTTGTAAAACTTCAACTTAAAATAGCATCTATACAAGGAATCAAAATGAGTACAGCAAAATTAAATAGGCCTTTTGAATTTCTCTGTGCAGAGAGACTTGCCAATTCATTATAGTTGCCATAAGATACTGCCCCCAATGTTTGTGTTTTTAAAGTTTTGTACTCTGCAGTAAATTTCACCACATAAAAAAAGAAGTTCTGGTTATTTTATTTTTTTAAAATGTTTCTTTCTCTCATTGGCAAAAATGCTTGTTACTGTTTACGGATATTGTCCATGTCTATCTTTGATTGTCCATGTCATCTGGCTCTGACTCTACAAATTGTATACCTGGAAGGTACTGGTCATTTAAAAGTACATGTGCACAACTAAACAGTAGACAACATGGTAATACTGTGTGATATGCAACAAAATGTTAAGCACAGCTTTGTATTTGTAATTAGCATATGTTACTGAGTCCCATAGGGCTTACTCCCATCCCAAGGGTTCTATGGGAAGGGGGAGCATGATAGAAATCTAAATAAATAAAATTATAGGGTTGCAGGGTTACTTGGATTATTTTTTTAACTTTAGGACTACTTCCCTCTTAAGAATTATATGATAAAAGTGTTTCATTACACCACTGATGGAGATTTCTCTAACAGCACAGAAAATGAGCTACTCCCCATGGAATTGTTAGGCTATCAGCTGCAAACAGGTACTCCCTTGTGTGCATTTCCCTCCCCTTACAAGAAAACAGCTTTTGATCCTTTAAAGTAATCAACACAAAGTAATTGTTGTAAAGCCACAGCAAAGAAGTTGACATCATCCAATAAAATGTGGAATAAAACCAATGTCCGTCAGAAGTTTTAATCGGTTCCTTTGATTATCTGGTTGATTTAAAACAACAAAAATAAAAATGGGTCGGGGTATTTCAATTTGCCTCTTTCCTGACCAGCAACTTTGTAATCCATTAACTGCTTTCCATTCACATCCCTAACCCCTGTGTGGTGTTTAGCTGGAAACTCTGCTCTAAGAATATAAACAGCCTTTTATTGTTCAAAAAAGCAAAGCAGTGTGAAAGCAAATATGAGTGTCTTATCGCAGAGCTGCAGCTCCGCACTTCACTGCTATGATAAAGTGCCACAGCAAAAAAAAGGAAAAAGGAAAACAGCCCCACAACATTACAAGACAAGCACAATCCAAAACCGGATTAGAATTTGACATAAGCTTCCTCAAAAACTAATCAATCAACTCATGCTGTAATATTAGAATCCAGCTCTTAAGGAGGCTGTCTAATCCCTTCAAGGTTTATTACACATCCCCTTATTGACTGTAGTCACACACACACACAAACTTTCAGCCAGAATGCAGCCATGAGGAGAAAAACAAAACTTTGTATCCTGTTGTGTGCAAACAATTAACATCTTCCTGAAATGGAGTATGATGAAATACAATTGCAATGCTATTTTTGTTTGATTTAGCTCCTTTTGCTGCCTTACTCCATATATTTAATGCCCCAAGTTAGTTATTCAAGTAAGTTTGTTACAACTATTTACAACTGTATTCTCTACACTCTGATTAGTAACAGTGTCTCGCTTGGAGTTCTCCACAACTTCAGCAAACCAGCTTTTGCCATTTGCTTCTGACTGCAATCTTCAGTTTACTCCCATTATGTTCTGCAGGGTTTACTGCTAAGTACAGTAAAGGTATCTACAACTGAGCTGTAGTCCACCCCAAAGCCACAAGATACCACAAGAGAATAGACAGCAGTACTGTACTTTTACATCATCTATAGGAGATGTAAAACTAATTTTGAAACTACGAAAAGCAAAGAAATTTAATTTAAGCTGCAACCCTATGCAGTTACATGAAAATCAAGTACCACTGAAAACATTTGCTCCAGAGTAGTAAACATGCACAGGGTCCAGCTGCATGAGCACCAGATAATTGCATAAGTAGTTTATTGTTTGAGTGGCTGTCAACAGTACAAGATTCTTATTTACAGGTAAATATTCTCAGATAAAACAAAATAAAATATTAATAAATTAAAATAAACTTATTTGCAAATTGCTTAGGATCAACCAAAGTGAACTCTAGTCCATGAAAGCTTGTGCCATAACACATCTGTTAGTCTTCAACATACCACAAGGCTACACAAGGTGATGGTGATGTATCAATGTATGTAAGACTTTTAAGTAAAAAGTTGCTTCACAGTTGCACCACACAACATCCTGTTTAATAACATTGCTTCAGATTCGTACTATTGAGGAAACAAAGCCTGCAAATATATGAGCCACCAAAAAACAAATCTGCTCAACAGACACATGATTTCTTGTAAATTAGAAAACTGTAAGAAGCAACAATGTAACTAAGTTTCTCTAGAGGCACCAGATATGGAGATGATTGTAAAAAGCCAGTTCTTTATTATCCAAGATTTCCAAAGGGCTTATTGCAGTGCAACCCTAGCCATATCTACTCAGAGGAAAGTCCCTCTGAATTCAGGGGACCTACTCCTGCATAGCTGTGTTTAGAGTTGCAGCCTTACTTTGGTTACACTAAGAGCACATAAATGGAAGATCCGAAAACCTTAGTCCAAAGCCGACAATATTCAACATGTTGGACACAGGCCTTTCGGGAATCCTAGCTGAAAACTGGAAAAAACAAGACGATATTGTTAAGCAATCCCGCCTTGGTCTTTACTGGGCTGTTCTAACTCAATCGAATTCTTTCCCCTCCGAAAGCGAACAGTGTTCCCCGTCGAAACGACAGCAGTCGGAAGAGACGCAAGGTGCGCCCAGGAGCTCGTTAGGTTTGTTTGGCTGCTTAGAAAAGGGAAAAGTTTCCACCAAGCATCCGAGCCCAAGCGATCGAATTGAAACGCTCACCCTCGTCCTTCGCAAACCAAAGACTCACTAGCTAGCCGCGCCTGGTGTGAGATCTCGCCATCGAGCCGCGCGAAATGTTGGCGGCAGAGGCAGGTGCGCGCCCCATTCATTCCCTGGCATCGCTGAGATGGATGGTCCACTCCCCCCCCCCAAAAAAGAGAGCAAGGGTGGGAGAAGAGATGGAGAAGGGGAGCAAACCCGAAAAAGAGCAAGGCAAGGAAAGACCTCATGCTAAAGCCACCCCGGTTCGTTACGAACTTCTCCAGCGTTTCTAAAGCTTGCAGAGAAATAGGGAGGCAAAGCCTAAGAGCGCGCTCCGTTTGCGCCCAGGCAAAGCGGGAGACTTACAAGCGGGAGGAAGCTGTGCATCACCACCAGGAGAGGCAGGGGCTGCCGCAGGTGCGCCATCCTGGCTCGGGAGTCTTAAGAGATGCTCTCCTTTCCTCGGGTCTGGCTCATCTCCACTTTAGGGGGCAGGACTGAGTCCAGGGACATAGCACGGCGAGGCGGCGGCGGCGGCGGCTTCGTCGCCGTCTTCTTCTGCCTCCAGAAACTGCCACACGACAGACATACACGCGCTCGCCGAGAGGCGCGCGCCCGTCACAGCGGACGGGCAGAGAAGAAGAAGAAGAAGAGCCCCCGCGAAGACCCCGAGGCGAATCCTCCGGCGCTCACTCGCGCAGGCGCCGCTTGGGGTCCCCTTTCGCGCAGGGGGCGCCGCTCATGGCTGGCGGCGAGGCGGGAAAGAGCCGCGCAAATGGCCAGAATCCAGGGCGGAACGTCGAGGGGTCCCTGGGAGAGGTGGGAGGGGCGGGCGAGAGTGAGGGCATTTTCACACACGCCCCGTGAAGAGATGCGGCGGCGGCGCAGCGCTATGCCAGCCGCGCGCGTCAAGCAACTCGGCGGCGCCTCCTCGGCTGCCTGGAGCGGGCGAGGGAAGAGGAGGAGGGCGCTTTGTTCGCGCTTGGCGGGAAAGCGCTCTGAGGCGATAGAGCGGGGAGGGGCGTGGCTCAGCTCGGGACGGATTAATGAACGAGGTTGGGAGCGGGGTGGGAAGTGTGTGAGGCGGCGGCGGTTCTTGGTCCGTATGGGGACCCCTTGTGGTAACATGCCTTTGGGCAAGCTCCCTTGCAGAGGGAAGAAAACCTTCCCAGCAAGGGGCAGAGGGTTGCCTGAGGTGTGCCAGGTGGGTGGTCCCACCTCGTCTCCACCCAGGAAGGAAAAGAAGGGGGCAGCCAACTCTGCCCGTTTGCCAGCCCAGGGAGGGAGAGAGCGCGGGAGTCAGCTGAAGTGGGCAAGGCAGCAGTTCAGTGGAAGAGTTCCTGCCTGAAACCCTGCAGAGCTTCCGGTCAGTAGGCAATAATGAACCAATGGTGCTGACTCAGCATGAGGCAGCTTCCGGTGTTCAGGTGTCGCTTCTTCTCATCACCAGCCTCTTTGGCTCTGGGATGGTCTGCCTGCTGGCTCTCTCTGGGCAACAAAGTTAGGGACAATTAGATGCAGTTCTCACCACTGCGCCTTCTATGCAGAGGCAGCACTAGTGAGCAACAGGATGTATCAAGCTTCCCTTCATACGCCTCCTTTTTTCCCTTTGGGCACTGTGCTGGTGGTAGTTGAATGTTACCATCTTGAGAAGGGGTGGATGACCACCAAGGGAACAGAGGCATCTTTCAACCTCTGTCTCTCTGCCTATCCAGGCAATGCCATGGTACCCAGTTCTCCACATGTGGACCCCAGAGGGCGAGAGGAAGAGCAAGCTGATGGAAGTAGCAATGCTTCTGTAGAGCAACTTTGCTGGCTCCACTTCTCCCCACTATGCCAACCAATGAGGCAGAGGAAGGCGGAAAGAGAGGTGTCTGCCTCTGATGCTGAACTTGCCAGTGAGAAAGTGGAGACATGTCTGACTGCTGTTGCGCTGCAGAAGAAGCTAAGTTCCTCTGTGGAGGTTGAGACATTACTTAGAGTAAACCCACTGGAATAAATGGGCATGACTAACTTCAATCTATTGATTTCAATGGGTCTACTCTGAGAATGAATGAGTTGGGTGCAGTCCAGAATCTGCATAGATTTTCTAGAAAAGTTTCATGAACAGCATATTTGCCAACTCCTATCTAAGCTCAGCATCCTTGTGGATTTTCAATTAGAATCTAACCTTTTCTACATCTGTTTCTCAGAGGAATCATTTTAAATATATATATATCTGTATAGGGCAAGTGAATTGGACCAGTATCTTATCATGTGCTTTCACAGATACCTTATTTATTTTAAGTCTGTTATGTAGAATGAAAAATGTTCCTAGACCAGGACAGTTCACAAGTTGCCCTGCTTCAATTAGACTCTGGAGGTATTCTAAACAAAAAATAGCTGTCACCTAAGGTAAATTATTTGTGTTCTCTCTAATCAAGAATGTATTTTTGGTCTCTAAAGCATTTTTTTCAAGAACACGTAATACCTTTCCAGTGTTGGCACAGACAAGGAGAAAATCAGAGGGAATCATATACACAAATTGTTTCTGCAAGGAAACGTATTACCTCAGTAGAAGACAAGTGAATTAATATGGGACTAGATTAAGCAGGAGTTAGTTTTGCCTTAAGAAGTATGTGCAAGTACATTAATAAAACAAGAAGGGAAGACAACCCTGAACAGAATCTTTAAAGAAAAACGGGATCTGTAAGTTTGCATTGTGATGTGCAGCCACCTGTCAGCACATCAGAGACAAGGAATGATGGGCAAAGAATATGAGTGAGTCTGGTGTAACTGCAGAACGTTCATTTGGACAGGACCTTCTTTAAATAGATCAATGTTACGTCTTGCCAACTTAATTACTTGCATCTAGTCTGGTGGCTGCATTGCCTAAAACCAATTGTACATATTTATTCCTCCTAAGTCCTAGTTTACTTGCTTTACCATGTAACCATTAATGCATTTATTAAGTACTAGTAATAAAAGCATCAATGAGTTTTTCCTCATTTAGAATGTTTATGGAGCGTAGGAATCCTTATATAACAGGGGGATATATATATATATAATTTTAGATTGTCCAAAAGAATACATATTACTGATGTTGCACTGGTGCAGAAAATAAAGCTTCACACTTAAAATTTAATACCCTTCCCAGATTGCACCATAATCCATCTAGGGCAGCATTTTCCCCCAACTTTGGACAGCCAGCTGCTTCTGGGAACTTATTTATCTAGAGAAATGTTTAATCCACCATTCAAATAATTTCCATTACTGCTTATAATGCAAGACCAACATTTTTAAAAGCAGCAATCAAAACATAAAAGGCATCTGATTCTAAAAGTAACAGAAAAGCATAACATCATCACCAGAGCTAAAATTAATTCACATTGCAATCGTATGTTTAGGATTGTTCAGTTAGAAGAAATGCCCATTCTGATCAATGGTGCTTACTCCCAAGTAAGTATACATTGGATTGCAGCCTAAATTTAAAGTTAAAATGCATGAGGGGGGGAATTATTTCTTTGCTTGGCAAAAGAAATGACATCAAGGTAGGCACTAGGCAAGTCTCTGTATATGTTTTCTGCAGTACAGCCCTGCTAAGAAGATCACCTTCTTAATAGTCAGCCATTGTATTTCAAATCCCAGAGGATGACCTCTGTTGAATACTTTAGCTGTATATGAGATACATGTAGACAGAGGGGCTGCTTCAGGTAACCAGGCCACGAGCTGTGAAGAGCTTTAAAGGTCAAACTAGCATTTTAATAATAATAATTTATTCATACCCCACCCATCTGGCTGGGTTTCCCCAGCCACTCTGGGCAGTTCCCAACAGATAATAATAATAATAATAATAATAATTAATAAAGTGATAAAACATCAAACATTAAAAACTTCCCTGGATAGGGAATTGAGCTTAGAAATTAACAAGGAGCAAGTGCAGTCAACAAAACACCAATGTAATATGATCATAACTCCTGGTCTCAGTTATCTATTTAACCAATATGGTTTGAATTAAATTGTTTCTAAATCATCTTCAAAAGTATGCACACTTATAACCTGGGCTTTTTTTCAGTGGGAAGTCACCAGAACTAAGCTCCAGAACCTCTCAGGTGGGTGCCATTGCCATTCTAAGAGAATAAATCTGAATACTCATGAGAAGTATTATTATATTATTTTCAGAAGTCATACTTTTTATACATTATTATTTGTAGGATTTATTTCTAAGCTAAAGAGCTTTAGAAAGTGGCTGTAGAGAATGTGTAATGTGGGTGCCAAATATATACAGTGGTACTTCAGGTTACATACGCTTCAGGTTACAGACTCTGCTAATCCGGAAATAGTACCTTGGGTTAAGAACTTTGCTTCAGGATGAGAACAGAAATCATGCAGCAGCAGGAGGCCCCATTAGCTAAAGTGGTACCTCAGGTCAAGAACAGTTTCAGGTTAAGAACAGACCTCCGGAACGAATTAAGTACTTAACCCAAGGTAGCACTGTATATAAGCTAATTATTGGATTAAGGAGAGGCTGCTCTCCACCAGTGGAAAAACCAGTAAGAGTTAATTCACTATGGCAAAATAGATCCTGGCCCAGTGCTGTCACAAAGAGTGTCCCCACTTCTTGCTGTGTATAAGGAGGAAAGTAAACAATATGCACCCCTTTCTTATTACCCTGACTTTGGCAACATATGCATGCGTCCACATGTGCCTGGAAAACAGTTAAGTCAAAACCAGCAACATATAACTATCTACCACAGCTTAGCAAATCCTCGGAGTACATTATTGGTTTTGTTCATTGGAAAGTGCCTCTGACCAAAGAAACTGAGTGCTGGCTCAGTGATAAATCATAATTGCCACCGTTGTAGCTCCATAATTAGTGCCAACTCTTATAGCTTCAAATGGCAATCTCGTCAAGTCTGAAAAAAAGTTTGCAAGAATAGAGAAATGGCAACATCTACAATTCTCTTACAACTGATGATCTTAGATTATGTGCATAATCCCTGAGCTTCCAGGGGAAAGAGATCCTAGTCAATGTGTACTGATTTAGGGTAGGATAGCTGTAAATAGACACAGTTGGAAAAAAACAGCATTGATAGTACATATATTTAGGCATGTGGCAAGTAGAAGAAGAAGAAGAGTTTGGATTTGATATCCCGCCTTTCACTCCCTTTAAGGAGTCTCAAAGCGGCTAACATTCTCCTTTCCCTTCCTCCCCCACAACAAACACTCTGTGAGGTGAGTGGGGCTGAGAGACTTCAGAGAAGTGTGACTAGCCCAAGGTCACCCAGCAGCTGCATGTGGAGGAGCGGAGACGCGAACCCGGTTCCCCAGATTACGAGTCTACTGCTCTTAACCACTACACCACACTGGTGTACACACAAAGCACTATGGGTAGTCAAGAGCAGCTGCCCCTTTCCTGTGATCTGAATCATATTATTAATAATTCTTTAGAATAACTATCTGTGGCTGTCTTACTAATTCTGTTTAGTGGGTAGCTATTGTTATAAACAGCTAGGCCTCTGTGTTGGAATGCCTAGGCATTCCAAAGGATATTTCATCTTACATTTTTTTAAAAAAGTTATTAATTGTACATATTCATTATGGATTTTTTAAATGTTTTGATGGAATTATTTCATTGCATAAATATCTTATGTGTTGATATATTTTTAGAATTTATTTCACATTTGTAAACTGCTTAGGAGTCATTTCAGCAAGTAAACAGTATATCAATTAATATAACAAGAACAACAGTATTTGTTTGACCTAAGATGCTGTAATTGTTATGACACATGCAAAAGAAGGCCATAACAAATTATTTTTAAAATACAGCATTGTCTTTCACTTTATTCTTGAATATAGCCAGGAGCAAGGCTTCAAAGCATGCCCAGGATCTTTCCTATACCCAGTGATGTCAGAAATGGCATCCTTAGATCCTTTCTTCTATATTGGTATGTCCCCCTGTTCATGTGCCTCCTTCACTGCTATTATGTCAGGCATTAAAAGAGATATACCTATAGCCCGACACAATACATTCTTTCAGGGCACATTATTTTCACAGCACTCCACTGAACAAATATCATAGGTCCAGCATGAACCTTATATTTGAAATATTGATCTGCCATTTTTAGTAGCAATTTCCAATGGTTTTGGAAACCACTCACCTTTCATCCTGAAGCTACAAAACACTCCTTAGGGAGTCGGAATCTGTATGTTTGGAACATGGGGCGAGGAATCTAATTCACTTTGGGCCAACCTATGTGCATACAGGCCTTGACTGCATGATTGATTTCTGACTTTTACCTGAGCTATTAATAGCAATGTGAAATTCAAGTTCCCTGATGTATTTTATACATGTAGACCCTAATCAAATGTGGAGGGTTGGGGATGTTGAAGTCTTCTCAAGTGTACTGAAAGCACAGGTTGGGAAGGCATGCTCATGGTCTCCATATATATGGGATAGATGCGATACAGGCATTTATCAACTTGACCTAATGTAGAATAATTTCCCCCCTTTCATTTCCCAGCAAACTTCCAAATTCAAGAAGACAGGGATCCTGTTTGAAACAAATTTAAATGTAGTTCCTCGTTTTATTTTTATTTTATTTGTTTGAGATACCAGTGAATTCTTGAGAGCTACAACTGTCTTGCAAATACCATAAATTGCAGGACTGCAATAAGAATGTCCATCTCCAACAGGAAACTTACAGTAGTTACTCCACAGGCTTCATGTAACTAAGCTGAGGAACACACCATACATGTACTGTTTTCTTTCTTAAACAGAGAAAACACTAGGACTGAATTTCATTTTCATATTCAACTGGTATTTCCCTACATTGTTGTTTTCATTGCAAAGGAAAATAGTAATAATGTGTTACATATACATCATGAGATACCTATACCCTTTTACGTAACTCCATTTCTCTTAAGAGCATTGAAGGTTTTTTGTTTTGTTTTTTTAAAATAAAAATAAAAATTTGCACAAGGAGGTGGGAAATAATGGAACAGGACAATATGTCATTTCAGCTTCCCCATAGCAGAAGGGATCACTATTTTATGGGCCATTTCATCAAGGTTGAAGCAGAATATGAAGAGATTCAAGTACTAAACCAAGTATGACCATGTTGCTGGGCTACAGCTCCAATCATGCCTGACCATTGACCACACTGGTGATGATGGGAGTTGGGAGTCCAACAACAGGTAGAGCATCACAGATTCCCCACCCCTGTACTAACCATGCCCATTTCTTCCTTAGATGGTGCCATCTGCTTCTTCCCTCCAAATAGATTCCAGCCCTGTTGTCATTCTGGGATATCGGAACCCGTATGGGGATTCCAATGCATAGTAAAGTATGTCCCTCTTTATGCCTCTGACGTGTTGAAAAATGTTTCTGAACTGAAAATAAAGTGACAGGATATGCAAGACATTTAAAGTATTTCTTATGTTTTGTTCCCACACTTCAGCCAAAAAGGCTCCTAGAGTGGCTTACAAGTGTTAGCATTAAGATAGTCCCTACCCTCAGGCTTACTTACTCAGGAAGCCTGAACTAGATAAAACTTCACGGTGTAATTTCTTTTCCTGTGTTTCAATGCACTGTAGGACAGGAGTACTGACCAGACAGTACTTTAGGGTCATTTCAATAGCGTAACTGAAATGGTTAAATTTATAAATGTGCAATACTACCAAAATCACCCTTTTTTCTTCCCCATAATTCTAGAGGGAGAACAGTTTTATTGCATGTATACATTTAACCTGTTTCCCTTTTTCTTTTAAATAGCTCGCTGATATATTACATGATGTAATACAGTGTGGGAGTATTAATGTACTTATTTGAAATAGATTGTTACAGAACTTATGCATTCTTTTGTCTTTTTTTTTTTTTTGTATTTTCAACAGGTGAATAATAAATTGACCAAATTGACCCACTAAGCCTAAATAGGCTTTGTGGTTAGGATTCACACTGTGCAAGCATCATCACACCAAGTGGAGTGAATGTTTACTTGGTTAAAAATGATGCTATCCGAGGAAAGGCTGGCTTCATCCCCTTCAATGTGCTGCCCACCTGACAGTCCAAGACTCTGTGATTCTGCTGATCCTTAGGATGGAGAAATCTGAAGACAGGTGGCATCACCAGCTGTTTCATCACATGGTGAGTAACATCACCATAACCCTGGAACATAGATGCATTTCTCCATAAACTGGAGTCCACAAAACACTATTAATCAATTTCTGAGTTGTAAGAGGGAGGGAAGTTTTGGTTCGGGGGAGATGTTATGGAGTCTTGGATCGTCGGGAAGACATGAGGAGAATTGCTCATGTTGTTGTAGGAAAGAGAGAACAAATACTTAACCGACGGGCAGGTAAATGGGTGCAAGAGTAAATGGTTGATCACCTGACACAGCGGCACAGCTAGAGAGCTAGAAAGAAGATAAAAGTGTTTAAAACTGAGATACAGTAATTTCCCTAGCAACCACAAATGAGGAACAACTATAACAAACTATTTTCTCCGATCGTTTGGGAGGCAGTGCTTTTTCTTTTGTATTTCTTTTGAAACCTGCACTGGTGTTTTTCAAGTAGGTGATTACAGCTGTAGTTTTGGTATATCACCATTGACTTCAAGAATGCTGCATTTAAATCAGGAATTTACAAAAATTCCATATTTGAGAAAGAGAAGTAAGAATGTTGAGAAGCTGTGCATGTACTCACTGGAAGTTTTGTTCACTGAAAGTCTGAGCGTGCATCCAGGACAGAATATAGCCATTTCATCATTTGCATTAACATACACTTTTCATACAACACGGGTGGTGCTGTGGGTTAAACCACAGAGCCTAGGACTTGCTGATCAGAAGGTCGGCGGTTCGAATCCCCGTGACGGGGCGAGCTCCCGTTGCTCTGTCCCTGCTCCTGCCAACCTAGCAATTCGAAACCAGACCTGCAATAATAATAATCTCTCATGCCAATTTTTATATATTTTTTAAAAAAATAATTTGACATTTTCCGAAAGCTCTACAGTTTGCATAAACTTGTTGCTAGTTACTAGCATATTGAGACTCATAATAGTATGAGACCTTATTGAAATAGAGGAATATTTAATTAAATAAAGACTTGGTTCAAAGCTAAAATATAAAAAGATTGCACCAAAATGCTGTTACAAAACAGAGTAACTTTCTAGTGATAAAAACCCTAGTGAGGGTTGAAGGTCTTTGCAAAACTGGAAACAATTATGCTTAACCCAGAAGAAGGAGGAGGAGGAGGAGGAATCTCTCTTTTTTGATACTGAAATAAATTAGTATATAATCTAAAAAAGAAATATATTAGCAGCATGTGATGAATCAGGAACAATAGTTAACACTAGTAAAATGATCAGGTTCGGATAATAGAATCATAGAATTGGGAGGGACCACAAGAGTCATCTAGTCCAACCTCTTGCAATGCAGGAATCTTTTACCCAATGTGGGGCTCAAACCCACAAACCCGAGATTAAGAGTCCCATGCTCTACCGCCTGAGCTATCACTTCAAAGAACAACAACCCTGGCTTTGTGAGATCAATAAATATTTGTTTTTACACCACCAGAAACAGCAGCTGACGCAAGGGTCAGTGTGGTGTAGTGGTTAGAGCATAGGACTAGAGAGATCCAGGTTCAAATCCCCATCAAACAATGAAACTCAGTAGATGACTTTGAACCAGTCACTATTTCTCAGCCTGATCTACCCCACAGAGTTGTTGTCATAAGAAAAAGTGGGGCAGGAAACATGTATGGCCACTGTTGATGGAGAAAGAGGTGTTGGATTCAGTTGTTTGGATTAAAGGTGGGATAAAAATGTAATAAGAGGGATTGGTATTTAAAATGTAACTCTCCCCACCTTCCCCGTAAAATAGGTAAACTATTTTTGAAACAAAGGGAGGTTACTGAAGCAGTTTGTTTTACTGGAAGAATAAAACTTCCTTCCTAAGCTACATCTCTTTGGATTCCAGACTGCATCTGTTAACTTCATATAGGGAATTTGCAATAACTTTCCTATGTATTTCAAGCATACATGATTCTTGATTTTGCTGTAGCAAAATAATACTTGAATACATGAAAATGATTTGTAACAAAGCAGTTTGGTGATGTGCTGCATCCTTGGATCATTGCTAAGTACAAATAGAGATGAATGTATCTGGTGACATTCATCACAACAGCAGTGATACTGTTCCTTTCCCTGTTTGATAAATACAAACATCTTGAGCGCTATCTGCTGCACAAAGGCGGTATTACCTAGGAAGACAGAGGGAAAGAAAGCACTAGACTACTGTAGAGCAGGTTTTATTTCCAAGTAACAGATAAGACAGGAAGCAGGCTGAAACGCATATTATACAATTAGAAAGTGGGTAGGGAGGGGAGAGAGATTACAAAAGCTGCGTTCATATGATGCATTAAGAGAGAGTTTTTAAAAATGCTAGTCTCAGATGCCATAATTTAAAGGAAAAATGAATTCCCTCCATTGCCTTTTAGAGGAACAATAGGGTTTAAACTAGTTATATCCTATTAAACATGATTATGCCCAATTTAAATAGCATTAGATTTGTCACACAGTAGTGATCAAAATTTGGCCTAAAATCATACTTTCTGAGATTAACTAAAATATAATGTTCGTATAAACCCTTTGGAGATATAAGGGGAAAGCATTATGCGCAGACAGTATTCTTGCTATTTCTATTGACCCTAAACAGTGTATTAATAAAAGATGTGCAGTGTAACCCAATACATAACTACTTAGAAGTAAGCCTCACTGAATGCAACAGGACTTGCTCTCAGGTATGTGGGTATAGGAATGCAGACTTAAATTACATTTAAACATAGTAATTCCCTACTATGTTCACCCTTCACCCACAAAAGCCACATAAATAATACCATGCAAATCATGCCAGTCCTAACACCTCTTTCTCCATCAACAGTGGGCATAAATCACATAGTATAATGCATGGATCTCAATTTACTACATTTGAAGTGCAGTGCTTTCCCATTTCCTATGCAAAAGTTATATGGCTATACTGCCCTTGTGGTTTTCCATAAGGAAGAATGCAGGAGCAGAAATCTGTGTGGTATTGTATAGCATGGAAGTGGATTCAAGTGTGGAGAAAGGCACAGGCAGGTGAAGGAAGGGCATAGAACTGGTTACACCATTATAACCAATAGCCCCAAGTCATAGAGAGCATTGATACTCCAGTGCACTCAGCGAGCTAGTCGTATGAGGAAGGTGCAAAGGAGGCGTATGAGGATGAAGGTGCAAAGGAGGATCAGGGCCATGGCATTTCAACTGTACTTTATATTTCCTCATTCTGTTGACTGAATAAATAATTGCATATGCAATACTTAAAATGGCTCTCTTCCATTGTCTCCCATTGTTTATCCCATGTGAATAACATCTGTGTGCCCAAGAAGTGGAGCCACATCAAGCCAAGGTCAAGTCCCAGCAAGACAAGGGCAGATGAAACAGAGAGGCAATACAGGTGAGGCAAAGCAGAGGTCAAAGATCAAATGGAGCTTAGGCTGTAAGTCAAGTGAGGTTGGCAGGAAGCCACACCAAGTCTCACTTATTCTAAACTGAGTTCATTTTTCCCTTTAGTGTTGTAGACATCTGTTACACATAGAAACATGTTTGCTTTAAAACATCAAAAGCATCCAATTAAAACAGTGCAGAATTCTGTTTCCAAGGGGGAACTGCTTTCCCCTGGTAACAACACCCAGTGGCACATTGCCTGTGTAGTAGCTGGTATTTTAACAATTGATGCAACTTTATAGTGCTGCTAAGAAGACCTTGGGACGCGGGTAGTGCTGTGGTCTAAACCACAGAGCCTAGGTCAGCAGAAGGTCAGCGGTTCGAATCCCCGTGACAGGGTGAGCTCCTGTTGCTCGGTCCCAGTTCCTACCAACCTAGCAGTGCGAAAGCACACCAAAAAGTGCAAATAGATAAATAGGTACCGCTCTGGCAGGAAGGTAAACGGCGTTTCCGTGCGCTGCTCTGGTTTTGCCAGAAGCGGCTTAGTCATGCTGGCCACATGACCTGGAAAAAACTGTGGACAAATGTCAGCTCCCTCGGCCAGTAAAGCGAAATGAGTGCTGCAACCCCAGAGTCATTCGTGACTGGACTTAACTGTCAGGGGTCCTTTACCCTTTTTTTAAAAAAAGAAGACTTTTAGGTGAGGTTAGCCCAGGGTGTTGGGAAGTGAACTGCCTGCGAGATGAGAGACTTGGAGGCAAATCAAAGATGTGAGCAGACAAAACTTTATTAGCAAATAAAACCCTTTGAAAACACAGGCTTCCTAACCAGATATGCTGACCAAGCTTTGAACAGAGTGCTTAGAATACGCTCCTAATTAAAAGTGAAATGGATGCAATAATGGTAATCAATGCATTCAAAGCCTTTCTATGAGCATGAAAGGAGAATAAAAAGGGAAATATAGGAAAGGTAATGACCAGTCAGCTGAAGCTTAGTATTGGGGAAACTACTTGAGCAAATAATAAAGAAATTGATTGATCTTGGAGTATTTTAGGACCATCTGATGACCAACATGCAGACTTAGTTTCAAAGGAATAGAATACATCAGTAAGAACTATCACCCTCCTTTAAGACTAATTAACAGGGTCAGAGAGCCTAGCTCAACAGGGTGACATTGTTCATGTTATTTAGGCATATTCCACAGATCCCATGTAGAATCAGAGGTTGACAAAGGAGAGTGTTGCACTGTCTGTATTTGTAGTTTTTCAGGGTCTATCTGATCCTTATTTGGTTATATTCTGTTATGTTTATTTGTTGGTTTTAAAATGCATTGATGTGCTGTGAATTAGTTTTAGTCACAATTTTGTATACTGCCCCAGAATTGGAGAGAAGGTGGTTAATAAGTATTTTAATTAGATGAATAAATAACATTTCCTTTTATTTAGTAATAAAAGGGGGGCTGGGTTTCTTTGTAAGTTTTCATTTACCTTCTGTGCATACACACACATACTGAAGTGCCCACATACATACTGTGTGTTGATACTCCAGCTGCTGGACTGTTTTCTGTCCAAATTGCTGGCATGGGAATGACTCATGAACATATGAAAATCTCTTCTACCTATATATGTGAAGCAGATGCTCATGTAAGGGGGCTGGAGCAGGATCATGCCTGCTGGCCAGACTCCTGATAGATGCATGCTTGTTATCAATGAGAAAGGGATCTCCATACATGCAGGTACACAGTCATCAGGCTTGTTTTTCCACGCTACCAGTAAACCAGATTTGCTCAGGCTTCTCAATTACAAGTGAAATCTCTATGCATCTACAGCACTATTTGTTCTGGCTCTTTTCTTCTTCTTTTTTCCTAATTCCTAGTGCACAGCCAATAATGCTGTGGCCAGCAGGTACATTTAGCACTGACAGAGGCATGGTCAGAGGTCATGATCCCACCTCACCTATTCTCTGGGCATGTGGGGTGGAGCTGAACACTTCAATGGCCTCTCCAAACCTTCTGCTCTTCCCATGGTGTTGAACGACTACTGCTATCACCACTATCACTACTGCTATTCTCTTTGTGGCTGATGGAAGCTGGAGTTGAACAACATCTGGATGACAACAGGTTGAAGAAGGCTAATCTTGCCTAATCCAGTGTCAGGGAACTGCCATCAGTACTGGAGGGAGAGCGTGAAAGCCAGAGGGATTCCAGAAGGCGTCTAGGGATCGGGAGAAGCAGCCCATCTTCTGGGGAAGAGAATCAGCGTAGCACCAGTGGAGAAGGGGGGCAGGTGGGGAAGTGGCGAGGCAGTCCCATGACTCCTTGCCTGGGACCAGTGGGGAGACTAGGGGTCCTCCGTTGCCCACGCCCTCACTGTGCAGAAGGCTTCCGCACAGAGAGGGTAGGCGGAGACTAGGCGTCAAAGAACTTCTTTGCTGGAAGAAGTTTAAGAAACGCCCACTCACGGATTCTGCCAGCGATTGAGTCAGCCACGGGCGAGTGGCTGTCCGTACAGAGGAGGTTCACTTTGGCAGCCCAGCCAGGTGTTTGCACCCAGCCAGGAAGATAGGCACCTGCTTACGCACGAGCAACCCCCTTAGGAACCATTACATCCAGTGTTGCAAACCTCAACTGGCAAAACAGACTTTGCATGGTTTCAGACAGAAGTGTTCCTCAGTACAGCAAGATGGATGTTCATAGATCCCTATGCTTGCAGAGCATGAGCTGAACGACTGAACAATAATCTTTCAAAAACCAAAGGGCTGTATTGAACTGAATAGTCACACAACTATAGGAGAAAGCACAAGGAATCCTGCTAGCATAACGGGGCTTTCTCTCCTACCCCATGCACCAGGGGGCAATCAGGAGAACCCCCAGATCAGTGCATGGGGGGAGAAGAAAGGAGATTGTTTCACCAGACAAGCAGAAATTATTGTGCTGACAGAGTAATCATATTAGTGTGACATTGATTTCCTCCTGAAATATTGAGACTCAGCCAGGGTTACTGTGGGATTGCATGTGCAGATTTTGCTACATTTAAGATGCAAAAGTACCACCATAGTCTTCTTCCACCATGTATTGCTTCCATAGGCCCAAAGGAAGTTCTGGGATGACTTCTGGCAGAAGTAAACCTTCATCTCCTGTGGAATATTGAAATTGAAATTGAAATACTTTATTGTCACTTGTACAACTTGTATATAGTGAGATTACACGAGCACCCCCCACTCAGTTCTCGTAGTCTTAATTCCCCTCGTTTACTGACACACACACACCAAACCCGAAAGTCAGTTGCCGTGTTGTTATCTTTTCATTCAGCAGCGTAACAGCCCATGGATAGAAGCTGTTCTTTACCCTGCTGGTGCGACTAATCATGCGTCTGTATCTTCTGCCCAAGGGCAAGAGATCAAGAAAGTGCCGGCCAGGATGGGAATCATCCCTGAGAATTTTCCTCACTCTCCTGAGGCATCATTCTTCCGTGATGTCATCCAGTGGATTCACGGGACAGCCCATAATATCTTGTGCTGTATTCACCACCCTCTGTAGGCACTTCCTATCAGTTGATGTCAAACCAGCGTACCACACTGTGATGCAGTATGAAAGGACACTTTCTATTGTGGACCGGTAGAAGGAGATCATCAAATGTTGATTGACATCGTTCTTTCGCAATACTCAGAGGAGATGCAGTCTCTGTTGGGCTTTCTTAACCACCTGGGTTGTATTGATTTCCCAAGTAAGGTCTTCACTGAGATAAACTCCTAGGAATTTAAAGGAAGAGACTCTCTCCACACAGTCCTCCCCGATGTACAGCGGGGCTAGTTTTCCTCTCTTCCCCCGAAAGTCCAACACCATCTCCTTTGTCTTGCTGATATTAAGGTGCAAAAATATGCCTATTTTTGTTTCACTCACCATCTTAGGTCTTCCGTATGTTCTCTTTTTTGCACACAAAAATAAGAAGACATTCTTCTCTCCTTATAAAAGACAAAGCCTTCATCCTACTCCTCCTTCTGCTGCAATACTGGAGCCAATTAAGTTTTCATTCACACTAGGAGCAGACAAGCTTGTGAGTTGCAGTTTATCAGCAGGGAAGTAACAAATTACCAGTTTGGCTTGACTATAGAAATGCAGGAGATATCCTAAACTGGCATGCTCTTTACTGGTCCCTGCTGGGCTTACATTTTCCCCTCTCTACATCATTCATCAAAACTAAATCTAAGTGCTTTGATACTATTAAATGGAGAAAATTAATTTATAGAAAAGGTAACAGGCAAACTGGCTTAATTAAAGTACTTGAAAGGTACACTGATACCCTACCGCTAACTCACATCACTGCTTATGCAGCTGCATGAGTTATATATATATATATATATAAGTTTTCTTCAAATTATGTCAATGTAAGAGAAACTTCTTTTAAAAATTTACTGAGTCTTAGCACTTTGGGGAAATTCTTCATTACAAAGGATCCTTTACAGAAACAACCTGGTGAGAAAACCCAGCACAGAACACATTCTGTTCACAGATTCTGCCTCTTTCTTTATTTTTAAAGAGAAGCTTAGGTTGTGGTTATCGGGGCAGCTCACCACAAATTAGACCAGTATGCTCTACTTTTTATGAATTTAATCGTGAATTTATTTATTAAATGAATTTTAAGGCACACGTATTTTCCTACCCTGATGCTTTCTTGACTTTTTTTTTAAAATGTGCCGTATGAAGTGGCTCTAGAAAAAGATAATGTGCATAAACTTATAATAGGAATTTATATGGAAAATAATGTTTGCATGTGTTTGTAAATGGGTACAAGAGAGGAATGGGCATAAACTGATATAAGATAGGGATGGGCAAATGTCAGTTTTGGTTTCTCTCAGTTACACATCTTTCCAGTCTTAAGTTAAGCCCCTCCACATTTCCACATCAAACTGCATATTTTTTTAAGCTAAAAAGAAAAATAATCACAATTTTAATGTGATTTTCTCCTAATATTCATACGTTTGTAAACAATTTTGCCTAATATAATCATTTCCCCCCTTTTTTGTCTTTTTGCAAATGTTTTTGTGGGTTGTTCAAATAGTGCCAAAGTGATAGTTCTATTAGTTGAAGCTCTATATGGATTTCTGGCACAGAGTTATTAGAAAACTATATACCAAGTCAGACTATTGGTTCATCTAGCTCAGTAATGTCTACATTGACAGGCAGTGGCCTTCCAGGTTTCAGACACATTTCTGAACCTGGGACCTTCTGTACGCAAAGCATAGGAACACAGGGAGCTGATATACAGTGGTACCTCGGGTTAAGTACTTAATTCGTTCTGGAGGTCCGTTCTTAACCTGAAACTGTTCTCAACCTGAAGCACCACTTTAGTTAATGGGGCCTCCCGCTGCTGCCCTGCCGCCGGAGCATGATTTCTGTTCTCATCCTGAAGCAAAGTTCTTAACCCAAGGTACTATTTCTGGGTTAGCGGAGTCTGTAACCTGAAGCATATGTAACCTGAAGCGTATGTAACCCGAGGTACCACTGTACACATTAATCCAGCTAGCCAGTATTCTCGACATGGACAGGGACTTCTCTGGAGCTTCAGATGAGAAATTCCCAGCCCCACCTGGAGATACCAGTGATTAGGCCGGGGACATTTTCCATGCAAAGCAGATGCTTTACCACTGAGCTGTACAGCCCTTATTTTACTAGCTGTGTGTGCCTGTTTTCAGCTTTATAACAATTCCTTTTTCTTTCTTCTGCTGCTGTTCTGCTGAACTACAGCAATGGCTTATCCTAGCACGAAAAGAGCAGCAAAGCTTCACTGCAAAATCGTAGCTGACTGCGAGGACAACACAGGAACTGGCTTGTTACTCCTGTGAGCTCTTAGTGGCAACTTGAGCTACAATAAAAAAAAGAAGAAGATCTTTGTTGGGCAGCTCTTATCTGTTGGATAGTCACTAGAACACTGTGATATAGTTGGTGCAATGTGTTCTAGTGATTTCCTATATTTAATGCTAAATATATAAGATGAAAGAATTATAGCCAATAATGCAGGCTTGCAGAGGCTAAATTTGTCAGCAGCTATTAAGGGTTCTAGCCAGTCACTCCCAGAGTGATGTAGATGTTTTCCAATTGATTTCTTCTCACATGACAGAACAAAGTTTAGTTGCACTCAAAACGTCGAAAGCGAACATTATCGTTTCAGGCGACCTGGCAAGTTAAGAACGAGCCATTTAAAATCTCTTAATTGTTCTAATAAGAGGGTTGCATTTGATTTTACGTCTTCAACAATAACTTGCTTTTTACATTGTGTGCCCAGCGAAGGCAGGCAAATTGACATTTTATTGTCTTCTCTCTGATCTAGTAGAGATGTTGGAGCTGTGTGTGTGGCAAGGGAGACCCACACACACATTAGTTATTCCTAATTACATCAGAAGGGTAGAGCTTCTTTTGCATGAAGTTAGGAGTACCTGGTGGAGGCAACATACCTTCCCAGGTTCACTGGCAGCTTTTTAAAATGCTAAGCAGTGAAAAAGAAGAAGAAGAAACAAACTAGGTGGTCTTGTAGGGCATTCTGAACTTAACGGGTAATGTTTCCAAGTAGGCATGCCTCAGACTGGACTGTTGTATGGTGTAAAAGTCAGTGAGGGGAGGAGACTGGCCTATTCATTAAACTACTGCCTAGCGTGGGCTATGAAGAGGAAAACCCAGATTCATAGGGAATATTAATCAGCTGGCCAGTGTTGTGACGTGGAATGCTTCATAATGTGAAAGAGGGAGCAGGGCCAGGTGGCTCAGAAGTCAATGGTGCTTGCTATTGCAAAGTTTTATTTTTCCCAGTTGAGAGTATGAGTAGTTGCTGTTCACTTCTGTGGAGCAGAGCAACATACATTGAGAGGCTATTAGGGGGGTTGCATGTGTCAGGAAAGAGAAAGATTCATTCCACCCCCACCCCCACCTGCCAAAGGTTGCTGTAATCCATGGGCCCTTTCCATTTTAAAGATCATCGTTTTGCTAGAGTGTGACGTACATCTCTGACTATGTAAAAAATGTTTTCCTTTTTTGATGGATTGAAGGGACAAAGTCAAAATAGGAGGAACTGTATAGCCAAGTAAGTACATAGCTATAAATCAGTCTTAGAGTCCTTTAAGACTGTACGCTCTTTCTGAATCAGAGTCAGTTCCATCTGCCAAGTGCTCACTTGCACAACCTATTTTTCTCTTGCCTTGTCTCTCTCAGCTGCATAAATAAATCCTAGTCATTTACAATGAATATGCATTGCTGCATTTCAGATGGGGTTGTGCCAGATGGTTGACTTTGTCTGAAATCCCACGTACAATTGTTTTAACCTGTTGTGAATTCAAATTCCCTCTATGGAAGAAAAGCGGACTATAAATGTTAAAACAAATGCATTGAACATTATTCTATTTTCAGGTATTGTATGAAAGGGATGTGTAAGTACTTTTTACATTCTTTAATGCCATTCATTTTCTTCATTAGTGGGCACACTAGTTTGATTATCACATCATGCAAGTTAAATTCATTTTATTGCTCATTTGTTGGACTTATATTCTATTTGTGATTTGTAGTTGTTTGCTTTGAGTCTCCCCCACCTTTACTTCTTTTCATTACTGTTTTGTCACCACCTATAGCAGTGTCATCAATAGAACCAACTTTGGCAGCTACTCAAAAAATGATCTTTCTTCTTCTTCTCCAGACATTTCATTTCATGTCAGGGGGTTGGGGGTCACTGCTAAAAAAACCCTCTCCTTTCCCCCCCTGAAATACTGTGAATGCTGGGGCAATCTGGGGAGGAGGAAATGGTCAGCAGCAGTAGTGACCATGGAACCCAGCTCATGCCAGTGGAGACTAGTAGATTGCCCACCCCTGAATGGTATGGAAGCAACAAAACAGTGCCAACTCCTGTTTCTGAGCTTCCCATAGGCATCTGGTTGGTGAATATAAGAACAGAATGCTAGACTAGATAGCATTCTAGTCTGTCTAGATAACACTGACCCAGGAAGATTCTTCTTAGGTTCTTCTATCCCTTCACACCTCTGTGCAGTTTTGAACAAATTAAAATGGAACCTCATGAGCCCCATTTGCAATTGCTCCAATGTTCTGAAGTGAATGCCCATCCCTATTGTACAACCAAGTAGATTCCCTCTCCCACATCAGCTTTGATTACATATGCATGTTTTCTCCTGGTCTTGTGAACTGTGTAGCTGGAACACAAGTTGTGGTCAGCCTAGATTTTAAAAACAGTTTTCAAAATTAGGCAGTGACCTTGAGATTTTGCCCAAAGTCTGATCCTATTAGTTTCTGTTTCGGGGAGGAGTTCTCAGGATTCATTTAAAGCTCAGAGGCAACGTTCGCATGCTCATCTGCTGCCCATTGGTTTCCCCCGTCATTGCTATATTACATACACCGAGATTGCATCCCCAGAGCTATTCCCAGC